CGACCCTCTGCGACACGATGCCTACGCTGTCACTTATGGGAGGAAGAGACTCGGCTGACATACGGGTATGGACCGTTGTTCTGAGTGGACTTGAAAACCGCTACTTTTCCTGGCTTGAAGTCGGGTGTCATATGTCGTGTCTATATTTTGTGTACGGGGTTGTGTGTACGTGTGCGGATATTCTTCTTCTCTGGTGTGGACTTTATTTTGTACTTGATTATGCCGAGGTTTCTTAGATATCACAGAGCGGGACTATGTTTGCACCACCAACTTCAGGTACCTTAGTTACGTGATTCCTCTCCATTGTCGTGCCTTCCAGGGTTCCTCCAGGGCCGAGTAACCAGCGCCTAGCTCATGTGACATGATCAAGACAAGCAACGAGATCGGATATTGTACAGCATCGGGAGACTTCTTGCAATTCGTCAGGTAGTGGAGTCCCCTTGGCTGGCAACAACTGTCAATACCTTATAGATAGCAGCGATGTCAGTCACTCCCGACGGGTGGCACCGCCGTGGCCAACTTGGTTTGCCAGAACGCGGCAGCTACGGTAGGTATTTCTTCGCTACCTACCTTGGTACAACCACGTGGAAAAGCGCGGCCCGTGAAGGCTGTCCTCCCTCGGGACAAAAAGAAGTCCCTGTGCAAGTTTTACATTCTTACTACCGGCAAAGTGAGAGTTGAGTTGGGGGACCAAGGCAAGGAGGTAGGTATACACTGACTGTCTTTTGACGAAGCCCTTCTGCAGCAACCCCGGCCCGGGACCAGTTCAAAGGGCTAACAGCCCAACCTGACCGTTGCGTGCATTGCTGAACGTGTCGCGGGAACGCAGCACTGTCCTGTCACATGAGGCCAGCTGGGCTGAGGTACCTTAGGCAATAATTCAGCGGTAGGGGGTGTAGCACCGAAACTTTGCTTCAAACCAACCTTGGAAGTGGTCCGTGCGAACAACCACCTGAAACACCCTGGTCTGAGGAATCCCAGGGGCCCAGGGCGTCCGGCAAGTCGCGTCAACCGAACGCAACAAATCATGGATGTGACATGTCCGACTCCTGTCCGATGGGGGAATGCTCAACATCAGCCGCACGCAGGGGTTCAGTTGGCTCCGTCAGTTCATACCTTCCACAACTCAGGCGGCCTATGGATTGCTTGCTCACGGAGTCGATGCGTTTTATTTTGCAGGGCCGTTGTCGGTTTGGTCTGTTCCGGCAAATCTCGACCAAGGCCCGCGCCGCCTTCTCGATCAGACCTTGGTCCACGTTCATCGGTGATCACGGCCCGGCAAGAACGGTATCTACATAGGTCCTACACTAGGTAGGGTCATTCAATGAAACCGAAATGGCCATCTCGCCTCGGCGCTGTCAGTGTGACCGGGTGCGGTGGCCTTTGCAGATAGCATCACGACCGCCGACTGCCCTGCTGCACTGTGCCACATCAAGTGCGTCTGCATCGCGCTTACAGTCGCCAATCACAGCTGACCCGTGAGTTGAGAGACGGCAGGTAGAACAAGGTGATGAAAGACTGCGAGGGAAGGTGTCGTGCATGCGAACTCCTGCCTGTCCAAGACAGCAATGGCCATGCGAAGGACAAATTCTTCTGGTGCATGTCGTTAACCGGCTCAGACGCGGGGATCTTGTCGTTCCATGGACTACCAAGGGCCTTTGTAATCTTATCCGACCAGGTTTAGTCTGGCTATCGGTATCTAAATTCGCTCAATCACACTCCGAATAGGCCAATCTCCAGCTCGCCGAACCCCCAAGCCGCTAGTGTAACAAAGGTGTGTACATACCACCTTCTCCAAGCTAGAGAGTGCAGCCTTGGCCATACTACTTCAGGGAATTTGTTCGCAAGCATCCACTACTGGCTACTGTCACGGAGGTGTGAACACTTTGTGGGATCAAGGATGAACCGTTCACCTCAAGACTTTTACAGAGAAGGAAAGCCGCTTGATCTTCGCACAGGAAACACTATGAGTCCTCTCCGGATCCTACAGCAGAAGAGTTGAAAGGCTGAAAGGCTAATGTTGACTTACGGACCGGCAACTCCCGCTACATGACATAGGGCTGGTTAAGCACACAACGGCTCTTGATGCCAGGAGAGGAAAGAGGGCCATTTCGTGGTGAGTTGCACAGCATAGTACCCGGTCCACGCCGCAGCAGCAGCAGCAGCAGCACGAAACACTACCTCCAGCAGCAAGCTCCAACAGAAGAATCGGCCCTCGGTCCACCCATTCCACCACTTGCTGCCTGCAGTGGTGGTGCCCGTCTTTTTCCATGAATCCGAAATATAACACAAATGATCGTACCATGACTTCGGAGAACCTTCGCACTCGGAGCTATCCAGCCGTGAGCCAGGACGTCACCCGACCCGCCCCTCCAACCTTATGAGTTGCCCGACAGGGCCAAAAAGGGGACCTCACGGGTCAGCCCTGCCATCAATTGGCCGATGCTGCCCTTTGGACACACATCACTCATATCACCCGGTACTAACGTCCGGAACGACGGGACATGACTGGATCGATGGGAGATTGCCGCTAGCGGGTCCCGATTCTTAAGCGCAGCTTGATGAGGGCTACCTGACGATGCCACAGCCAATCGGGCTCCAAAGGAGGCAAAGACCCTCTTCTACGCCGGAGGTAAAGTACAGATCATTTCCCGCTGGACTACCCGTAAATCACCGGGGAGGGAATAGCGTCATGTTGTTGGCGACAGACACGCTCGACAGCCGCAACTTGCCAGCAATACACCCTGCCACTCAGCCTGTATCTCTCAAAGCAGGTACCTTGGCAAAGGGGAGTACATCCCGAGTACATTGCCAAGGAAGGCCAAACGCTGGCACGGTTACCTGAAATTCCTCCAGTCCATGACGGAAGGTACCCGACGGCATTTCGGTGAGCACGAGGTGCTCTACACATACAGTTACAGAACGAATCTTCACAGCCTCTCAATGTCGCTCTACCGGCGGAGCAGGCAGAACAAGGGTATCTTTCATCATCCAATGATGAGCGAGTCTTGGACCCGACAGTTTGGTTCGCAGGCTCGGTTTGGCCTGTGCACGAAAGACCTTAAGCACTAACAGAGACGTGTGTTCAATACTAGTGAAGCTGCTAAGGGGCAATTTCCCAGGGCTAGGGTGTGTCTCTAAAATGACGGGATCTGCACACTGCGGGAACCGCACGGTCCACGGTTCACGATTCCGCGATCGCTAATGGCTCAACGTGCACTTCTCCCATAGCTTCACCAACAAGCAACAAAACATTCAGGAAGAACACCTACCTCTGAAGTCTATCCTCATTCGTGTCAGCGGAAATCACCGCCAGTGACTGAAAGATTTGTGACAATTTTAGCTCCACTTTAACCCTGGCGATTCCGTTGATTTCCAGAATGAGGCTGTGGGCGAGAGACTAGGCCGCACTGTATGCGGCCATCGTGACAATGTTCAAGGCTGAGCCTCGCTCGGACCACTATCTTCAACACCCGATTCCAAGATGATCACTCATCGTCGAATATCGAATCAAGACAGCCCCCATGGCCAGCAGAAGCCATGAAGCCCTCTCTGCCAAAGCTGTCCACCGCAGCGACCAAGTCAACTTTGGGCAAGCCACCTAGGTGCCTGCCATATGATCTTCGAGGTGCATTAGCCCTGCAACGTAGCCCGGTGAAACCGTGAAACGCGAGGCCTCGACGGCATGGACTTACTGTGGACTACATGGGCATGAGTTATCACGTCAATCTCGAAAACCGACCAGTTGATGTCCAAGTTGATGCCCAGCCTGCTAGCACCACTCAATACTATCCACCTGCCTGGTCCATTGACGGCCCCCCCCCCCCCCTGCGTGTTCTTTTCTCTGGGCCCGTTCTCATTTTTCCGTGCCTGTCCTGTTTTACCTAGCCGTGCGCGACATCATCGCGGTACGAGATGGGGGATGTGCAGTACCACCTCGTGGTGTGATACAGCCAAGGGGGTTCGAGGAAGACTAGACAAGGCGTGTACAGTACAATACCCTATCGTACCTAGTCGGTACCAGACACGAACCCATACTCCATAGCATGGCGACATCTCCCACGTCCGAGATACACGCCATACACAAGCAAGCTACGTACCCGGTACCCAAGTCTCCAGCCCAGCCCAACGCAACCCCCTTTTCCCCCTGCTCTGTCCCTTACTTATCCGGGATTGAACCTGACAACCAAGCCATAAGCCATAGGCGTGGTAACGGGGGCACCACCAACCAACCACCTACCCGTATTCACCGAAGCAAGGGGAAGGGACTGGGAGAGAGAGCGGCAGGCAAACCAGGCAGCAGCCCACCCGAGTGGGAAAGCAATGAACCAACTCAGGTCGCAGTTCACCATGGCAACGTGACGCTGACCACTGGGGGAACAAACCCCCTCCCCTTTCCGAATCCAGAACGGCCACTAAGGAAAGGAGATCGATGAACCCACCCCCCCATACGCACCCCGTCCCGCCCCTTACCAGGTATGTGTAGGGTATCTTGTTCAACAAGCCCAAAGCAGAGTGACTCCAAGGATGTTGTGACCAGAGGGGAAAGAAGGACAGGGTCGAGCCAATCCAAACTTCCACTCCCCGGCTCTCACTCAGGTGGAGACAGGAGAGTATGGTCTCCCTGGTAGTGGAATACTTCTCCCAGTATTCATGCGACGGACTCGCACAATGGCCAATGGCGACCAAGTGCTGTCTGTCTGGCTCTCTGCCTGCAATGTAACTTGTACATACAAAATCATTACACAAACCGGGCCTTCAGCCCTCGTCATTCCTTCTTTCGTTCGCTCTGCCTATTCTCGGCACACCTCAAATGCTAATGTCATCAACCAGCCCTAGCCCATTCCGTCAACCATTGATCGCGCGGCGACGGCCCCCTTTGTACAAGGCCCAGTCCCTAACCAATCTGATGTCGCGGGCTTTCGCTGATATGTGATCCCCCTTCCCGTCCCATGCATTGGCGAGAGTGGACCTGAACAGAAGAAATGAAAACGGAACATCTCTAAAGAGTTATTTTTGTATCCCTCTCTCAACCGGACGAGGCAGGAAAATGCTCCAAAAACGAACCAGCAAAAATCGCAGGGAAGGAGTAAAGAAAAGGGACGCTCCAACTATGCACATCCACCCCCCGAAAGCAAACTCGAGACGGCCTCAGTGCCGCCGTCATCTCTGCCCTGGGCAGCCGGTGCCCTGCGTACCTGTGTCCCGCTTCACTTCGAATGAGCATTCTCAATCATTCGTGGGAGAAGTGGGTGAGCTACAAGTAGGACGTTAGCCAGCTGTTGGTGGGATTAGGGGCTATTGCCATATAGACAGGTACGACTTACTACTGGTCAGCACCGCCACTGGACGCGCCCCGGCCCGGCGTCCTTGGCGAAAATGACGGTGACGTCGGCGAGTACCCCGGACTCGTCGGCGACAACTGCTGCCCTGGCGACCGCTGGAACGACGGACTCGTCGGCGAGTAGGCGTCCGGTGACGTGGGCGACCAGGTGGGCGACGCCGGCGAGTACGAGGGCGACGTCGCATGTAGATTCGGCGACGCCGGGCTGTAGGTCGGCGACGTCGGGGAGTAGGACGGCGACGTCGGCGAGTTGAACTGCGCAGGCGACGTGGGGGAATAGTGCCTGGCAGCGGCGGGTGATGCGGGCGAGTAGCTCGGCGAGGTCGGGCTGTAGCTGGGGCTCGTCGGGCTGCCGGGTCGCAGCATCGGCGACGTCGGCGAAAAGGAGGGAGACGAGGGGCTAAACTGAGGACTCGACGCGTACTGTCCTCCGGCCCCGATGAGAGGCGAGGTCGGCGAGTAGCCCGCCGGAGACGATGGCGAGTAGCCACCGTAGCCGAACGGCGACGTGGGCGAGGTGGAGAAGGGGCTCGTAGCACGCGGGCTCGTGGCGTAAGGATTGACTGTGCTCGAGCCAAAGCCGCCGCCGTACTCGGTGTTGAAGCCGCTCGGGCTGTCCGAACCCGCACCCTGGATGGGCGAGAAATTGCCCATGGTCGGGGAATAGCTGCCCAGATAGCCGTTGTCGGCCATCGGCGACCCGGTGTCGTACGGGGTCGCGGCGCCCTCCAGCTGGGTGCCCTTGATTGTCATGCCGGGCATCAGGCCCATGCGCGAGTTGTCCGAGATGACGGTCTCGAGCATCTTCGGATCAAGGAGCACCTCGAAGGCACCGGTACCCATGGGCGCCATTTGGCCCAACATGACGTTCTCCGAGATGCCACGGCAGTCGTCAAGCTCGCCCACGGCGGCAGCCTCGAGCAGGATCTCGACCGTCTCCTCGAACGAGCAGCGCATCAGAGCGCCCGTGTCGGCGCGGTTGATACCGTGGCGTGTCACCGCCGCGATGCTGCCGCGGTACGTCATCACATCGACAAGGAGGGCCAGGTGGCGATGGTTCACATACGAACCGTCAAAAGCAAGCACCTGCGTCAGCTCTTGCAGTAGCGCTGTCCGAGCTGCTTCGATACCGAAGACATCCACGATCTGATACAGGTCGTTCGTGGATGTACGTTTCGTGTCGACCCCGTCGATGGTCAGGACCTCTCGTAGAGATGTGCCCTGCGTGTCGAGATACCACTCCGAGCATTCGGGTGCATCTTTGTTGGCTACCTGAGAGCCGTCCGCCTTCTCAACCAGCTTTGTCCCCTTGTTCAGGAAGGCACGCTCAATGCCCACAACGCCACGGAGCGTACAGTTGTCAAGTAGGTGCTTCTCCAGTCGCTTCAGCATCACGTCATCCTCGATGATCTTGTTCCCATCCTCGTCTTTGTCGTCGTCTTGGCGGATCACGCGGATGCGAAGGACCATCTCCTCCGCATTGTTGTCACTGAAAATGACCGCAACGTCCTTCTTGTACTCTTCCTTGATCCGGTGCGCCACATCTTCCACGCGCAGCCCCTTGTCCAGCATCTTCTGCCGGTCGAGAGTGATCCTCAAAAGCCACCGTGATTGGTTCTCGATTGAATCCTGATCCGATGCGTCAGAGATCAGGAAATAAGATTCGACCATATCGAAATCCTCTGGGATGTTGGTAGACGCGATCTCCGGATCATAGTAGATCTCCGTGACCGCCGTGACGGAACGGAGAGTGGTGTGCTCGACCGCATTACGCAGCCTCTTCGCATCCTCTTGCGTCGCATTCTCGGCGTCCAGATACACGACCATGGACGGCGTCTTGATATCCTTTGCGACGTTGAGAATCTCTTTGAGACGCGGGACACCAAGAGTGACGTTCTTGGACGACACACCAGCGAAATGGAAGGTGTTGAGTGTCATCTGCGTGGCCGGCTCTCCGATGGACTGTGCTGCCAGAACTCCGACCATTTCTCCCGGGGCGACCATGGACCGAGACCACCGGTTCTCCAACTCGCCTAAAACGTGTTCGAAGGCCAGCTTGTTGAGCTTATGCTCGACAGCGAGACGCTTGAAGGCCAAGCGGGACCGCAGCTGGATCTTAAATAATATTGTCGAGTTATAATCCGCCTCTTTCGAGATCGGATCGCTACCTCGGACCACAACCATCCGCTCAAGGAGGGCTTGAACGGCGGGGATGACATCCTTGGGCGTGAGGTCGCTGCGATGAGTGTCATCCACCTTGAAGAGCTTCTTCGCCGTCTCGATAATGCGGGCCACGTTGAGCGGGAGCTGCATGTTATCCTCGGCCAACTTGCGGCGGTTGATCTCTCGCACCAGCTTGCGATCGGCGAGGAGCTGCTCATATTCTTGGTCCAAAAGCTGCTGCACCATCGGGTCGCTCGCCATCTCCCTGCCGTACTCTAGGGCCTCCAGAGCGGGGCCGGAGCTCGCCTCGTCCATCACGTCCAAGCGGAATCGCTTGTCGAATTGCTTATTGGACAGGTTCATGTGGTCCATACGCTGTTTCTCAATAGCGACACCGTCCAAGCCATCTTCACCGTAGATGAACTGAATGATATCGCCAAGCGAGTTTCGCACCGTCCCATCGTAGTGCGCCGCAGCATCCTCAAGTGCTTTCACGAGTCGGCGCTGGATGTACCCTGTCTCGGCCGTCTTGACAGCAGTATCAATCAAACCTTCTCGCCCTGCCATGGCGTGGAAGAAGAACTCAGTGGGAGTCAAGCCCCGGAGATATGAATTCTCCACAAAACCTCGAGCCTCAGGGGAGTAATCGTCCTTGGTGAAATGTGGCAGAGTGCGGTACTTGAAGCCGAATGGGATACGTTTTCCCTCAACCATCTGCTGCCCGACCAGAGCAGTCATCTGAGAGATGTTGATCGCGGAGCCCTTGGACCCAGAACGCGCCATTGTGACGGCATTGTTGAGATCCTTGAGACTCTTCTCGGTCGTGGTACCGGCTTTGTCGCGGGCCGTGTTAAGAGCCGCCGAGACCTTGTTCTCAAAGGTCTCTCGGATGTTCATACCGGGCAGCGGCTCGAGCTCGTTGTTGGTTGCTAGCTCTGTCAGATGGGCAACCTCCCCCTTCTGCTGATCGATGTGCTTCTGAACTAGCTCGATGGTTTTCGCATCAGGGATTGTGTCACCGATACCGATGCTGTGTCCGTTATGCAGAAGCCAGTAGTTGACTACTCGCTGGCAGCCGTTGAGGAAATCCATAGCCCCCTGCGGACCAAGTTCATTGAAGCACAGGTGGACAATGCCACCTCCAGTGGCACCCACGCTCTTCTTGGAGAGCAGACCAAACATAACTTCTCCCTGTTGAATGAGGAGTCCATCATCCTTGAACGGATGGTCCCTGTCCGGCTGGTCGGAGTTCATGTGGATATTGATTATCTTCGGGATGATCATGCTGATGATCTGCTTCCCGGTCCACCGGGGCCGGGGCTTAAGAATTGCCGGGAGAGGAATAATGCCATCCCAGTCTGGGACCCAGAGCATGACGTTCATCACCTGCTCCTTGGTGAGGAACACATCACGCCGGCAGAGCTTGTACACGCCAGCTAACGTGTCCTGGACGATGCCCATCAGAGGACCGTTTCTCTGCGGCGAGACGATGTTGAGAGGAACCATGCAGAGCTCCTTGACTTCTGCACGAGTCTCCTCAGTCTGCGGGACGTGCAAGTTCATCTCATCACCGTCGAAGTCAGCGTTGTAGGGAGAGGTGACCGACAGGTTGAGCCGGAAGGTGGAATAAGGCATGACTCGAACTCTGTGACCCATCATGGACTCCTTGTGGAGAGACGGTTGACGGTTGAAGATGATATAATCACCGTCAATCAGGTGCCGCTCCACCTTCCAGCCGTATTCCAGCTGAATGCCGGTCGCACGCCGATGGTACCGAAGATCGATACGAGTGCCATCAGAACGAATGATGAACCTGGCGCCCGGATGCTCATTGGGGCCGTTTTGAACGTACTGCGTGAGCTTGGCGATATTGTAAGGCGTGACTGTTTCGGGGTATGTCAAGATGCGGGCAATGCTTCGCGGCACGCCGACCTCGTCGAGGGAGATATTGGCATCACCCGTGATGACAGTCCGAGCCGAGAAGTCGACACGCTTTCCCATCAAGTTGCCTCGCAAACGCCCTTCTTTCCCTTTGAGACGGGCACGGATAGCCTTGACAGGGCGACCGCTCTTCTGCAACGCCTGAGGCTGACCAGCAATGTCATTATCCATATAGGTGGCAACATGATACTGGAGCAGATTTTCAAAATCCGTGATGATGTGTTGTGGGGAACCCTCTGCAATAGCCTGTCGGACGTTGCCGTTGGCACGGATGATATCACCAAGTTTGTACGTCAGGTCGTCTTCGTTTCGCAGACCCGTTCCGGTGCCGTCCATCGAAATGCTAGGACGAACAGGTGGGGGAGGAACTGGGAGGACGGTAATGATCATCCATTCCGGACGGGCTTGCGAAATGTTGAGCCCGATGTCAATCATCTCCTCGTCCGACATGCGGCGGAAGATGTTCAGGGCCATCTCTGGCGTGATGACCTTTTTCTCCTTGTTCTTGATACCGTCTTCGTCCTTGTGCTCGTAATGGGCCCATAGAGTAAGGGCCTGCTGGCGGATAACGGGCTGAACGTTGCCGCATCCGCCATGGCCGCTGAGAAGCGGTGCCGAATCACCGTTTGGATTGAAATCCCCATCTCCGGCAGCCTTGGGTGGGTCGTTATCACAGCGCTTCTTGGCTTTACAGATGTCCCAAACCCGCTTGAACCGAACCTTTGGGTCCCGGACTTTCATGGCGGCAAGGTATTGCGGGTCAGACTGGTCCAAGGTCAGCATCAGCCACATCGAAGACTACCCGGACGGGTAGAATGCACTGACTCTATCAGCCAACACTTTGCCACAGTTGTGGCAGACCACCTCGAGCAACTTCTTTGTTCTCCTGATAAAACCAGGGTGAAAGACGGGTCTGGCCAGCTCGATGTGACCGAAATGGCCTGGGCACTCGGACATGTTCTCTCCGCAGGTCTTGCATTTGAACTGTCTGTCGACTGAACCAAGAAGCGGGTCGTTGAGACCACCATCTCGAGGCTTCGTCCGGGTCTCATCCATGGTTTCCGGATAGAGAATGTGGCACACACTCATGCCCTTAATCTCCTCGGGGGACAGGAGCCCAAACTGGATCTCCTTAATCGTCCGGATTGGCGCGCTTGAGTGCGCGAAGATGAGGTTCGCCATCTTTGATGATTTTTTCTCGTAATGCAAGAGAATGCCAAAATCCACTGAGGAGAGAAAATATTACGAGGAAGTTGGCTAGAAACTCGGAGCGAGTGGCAGTATCTGAAGAACGCGGGTCGAGGGAGCGTGGCGGTGATGAATCGCGCGTGCGATTTTGGCAACGGAACGATTCCGGCGAAGACGAGCGTAGAGGTTATTATATGCGTCGCCACAGACTTCGATGACGCGTGCTCTGCGTGGCACAGTGCGCGATGCTCTTGTAGCCTCCTCCTCCGCGCTTCAACAGGCCAGCGGCCCGAGGCAGCGAGACTCAAAACCTGACAGCTCCAGTCTCGTTGCGATACGGGAAAAAAAGGGTCGGTCGACTCGTAAATCGCAATCCTACGTTCGATGATCTCGTCGGAGGATGCCAGCGACAAGATTCCAGCGATTCTTGACGGGATTTGCGATGCGGGTGTGAAGTTTGTTGAATGATGGTTTGGGGAAGGAGGCAAACCTGAAAAGTTCGAGCGGCTCGGCTTGACAAAGCAGCGCGGTCAGCGAGGCGGTCCAGGCAAGCTAGGCTAACCGCTTTCAGCGAGACCCACTCCGGAGCTGGATGTGGAGGCAAATCTTGGATACAAAGAGTGATCTCAATCAATGCAAGGTTATAGAGACAATCACTGACAATTAATAAGGCTTAACGTACCCTAAGGTAGCGCATTCTTTCTGTGAATGGAGCAGAAGCCTCTTCCCCACGCCTTTGGCATTCAAACGGAACTTACTAACACTTGACATCATAGACAACATGGTTCAACATATATGTGGTATTGTGTCTCAAGCTTACCAAATTGTCCTGGCGATTGCCTTCATTGGGGAACGACTGCATTCTATTCACTTCTTCTTTCCCCGACCTCGCCCAGTACCAGACGTTCTCTTTCCGGCTTTCCTCTCTTCACCTGTGGCTTCACCGTCCTCTTGGTCCCCGGGGCTTTTCCTCCGTAATGTTCCGAGGGACACGTTCACGAACTCTTCTTCGCTGTCCGACTCCCCTAGGTTGAATAGTATAGGCATGCGGAACCCGTCTACGTCCTGTCCGTGTCCACCGCCGTCCTGCACAGTCAAGACATCGACATCCTCGTCCTCCTGGTCGAGCCGCCGCTTTTGGATTTCCTCTTGGGGGTGGATATCGAATTCATCCTCTTTCTCGATGTACTCGACGTTTTCCTCCACCTCCACAAAGTCGGGCGCGAGGGCCGACCATCGCTGAGGGCTCGTCACGGACCAGATGTTGATCCGGCCGGTCTCCAAACCGCATGCCGCTAGCAAAGCTCGGTGTGGGTGCCATTCAATGACGCCCTGCTCCTCCTTCGGTCCCTCCAGCATGCGGACCAGGCTGCCGTGTCCGCGCTCCCAGATGTAGAGTTCGTGGTTATTGTAGGTCGACGCCGCCACGTATTCGCCGCTAGCGCTAAAGGCTACGTGATTCCACGATAGTCTATTTACCACGTCCTGAAATTTGTGCTCAAGCGGTATTTGTATGGTGTCCGGGTCGAGGTCTGCCGCTGAGAGGTTGGGCACGTGAAAGGTTCGTATTATCCGGTCCTGAGCGTTCACCAGCAGATCCTTGCCGGACTCAGTGAGCCGGAGGGTTGTGATAATCCCGCTCGCTATCTTCTCCGAGTAGATGATATCCCGCGTCCTAGCATCGATGATGTTGAGGCGTCCCTTGGTTGTGCCCGCCAGAAGGTGGTCCCCTTCTGCGGTATAGATGATGGCTGTGGTCATGTGCTTTGCGTCCTCCTTCGCTTGCTTCTCTTTTAGAGCGGCATCGGCGTCCGTGTTGGGCCGTTTCGGTACAGAGGGGAGAATGTATCGAACGTCGGTGGAGTCCGTGATATCAACGAGCATCGGCTGGTCCTCGAACAGGGCTGCAACAAACTGATTGCTACAACACGTCAGCCAACACAAGTAGAGAGAGCATTCTGGAACTGAACGAACTGGTTCCATGGATGGAGCTCGGCCCCATAGACGGGGGCCCGGAAGCGAACCTCACGATGACGTTTCCCGTCCTGTAGGTCCCAGAGGATGGCCTTCCATCCTTGACAGGCGGAAAGCAGATACCGGCCGCACCGTGACCAGCTCAGTGAGGTTATGTTTTTTGAATGCCCTCTGAGCTTACGCGCCACTCCCATAGTCTCGAGATCCCAGATGACGACGGTGCCATCAACGCGGCCCGAGGCAAGGAAGTCGCCCTTGCGGTTGAATCGGACGCATGTCGAGTGCCCTGACCGGATGGTGTTGGTGATATTCTCTGGGTAGTCCTGGAGGAGGTAGTCGTCAGAAAGAAGGAGGTTCATTGCCGGCGTAGCATGTCTTGATCAAATTGCGGCTGGTTGTCGCGGCAGGGCCGCGGTGGCGGTGCGAGCAATTCCTGGGGTTGCTGCAAGGCTAGGAGCCCCACTGCACCGGGTCGCGGCTTGGCCAGATCGCGTTCCTGCACGGACAGGGGGTCGACGGCAGACCCGCCCGAGCTAGCGAGTTTGCGGTTAGTTAGTAGGTAAGGTACCTTACACCGTAGTTAATGTTATTGTGTAACGATAATTGCAGCGATACGTATTGTACCATGAACCTTACACAATGATGTATTGCACGTATTGTGCATACGCGTGTTCATCGTTGCAATACCGTTACCATGACCATGAGCATGTGCGGGGCATGTTCAGAGCAGCTGAGTCCTGCGGTCACAACTGGATAGGCGACCTACAACAACAGCCTCTCCTGAAGAAAGAAGCATCTCAATACCCCCGAGAGAAAGCGGAGGCCGCGGCATCATCTCAAAGATGGCTAATTCTCAGTACGCACCGCCCAGATGTGAGGGCCTTTGGACCCCGCGACTGATTTGTTTGCTTAAAGGTACGAGTATGTCAAGCAGTTCGAGCAGCCGGATAAACTCCTACCAAATACATGGATCGTGATCAGAGTTGACGGTCGGGGCTTCACCAAGTATGGCGGCTTGCACACGCACTTCTCCCCCGATGTGTCCCAAGTACTCTTAAACGCGTCTGACCTCGGCGAAGCTTTGCAACCAAGTATGGCTTTGAGAAGCCCAACGACAGACGGGCTCTCGAGCTCATGAACACTGCGGCCAGAGCGGTCATGTCTGAACTTCCAGATATCACCATCGCGTATGGAGTCAGCGATGAGTACAGGCATGCTCTTACTCAGAGTCCAACCACCAACTTCTGCTGACAGTCAGGTCCAGTTTCGTCTTCCACAAATCATGCAGCCTCTTTGACCGTCGCTCAAGGTAGGATATTCTGAGTGAAGCGTTTCTGGCCGTCGAGACTGAGCACGGAACAGCAAACTTGTTTCGACCATTGTTTCCGCCTTCACGGCGTACTATGTGCACTTCTGGCCCAGTCACTTCCCGGACACCCCGTTATCGCCCCCGTTGCCTAGCTTCGACGGCCGAGCGGTTTGCTATCCGACAGTGCAAAATCTGCAGGACTATCTGAGTTGGAGGCAGGTCGACTGTAGGTACACCCCCTAAGTGTTGTGACTCAGTGACACGCTAATAAACGCCTAGGCCATATCAACAACCTTTACAACACAACCTTCTGGGCTCTCATCCAACAAGGTGGAATGGATGCCACCGAGGCGGAGAAGAAACTCAAGGCGTGAATCCCCGCCAACTGAGACCAGAAGACGTGTATATCTGACCGGCCAAAATATAGGGAACACTTGCCGCAGATAAGAACGAGATCCTTTTCTCACAATTCGGCATCAATTACAACAACGAGCCCGAGATGTACAAGAAGGGTAGCGTTGTTTTTAGAGAGGTAGGTACCTTCACCCCTGCCACCTAATGCACCACAGCAGCTGAGGAAGCAATACCAGTACGAGCTGGCTGATCCAGGCACTCATAACACCACTGCCGACGAAGTGGAAAACATGGCCCTGCCGGTTAAACAGTCCAAAACACAGACCGAAAACGACAAGAAGAGACGAGCGAAGGCACGGATTGTGGTGGAGCACATCAACGTTATCAACCGCGATTTCTGGGACCGCCGGCCTTGGCTGTTATCGAACAAGCCGGGCAAAATCCCAAAGGAGCCTTGAAGCTGCCCAGTCCAGAGGATCATGGTGTGATCGAACCGGCCCGGCGACGTCTTGGCCATGGCCGCACCTCGTCGCAACCGGCGTCATTATCAACTCACGAGAGGCGCGTTGGTCGCGCCGGAGTTGTGGCCGGTCGGCTGTCCAGGCAGGTCGTGGGCCCAAGACAACACGGACCTATCCTTCGGCTCGCGCAGAAGGGAGAATGATAACCCAGAACGCTGATTTCGAGTTCTTCAGCCCTGGTCGGGCTTTGGCCCCCCAGCTTCACCTCGTTTCCTCCTCTTCGCCTCCTTCCGCGCCCTCCTCTCGGCTCTTCTGGCACGCCGCTCCTCTTTTGTCTCGGTGGCTCTCCTCGCCTTCTTCAACTCCCTTTTGGCGGCCTTTTCGACAGCTTTCCTCGTGGCCTTTTCCTCCTTGCGTAATCTCCGTGCCGCTCTTCTAGCCTGCCTCTCTGCTTTGATCTCTTCCCGCCTCTCCTTCCTCAAGGACGACCCTTCACCATCGTCCGAGGTCGCGGGGGTCGCGTCCGTAGATTCGCCCGCCCCGGACTTGTACCCGATCGTGCCCTCGAGCAAGCCGCCGCGCACGAATGAGGTATAGAGCCCGCTCGCGCCCGTGTATTTCCCGTTCGGCTGCGCGCTCGCAATGACGTCTAGCTTGCCCTGCGTTACCGACTGTACCACTTGGCCTTTCTTGGAGGTGTCGAGGCCCTTGAGCTTCTGGTCGAAGGCGTGGAGCCACCATTGGTCGCTGGTGTAATGTGTCTTCTGGCCGATGCCACGGCCGTCCGTATTGCGGGAGATTAGGAGAGGCTTGGCGAGGCCGATCGAGTTGTCGTTGGGGTGCAGCGAGAAGCCCTTGCCGCGCCAGCCTTGGGATTTGAGGAGTGCGGCTGCGTCCATGGCGGATCCGCTGTGCTGAGGAAATTATCGTTTTGGCCCCCTTGCTGTAGGTCTCGTCATGGGCGTCGCAATCGCTCTACCTGAACAGGAATCGCATCGTGTTGGGTCCGGCGACGACGAGGTGGAAGTTGACTTAGAACCACAAAATTTTGGGTTGGCGGCGTCCGGGGTGGTGTGGGCCCGTGGAATACGCCATTGTTACAGAAACATACATGTACAGTACGTACGGTACCGTACCCATACCTAGAGCGTATGAGAGCACTGCTTGCCAGCGTCGTAAAGTTGCATCCATGATCCGACCCATTGACCGGGAATCTCCATCTCTTCCTCGTCAAAAGTGAAACAAAGTGACGCCCTTGACTGCAGTCTTAAATCTTTCTCACTCTACTGTTAGATAGGTCCATTAGCCTCCCATGACTTTAGCGAACCGGACCCCCAGTGTCAGCATTGGCGTCCCTGCGATACACACCGTACCATCCCTCTTCGAACCCAAATAGCCGGCCCAGAGCATCCCTAAATCTATAGCCCACAATCATGACCGTGTTGGCGACGCTGACGGCAAACGTAATGACCGTGATCAGAACCTCAATCACGAAGAGGAGAGCTTCCCGGACGATGTATTTGACGGTCCCTTCCAGCCCATACCGGACGATATGGACGATATCATCGGCGACGGGACTATACCGCACAAGCCAATTGCAGAGCAGCCAGGTGGCAGCAGCGTACGCAACCCAGCGCAGTACCGTGAGCGAGTTCCACGTCTGCTTTCTCGTGTGCTCATGCACCCAGTCGTCCAAAGTTGGGTAGTGCTCGTTCTGCTCCACAGGTTCGGCAGCATAGCCGCGGTAGTAGACGACCTGGGATCGCAGGATGGTGGTGACATTTTCACCGTCGGCCACCCCGGTCTGTGAGTCGACCTCGCCGACGGTTGCGAACCGTTGCAGCAGGGGCCACAAGACGATCTGAACCTTGGCTATACGAGAGGGGCGGCGCCATACGTCCCCGACGCCGCCTTTGTCACCATCACCATCAGCATCTTCGTCGGCTGGTCGGCCCAGGACGCGACGCCAGGCAGAGTTGAACCGGCGTCGAGCCGAAGTGATGGGATTAGAGTCGACGACCTCTTCCTCCTGACGTCGCCTGCGCTCTTGGCTTGCCGTCCACTTCGCCTCCGCGGCCTTATCGGCCCTGTTGCTCGCCGCCGCAGAAATCTTGTAGACGGTGTCGTCCACCTCCTGCTGGTCGAGATCCCACACCTCACCGGGGAAGGGAAACGAGAAGCGGAAGATATTCTGCGACCGGCGGATGCCGATGGACAGGTGTCCAGCCTCAGAAACAATGGCGTGCAGCTCCTGGTAGATGCTGCGTAGTGACTTGGCCTGGCTGGCTGGGAACGACTTATCCATGATGCGAAGCAGAGGCAGAAGGAGCGTCGCAAGCTGCAGCGCGAGCTGGTCGACGCGAGGCCAGAACTCCGGCGTGAGGATGTCGCCCCCGAGGACGGTGCGGACGCACTGCGCGCGCAGCCTTGTCCGCTGGTAACCTGCGTTGGTGTTAGTATTTCTTGCGCAGTCGGCAAGGAGCAAGCAACCGGGGCCTGGCGCTACTGACCTTCCAGCTCAAGTGTGCACCTGTCCTGAGCCTCCAGCATGCCCTTCTGGTCCTTATCCGCGCCAAACAGCAGATCATCAAACACGCACGTCTCCAACGCCTTCGCAACAACCCCCGTCACAAAGTACTCCCGGAGCGGCCTCCTCACGAGCAGCTCATCCCAGCCGCCCGCCAGATTATTATCCTGCATCGCCACCTTCTCGACAAACCACATAAACTGCTTGGGGAACCCTCCATCGAGCCACACACCACCACCTCGTCCTCCTCCTCCTCCTCCTCCTCTTCGACCAGCAACAACCGGAAGATCCCCGTACCCGAAATACTCCCGCACAAGCCCCCTCACCGTGCCATACAGATGCGTATAGACACCCTCATACCACTCCGTAGGAAGCTCATCCTCACGCGGCCAACGCACAGTGAAACGCGTCCTCGTGGGCCGCCAGCGACCCGCCGTTAGCTCGCCCAGACTCCTCCTTCGACCGCCGCTTGACCAGGGCCAGGGCCAGGGCAGCCGTTGCGCATCGGGAGGCGGCAGCGGTGCGGGACAGAGCAGACTGTCCTCGATGCCGAGCTGGCGAGCTCGCTTGCTGTAGAGGGGGTCCCGGGGCACGGCTATGTATTCCTCCTCCTCGCCGGATGGGAGGAGATGATTCCGCTCCTCCTGCTGTCGTTGCTGGGGAGTATGACTACCATTGGATCGAGCACCTCGTCGTCGTGACTCAGAGCGGCCGCGGCGCCGCCGAGGGGAGTCGAAGGGGCCGGCAACAACACCGCTGGGGTTGTAGCCTGAACCGTCTGCTAGGGCGCCGCCGCGGAGGTGCAGTTGGGTTCCAGCATCGGGGTACATGTTGGGTGGTGGTGTTGGTGGTGGTGGTGGTCTCGTCCCGGCGTTGGCAGAGAAGTCGTTGTTAAAACCATGCACGTTATCGCACCTGTAATCGGCTTCAGGGACTTTCGCTGGAGGACGACACGGTGAACTGGCGAGTCAGAGGATGACGGGAGAAATTGTATGATCCACAAGGCTCACTTTCTAAGCCGTTGTTGGACTTCCTGAGAGCTTAAGAACGGATAGCCCGTAAGACTTTTGGGAGCTCAAGAGACGGACAGCTCACTGATGAGGGCGGAAAGAGAAGACAGAATGAACGTTCTTTGTATGTACAATCGTATGTATGTACGGACAAAGGGCACTCCCAGGGAGTGGGACGTAAACTCCCTCCCTTTGAGAGACAAAGAACACACATCCGAAGTAGGTAACAGACCCCAGTCGTTGCACCATTCCACACAGCCCCAAGTATGTAAATATCAAATTTGTTTTTCAATTGCCAGGACTTACCACGCTCGGACGACCTCGTCCGGCATGAGCCTGCAAGGGTATTACACGATATCTACATGTCCTCCAGCGGACACACATGCCAGGTTCTACTCTCTTCCGCGGAGTAGGATCCCAACCACACCGCGAGCCCCCGCGGTTTTTTCCCAGGTAGTCAGACCACCCTCGCTTTTCCTGATGCCAGACAAATGACCAACAAAGCTGTGTTTGACCCACCATATGCGGATCCCATCCCTAAACCGGTCCCAAACTCCCAACAACACCTCAAAAAGTCCTTCCTCACGAGATTTGAGACGTACCAGCTTTCAATAACCTCCAGGGCGAAGATACGCACAGATGGTCAACCTCTCCACCTCCCCCACTGCGCCGTTCGCCAGCTTCTGTCCCTTCGGCAGACAGGCAACGACCTCGACTTGGATCTGCGTTGTGCCTGGGTGCAGATTCGCTTCGTAGACAAAGGCGTCCTGCGGCAGCGGGTCATCTGTGACAGGCAGTGGAGTTGCCCGTGATATGAGCTGACCGTCAACCATGAAGAAAATACCGAACGGTCTCATCTCTTGCTGGAACGGCCTCAGGCGAGGAATGACCTGCAGTCGAGTATGTCCCGCCGGAATGATGAACACGACGGTCTGGAACGCCTCCTTAGGGTGCGCCAGAACCACCTCCCTGAACCGGGGCTGCAAAGGGATACTCGGGTGCGTCCGGATCAAAACCTCCGGCAGTAGAGAATCAGCATCGCCTAGCAGTGCCATCAGTATAAACGTGTGCCTGTGACAGTCAAACGAAGAGGTGTGTTCTTTGTCAACGTACTTCTACCGGGCGCCCGATAGTGGTAGTACCACGTGGGCTCCGGGGTGGGAGCCTCGTTTGGAGGCGGCATGGGAACCACCCGGCCGAGTTGGGTCTGATAGTGGTCGTTCACAACCAGCGGCTGTTGGTTCTGACCGGGAGCGGGAATTCCGCTCTGGCCGTTAGCCACGACCGGCGCATGGCCGTTGGGCTGCTGGGGGGCAGCGGGATGTTGTTGAGGCCCAACGCCCGACCCAGGAGCACCGACAAGGGAAGAAGTCGAAGGCGCCACCGAGACAGGTTGAGCCCTGCCGCTGCCGGCCTGAGAGCCGACGCCGGTCGCAATCGCTATGGGAGGCATCGCGTCGCGGTTGGCGTTCGGCGCCGCATCGGGACGACTTGAGTCAATCGACTGGCCTGTCTGGGGCGCCGGAGAGGCCGCCGTGCTGCTCCGCGATCCGCCGACGTGGATAGTGATCTTCTTAGAACCAACTACAGGCGTCTCTTGGCCAGGAGCAATCTTGAGCTTGATCTTCGGCTGAGGTGGTTCCTGGACCACGGCCTTCGCCTCGCTGAGCTCGTTCTCGAAGCATTGCTAACAAAGACCATGTCAGTTTTCAAAGAATGATGCACTGACAGAGGCGTGACACTGCCATACCTTGAGCTCCGTGGCCAGTGTATAGATCTCGCTTCCTTCCTCGTTGTAGTAATGCGCATTGCTCCAGAGAAGGCTCGCCTTCTCTTCGAATGCTGCCCAGTTTTTGAAGTCGCTGACCCCGGTTGCAGGCTGTCGGCCATGAATGCCCTTGACGAGCTTCTGCAAACCCTTCAGAGACAGCGGGTTTGTGATGACAGCGAAGTATTCTTTGTAGCTACGCGGGGGCAGGTTGATGAAGTCCAGGAAATACGGTCCTCTGTGTCTTGATTAGCGCTGGTGTCGCCAGGTATTCGCGAAAGGACAAGACTCACGATCCATCCGACTTCCGGATCAACTCTTCGACTATTTTCTCCTGCGCTTGCTGGAAGGAGAGACCTCTGTACGGCACGCCCTCGTACTCATGGTCTGCTTTGGTCCGACCGCTCTTCTCCGGCTTTTGGGATGCCTCCGATCCAGCCCTGTTGGGTCTGCCGGGTCTCCGCTTGAGTACGATCTTCTTGGAATTTCCGTCTTCTCCTTCATCGCCTTCATCTTCGTCACCCTGCGCATCCTCTTCGTGGCCCTGCACGTCTTCCTCTCCCTCGGCATCCATATCCACATCTTCGTCTTCCTCCTTTCCGCGACGGGACGCGGCGAGATTCTCCGGCTCGGCCTGCATGTCAGCTGGAATGGGCGCTGCTTGGCAGGCGTAATTGGGGATCAATTTGTATGCCGGGTTTGTCTTGGTCATGTAGTTGCTGAGCGCCTTTCGCACGCGCTCCGCGTCTTCGAAGATGTCTGAGTGTTTGGAGTAGTACTCCTTCGCATTCATGACCATGCGCTTGAAATAACTCTCGAGCTCTGAGAGATTCTTGAACTCCTGGTTCTGAAGTTTCTGCTCAATGATCTTTAGAGAAAGTGGCATGCGGATGCGCTCATAGTATTCCTTGTTGCTTTCTCGCGGAATCAGATCTTCGAAGTAGCTTGCAACGAGTCGGCCACTGTACCCTGAAGTCAGAATAACGACTGGCGGAAAATCAGGGCGGGCAATGGTGTGCAGAGAAAACGTCTGACCGACCTCTTATCTTTAGTCCGGCGAATGGTCTCAAGAAAGTGCAAACCATAGGCAGTGGTAGATTCATGGGATTCGCCCTTCATGAGGTCGTAATCTGTGGGTGGCTGCGAACACATGTTAGCCAATGAGCTCGTGAGTAGACCTGGATGTTCGAGAGCGGGTCATGATGTTTTGGTCGGTCGGTCGGCCGGGCGATGACCCTTTCCTGGCGTGCCTTCCTGTCGACGGCGACAGCTAGGTCCGCCGAGCCTACAAATTTGCTCGGCGCCTTCTCATCAACGACAACATCTGGTCGGCCGGATGATAATCATCTTTCTAGTGTGGCTTCCGGTCCACCAGTCCCGTTATTGAACGAGTGACAAGTGACAAAAATGGGAATCGGGCAAGAATCTGCGAAACGGCCATGCGACTTATCAACTTACACCCGGCATCCTGCGTCGCTTTATATTTTTGTTGCTGTTGCTGGTGTCGGTGTTACCGTCTCCTGCGGGACTCGCCTTCCGTTTGGCGTCCATGGCGGCGCGCCACCCTAACTCGTCTCGACCACGGTTCGAGGTAAGAGAAATCGGAGCGGCGTGGCTACGACCATATGTCGAGTCAGAAGTATGCGCCGAGTCGCAGATCGGTTCTCGTTCAACGCGCGTTGATAATCGACGCAAAAGCTGATACGAGCCTACTTGGTAGTTGATGCGGGAGGTTTATCACGTCCCTGAACTGGTGATTTGGGCACAGGTACGCAGAGAAGAGCAGTCGTTGTAGAGACGATGTGCTCTCCGTCGCGAATGTGGCCGGGGCGCGTAGTTGAATAGCGTACCTTGTTAAGGTTCCACTGCAAGGGATCGGCATTCGAACTGGGGTATGGAATTTTACTTGGCATTTCACGTGGCCCCACCAGCCTTCCATCCGCGCGTTTGGAAGAGTCACGTGGCTAACTCACCAAAATTCCGAGTCGGAAGAGGGACAACCTAGGAATCTGTACGAACGTAAAGAGCGTTAAAGACGAATAGACCCTCTCATGTAGGTACCTAGATATAGCCTCTTCGACATCTGTTCTTTCTCGCAACTTTTTCTGATGCCCTGTGCGTGTTGTATATGCTTCAATGATGCACGATGAATACCGTGTACAGATACTTAAGCCAAATATGGACGTTGGCTGTGACGGACGTGGTACACTACTTTGCGCTTATCGCCATGATCGGCCGTTGCGGTCAAATGGGCAAGGTCCCAAACCCCTGTCCAATTGTTTATGTATGTACACTGCGAGTGCTACTCACCCGCTTTCCATCTCCACTGCCGATTTTCCATCGATCAACAAGCCAAAACGCGGAACCCAGCGTCGTCTTCCTCTCTCCTCTCGACAAGCCTACATTTCGCTCGAGATACACGTACCGAGTGCACCGCTAGGATTTACATCGCAAACCCTCTCTCCATCGCGTCGCAGTTGGGCTGCAGATACTACCAGTTGATCGCTACCTTCCGCTCTCGCGAATGAGCCTCAGCATATACGCGAACCAAGAAAACTAGCCACAACACGCCCCTGACGTCCTCTTCCCCGCGCCGGGACCGATTAGACCCCCCCGAAGGTTTGCCCCACGACGCCCTCACCTCTAGAGCCTAGAGCGGGGCATCGTGATAGCCGGCAACATGTCATCGCCAGAGCAGATGGGCATCGACACTAGCCGCCGCAACCGGATCCCGCGGCCATTGACGGAGGATGAGCGTGCGCGCCTTGAAGAGTTTATAGACTCGATACATTACTCCACCAGGTATGTTTCCCCGGCACTGCTGAACTTGGTTGGTTTCCGATACTCACACGCGTCAGATACTCGGATAACGAGTTCGAGTACCGACACGTACAACTTCCCAAGGCGATGTTAAAAGTTATTCCCGCGGAATATCACGATAAGTCGAAAGGCACTCTGAAGCTCTTGTGGGAGGAAGAGTGGCGGGGGATGGGGATCACACAGGTTCGCCGCATCGAGCAACAAATTCTGGCCTGTCAAACGCTAACTCGTCCGCAGAGCTTGGGCTGGGAACACTATGAGGTCCATGAGCCGGAGCCCCATATTCTGTTATTTAAGTAAGTGTTACACGGCTGATAGGTCGATGTCAACCCCCGATGACTGACACGAAACAGACGTCCGCTGAACTATCAGCCCCCGCAGTGAAGCGCGTGGCGAGTAAGAGAAGGAAGCTTCTTGGACCGATTCTGTACTGCATTTTGCATTACCATAACACGACTGCATAGCGACCGTCAAATTTTACTGTATGCAATGCACGAATCCGGGGCCAGTTGACACCGAGTCTCGTCGCTCGGCCTGTTTCGACCCCGCCCGACGACCGACCGGTTAATGAATCCGTGCCATCATGAGCCGGCGCAGTCGGGTCGAGACAGTTTGGGCGGTCAGCCACACAACGTGGGGAGGGGAAGCCGTGGGCGAAGCGCTGCAAGCGCCGACTGAATGGCGCAGGACGTTGTTGAGATAAGCGCATCCGGACAAGGAGAACTACTAGGGTTCGAGGCAGTTGATCCGCGGTGCTTGCCATTGTTGATTAATACATTGTACTGGATGAACAAATTATTAACACCACCAGTCCGACCACACCCTGCATGCCAAGTTTGATGGTTTGGGATGAAAAAACACATTGGTGCATCTCGAAATCGATGCTGCCATCAAAGCAAAGGCTCGTGGCGCATGGACGCTGACGATGGCCAAGAAGGAATGAACTTCATTTTCCAAATTGAAGTGCGCAGTACGGAATAATGTCGGATGGAACTCACGGTAAAAATAACTAGGCGTGACACCTTTCGGTACCGATCTAGACACGAACCTGGAATGTCTCAAAAAGATCTCGATTACATACCTACACCGGGAGCCGGGAGAAGGACACGCTGCGCCACTTCTGCCGGGCGAGGAAATATCGGCCGGTTCCATTCCTACCGAGCAATCAGCATGCAGCAACATCGTTCGGTCGGCAATTCAGCATCTGCTGATCTTTGTTCTGGCCACATTTCCTTTTTCTTAAGAGACCCCTCCCCATCGACCTATCCTGTCGATATGTAAGCCGGGCAGGTCGACGTGACCCGCCACGTCCGTCTCTTAAGCCATGGACGGGCCAAACAAAAGGCCAACTTCTAGCTTCTTTGACAGGTTCGCTTTATGAGTTCAGTGCCCTGTTTATTGATCAACACCAGTCTCTGCAATTCAGTACTGCCAAGCCTTCTTGATAGTATCCGAGTGCTCTTACTAGGACGATAAAGTCCCGATAAGCGGCTTATCGTCGAAATCCCCTTGTGGACACCTACCTTATCCTACACTACATATACCATTGACGTCGAACCACTTCTTTGGGAGGACCTTGACGTTTCAGACCGGGTCGCGGGAAACGTTCCCAGACCACGCACTAATAACCAACCGTCGACATCGACGCACTAGCAGCACAGGCCGGCCCTGCGCGCCCCTCGCGGTCCCAACCACCAGCCAGCATTTCCGAAACGACCGCAGAGCTGCGCCGACTGCCATCATGAAGTCGGCTGCTCGCCTCTTTTACCTGTCCGTCTTCGCCCTCTGGGGATCGCCCGTCAGATGCCAGAACTCAGACTCAGACTCTCCATCCCAAGATGCATGCGCGGTATGCTCTCTTTAGCCTTCTCGCCGCTTTTGGCGCCGTCAGTGCCGCTTCGCCACGCTGCTCCGGAGCGGCAGCAGCAGCAGCAGCGGTCCAAGTTCGCATATTCCATTCTAACGGTTCCCTCTGGCAGATCTCACCGAATGCCATCGTCAGTGACGCATGCGCTTCCTACTCAACCCTCGAGCGGCTGAACCGCGACGTCAAGCCGGCCCTTGACGAACTCACGCGGACAACCGACTTCTTCTCCCACTACAGGATAAACCTCTTTCACAAGAAGTGCCCGTTCTGGAACGACGAGAATGGCATGTGCGGCAACATCGCCTGCGCTGTCGAGACGCTCGACAACGAGGACGAAATCCCCCCAGTATGGCGCGCCAGTGAGCTAGGTAAGCTGGAGGGACCCCACGCGCGACACCCCGGAAAGAGCCTGCAGAAAGAGGAACCGAAGCGGCCGTTGCAGGGGTTGTTGGGAGAACACGTCGGGGAGAGCTGCGTGGTGGAGTACGACGACGAGTGCGACGACCGGGACTACTGCGTGCCCGAAGACGAGAGCGCGACCTCCAAGGGAGACTACGTGAGCCTGCTGCGGAATCCGGAGCGCTTCACGGGGTACGCTGGCGACGGCGCAAAGCAGGTGTGGGACGCCATCTACCGGGAGAACTGCTTCCAGAGGAGCTCGTTTCCGCACTCGGCGGCGCTCGGTCGGGACACGTCGCCCAGGGGTCCCGCAGCAATGGATTTCAAGGCGGTGATCGAGGCGGCCGGCAGACAGCAGGTCCTGGAGCAGCAGCGGCAACACAACCCGTTGACGCCCTTCGTGGCCAAGACAGGGCTCGAGCACGAGGATGAATGCCTCGAGAAGCGCGTCTTCTACCGGGTTATCTCGGGTATGCACGCGAGCATCTCGACGCACCTGTGCTGGGACTTCCTCAACCAGACGACTGGGCAGTGGCAGCCCAATCTTGGCTGCTACGTCAACCGCCTACACAAGTTTCCCGACCGCATCAGCAACTTGTACTTCAACTACGCCCTCCTTACGCGCGCCATTGCCAAGCTCGAACCCTATGTCTCGCAGCAGCAAGATTACATGTTCTGTCTAGGGGACCCGGAGCAGGACGATGACACACGTGCCAAGGTCATGGCGGTGACCGAGAAAGCCGCCAGCGTGCCCCAGATCTTCGACGAAAGCCTGATGTTCAAGAACGGCGAGGGTCCTTCGCTGAAGGAGGACTTCCGCAACCGGTTCCGGAATGTGAGCCGCCTGATGGACTGCGTCGGGTGCGACAAGTGCCGCCTGTGGGGAAAGCTGCAGACGGCTGGCTACGGGACAGCTCTCAAGGTGTTGTTCGAGTTCGACAACAATGACAAGCCCCAGGTTCCGGTGCTGAAGCGCACCGAACTGGTTGCGCTTTTCAACACGTACGCTCGGTTGAGCAGCAGCATGAGCGCCATCCAGAAGTTCAGGGAGATGGCCGAGCACGAGGAGGCGGCCAGGGAGCTTGGGGAGCGCCTCAAAGAGGCGGAGACGCTCAATGTCATCCCCGACCAGGCGAAGAAGCCGCGCCATGCCATTGTCCCGGGCTCGTCCGAGGCAGCGCCGTCTGAAGCGGCCGATGAAAGGCACGATGATCGGGAGACGCCAGAGTACCATAAGCGGACCGTCAAGGACGAGTTTGACGACGAGATGGGAAGGGTCATCAAGGTGGTCAAGTTTGTCCTTAAGAGCTGGATCAATTTCCCCGCGATGCTGTGAGTTGGCCCCCTTCCGCGAAGGATTTGAACCCCTGGTCATTGTGCTGACATGCGGTCTAGATGGCATATCATCACATCCGAGTTGATACGCTTGTGGCAATACTACATCGGTTTGCCTGTTAATCCAAGATCGTGGGGCTTTGAGCTGCCGAGGGTGGATGAGCTTTAGACATAGTGGTCTATCAGTGTTCTCTTTCTAGCATTGCATCATGGTCCAGAACAGAGGAGGGCATGGCACGGAGTTAGGTGTTGCTTAGACTTCCCTGGGTATGCACATTTTGTGGGATTGTATATAGGTACTACTAAGGCACCTTACATTTTCTGGAAATGTCAGTCTGCGGAGGAGTACAGAAGGCGTACCCGACCGGAGTAAACTACCGTAGGTGACTGTGATAGCAACACTACTAGTATCTACCTACCTGTACGGCTGTACCTACCTTAGATGTTACACACACCAGCTGTACCAGCACGGCAACGTATCCCTTCGCGCACCATGTGGCGGCTACAAGCCAAGCAAGTTCTTCACACCCCTCTCGAGTGCCATCTTTCCCGGCTGGCGCAACGCAACGTGCGTTACTGCATTCCCTATTTTCACCTTGACCCCGTCAACGGGTATCTGTATGTCCCGGATCCTCTGGCGTGCACCATTCCCGCCAAACACCCGGTCCGTCACGCTCTTCAGCTCGTCCGTCGGTTCGGCAAAAGACCACGCAATCGATACGTGAAACGCATTCCCGACTTGCCCCTCCGCATCCTCCGCGTCTGCCCACCGATAGAGCTCCGGCTGTCCGTACTTTGCAACCACCGAGTTACACCGCCTTAGCAATGCAGTCAGTTCCGGATTCGGGTTATTGTTATTGTTGTCCATCGATTTCGCATCCTCATCCTTATGCTCACCCTGAGCATCCCCATCGCTTACCGGCGCCGCACAATGCCGCGAATAGACCCTCAACACCAAAAACGACCGCCCGCTCTCCGCCGTGCGATGCCACTCCACCCGGCTACAGCCCAGACCAAACGCTGCAAGCCCGCTAGACTTGAAGGTCCCTTCCACCTCGGCCAGGAACCGGTCCTTCTCCGCCGAGGATAGCGCGATGGGCCGCGACAGACTGATGTGCAGCGGCTGCGGCGCCCCCAGGTCGCTCAGCAGGAAACTCGTGACTTCCGCAGGCCCCGCGGCTTTCCTCGCCTGCTCCTGGAGGGACGAAACGAGGTTGGCGAGGAGCGCGTGGACGGGCGGTGGGGGGTGCCACTCGACGTAGATGTGGCTGGGCCAGTTGCCGGCGACGTGGGGGATCTGGCGGGTGCGGCCTTGGTGCAGGCCCGGGTCGTCGCGGGTGGTGGTGCGGACTGTGGCGGCGTAGAGGTCGTGAAACGCGGCCGGGAGAGGGGGGAGTGCCGGTGGGGTTCCCGTCCGCTGCTTCTTATTCGGAGGTGGGCCGCCCGGATCGGAATCCGCATGGTCGGTGCCAGATGCGGGCTCGGAGTCATCTGAATCGGAGGGGTAATCCACTAGCGGCATCGTTGACAGACGGAAATCTCAATCCGCTTCAACGGCGCGGGCAAGTGAGTGGCGGTCCGCCTCGGCACCGCTCATTCGTTTTCGTTCCGTTTTGTTTCCAGTGAACCGTTCCACTTTACGTTCGGTCCGGGGTCCCGAGCGACTTGGCCGCGGCCGATCTCAAACCACCTTATGTAAAGGCCACGTTTGGGTGTTGTAACCGCGCTGACTAGGGCTGCAACAGCAAACGGTCCGGCTAAGATGGCCGACAAAGCACAGCGTTCGAAAGTGCTAAAGCATGCTAGATTTGTGTTGTCGTCGCGGAGTCGGCTTTGACTGCGACGGACACCGGGAGTGTCCAATTGGCCGGCTACACTGGGCCCTATGATCGCCCGCTACCCTTGCCTGGGCGAATGCAACAGGAACAGATGATGTTACCACGGGATGCAAGACGAGCCGCGGGGCAATTGGTCTCGAACAAGTCCTTCCTGATCAGGGCCGCCATGTTGCTCTTTGTGCGTATGTAGGTTGTACAGTACTTAAGCGCTGCCTCAATAAAACCGCTGACAAGCTCGTACAACTCTTTTACAACTCCTGGCTTTTCGTATTGAAGCGTTCCCTCACAACAACATCCGATTCCTCGTGCATTGAATTACATCTCTACACCAGTTTGCTGAACACAACACTAGCAGCAAAAGAACTTGAACTCCGCCAAAGATACGAGACCCACTCATCAAGCAGGGCTGGGTCGCTGCTACACCCAAAATGGATGACAGGGGTTACGTGGAGGTCGCTGTCGACAAGCAATGGGTGAGCTTCATTCTTCTTCCATCGCAAGAGACACATACACCAAGTCGCGGACTCTCGATGATTGTACTGCGCCGCAGAGGGGCTTCAAGAGTCTCAGCACCCTTTTCAGGACAGGACGTCACTTTCGGCAAGTGCTGAGAAGACTGGGTCTTCTATTTTCTGTCAAGTGACTCCGGGTGGAGTTTCGCGAGGCATCGTCTACTCGTCAAGACTACTACCACCAATCCATTGTCCCATTCGCATCCACGAGTTCAACTTCGAAGCGATCCGGGGGAAAGTTCCTACTGTACCGTCTCATACCTACATACCAAAATGAATTACGCTTCACTATCGCGACAGGTCGGCGGCGAGCTTTCTTATCGGTGCCAGGATGATCATCACTTACATGCGATCTTCCGGGAGCTTCGGGAGTTGCGTCACCGCTCGCGACGTCAATGGAGTCTGTCTGCCAAGTTGCAGGCACAGCATTGCCAACCTGCTATTCCTCCTGATAACTCAAAACAGATCCCGTGTTCTTGTTCTGTATCATTCATTGAAGTCAGACTTCCTCACTAATGCATATGTGCCTCGTCTGTCTTCACTTTCATTAGGCCTCTAAATACATCCTTGGTCCGCTCTACGATCCAGAGCCAAATCAAGTGTGTGCGACTCGTCTCAAGCCGCTCCCGACTCCGCCGGCTTCGGCACGTTCTGTCCTTGAACACTCCAGTCAGGAGCGCCGCCGAAGGCCGAGTGTTGATCACGGCGACAACGGGAAGGAGGAACAGCAACCGTTCTTCCGTCGGATTCTGAGTCGAACCAACAGTCTGAAGAGGAAACCCCTGCCTCCTTCTCCTCCACGCTCCAGCTCAAAATATTACCCACCACTATCCGGACTGGAACGGAAGAGGTCGATCTACACCGCCAACCCCCCACCGACGCGCTGGAACCAGGGCACCATCCTCTCCAGGGCCAACAGCACATCCTCCTCCACCAGGCCCGGCACAGGCGGGATGGCGGCAACATCAGACCGGGACAGACCCCGCCGCCGTGCCGGCTCCCTTGCGGAGCGCTATCCCGGCGATATGTCTCACAGGCCCCTCGAGATGTTGACTCAAGAACACATGGCACGAGAGCGGGGAGACGCCGACACGCCGCCCCGCCGGGCCAGCTCGCTCCGAGAGCGCTACCCGGGCGACATGTCCCACCGGCCGCTGGCCATTCTCACTCGGGAACACCGCGCGGCAGACCGCGCTCCCCATCTGCACAACCGCCGCCGCCAGCAGCCCAGCGACACCATCGACTCCCTGGACTCGACCGGGCCGGTCCCGGGCGTGACGTATCACCACGACGGGCCCTTCGACGCCACGCTGAAGGAGCGCAACCTCAACAAGAAGTACGCCCCCATCGATGCTGTGCGGGACACCAACGCCGAGGCTCTGAAGGCAACCCCGCGTGAGTTTGTGCAGGACTCGCTGGTGAAGCATGTCCCGCTGCAGGGGACGGCCGTGGTGCCGCCGGGGATGCAGGACTTTGGCGGGCGGACGATGGAGTACGAGGAAGGCGCCGACCTGATGCGTGAGGAGGATGCGCCCGGCGGGGCATACAAGCGGTGGGACCACGTTGTAAGTTCACCGGGACAAAATAACTTCTCCTTCATACCTTTTCTTTTTTCTTCATCACTAACCGACGTGCAAACGATAGCGCTACCGAGATGGTGATCTCAAAGGCAAAGGAGAGCCTGGGTGGTCCGTCGACCAAGCACGCCGAGACGAGCGGGCCCGCGGGAAACAGCATGCGGCCTCCTCCTCGTCCCGCGGTGGGACGATCCACTACTATGAGATGCAGCCTTCGTCTACCTTCCCTTCCACCTCCTCCCATGGTCGTAGGGGAGGCGGCGGCGGCGAGTACAAAGAAGAAGGGACCCGTGTCCGCCAGCGGAGTGTTAGCAATGGCGCCCAGCTGCAGCCAGAAGCGGATGATGATGGTATTGCCGGCTCCTCGGGGTTGCAGAGGAGTAATACCACGGGGAAGAAGCTTGCTCAGGGTTTAAAGAGGCGATTTGGGAGTTTGAGGAAAAAGAGGCTTTCTGACGAGGCGGGAGCTTGAAGTATCTTCTGGTGCCCGGAGGTGAATGTTTTAGAGACTCCTTGTATTGTATAGGTACACAGCAGGCGACGGGTGTTCTTTTGATTTAGTGGGCTATCTATTTTGTTTTACCCTTTCTGACATCATGTGCTGCGAGTCTCGAGATGGTGAAAGTGACAGAGGTGGAGTATCAGTCCTGGCAATATCGTGAGCTTGTCTATACCTTACCTGCTTCTATGCGTAGCTTACCCATCTCGATCTCAATGTGTATATTCCCTGTTTCGGTGTGTACCTTACCTGGCCTGCTTATACGCATGCACGTTACTTACCACTTATGGTACATTGTACTGTATTGACGTGGGTACTATGCCTACACTATGTTTACTTACGGATATAGATGGCAGGCTAATAGGGCCAATGTCAAATGTCAACCCCTGGGTTTCCAGCGCCTTTACTACTACCAACCTGAAAAGAGTGCCTAGCAATCAACGCGGTCCCAGTTGGTGACACAGGACCAGTGACAGTTTGTTGATTCAAGGCAAGAGATGACCAACCCCAGCTGCAGCTCTATGTATTCCGTAGCGAAGACTCGGAATGGGAAGGCCGTCTTTACATAGAAAAGTTACCTGGTACCGACCGACATTATTCAGCGACATCTCTTAGCGAAAATAGTGAATTACCCAGTCTATCTCAACCCACTACAATCCACCTTCAGACCCCTCCCCTTTTTACCCAGGTACTAAGTTTTGACTCTCAGAAATAATCCAACCCGGCCCAGCCCAGCACGCTCTCCAACTCGGCCCTCACCTCCTCGAGCCCGGCGTACCCGGCCCGGCCCGCCAGCTCAACGCGCCTGGCCATGCCCAGCTCGCCGAACCTCGCCAGCACGGCGCCATCCACGATGCTCCTCCCGATGCCCGCATCTACACCCGCGGGCGGGCAGTCCGCGTTGGTCATGCGGTAGCCCTTGGGGTTCAGCCCAGCGGCGTGCGGCAGCGAGTTGACCAGCTGCGCGGCGAGCGACGACAGCCGGCGGTAAGCCGACTCGGAGAGCGGGCGAAGCGCGGCGAGCACGCCCGTCGGCGACGCGAGCAGCAGGACGTGCGGGCGTTGGGTGGCCGGCTCGCGTTCCTGGGAGGAGGAGGAGGTCCCGTTCGACTGGGTTTGCGCTTGTTGTTTGCTGTCTCTGGTTCTGTCGGCCGGGGTGACGGCGGGGAGGAGGAGGGATTTTGTGGGGTGGTGGGCGCCCGTGTTGAAGGTTGTTCGGTGCAGGAGGAGGTGGCCTTGGAGGGATTTAGGGTCTGTTTTTTAGGGAGCAAAGGCTGTTAGTTCCGGGTTTCATGGCAAAGGTAAAGGATAAAAAAAAGAAATGGGAAAAGGAGTTTGGCCATTGACTCACGCTCCGGGTCGAACTGTAATATGTGGATGTGGCCGTCGGCGTCGCTGGCCACAATGAACAACTCTTTCCCGTCGGGGAGGAAATCTGCGTTCAACACCTCCAGCCTGGTAGAGCTCTTGCCAAACAGCATCATCTTGTAGGGCTCCTCGGTGTAGCCTGTGAACCACACGCCCTTGAACGCGTCGGCCATCAGGCACAGCCCGGTGCCCGGGAGCTCCTTGGCGGCGGTGACGTAGCAGTTCATATCCATGAACGCCACGGGCAGCAGCGATCCGTCTTCTTTGAGACCCCTGACCATGCATTTCTGGCCCTGCGCGACGAGCATGAGCCCCTGTGTGCCGATCTCGGAGAGCGCGGTAACCGCTCCTCGGGGGATGTCCTCCTTCGCGATGAGCTTCAGTTTCTTGCTCGTCTCGGGACGGCCAGGCTCGGGAATGACATCGGCGATGTCGTAGACATAGACACGACCTCTAGTCGGTAGATCCTCGCCTTTGGTCAGGGCGGTTCCAACCGCAACAAGCAGCTTCCGCTCGTTCGTGAACTCGGAGACTTCTAGATTCAGAGTCTCCACGCAGAGGATTGTCTCGCACGATTCCATGGGCACCGAGTCAACGACGGTCCAGGTGATGGGGCTCACGAGTTTGAGCACGCCCCGGTCGACCGTGGGCTTGAACGGGAGGTTCTCGCGTGCCCACTCCTTGTGGTAATCATCGTCTTTTGGCAGCTCAAACGGCTCGGGGGTGTTGCAGCCCAGCACATAGCTCTGCATCGGTGCGTGATATGCCACGGCGGCCACGTCCTCTCCGACGGGGATCTTCCTGACGGCCAGCCCAGTCTCTGCATAGCTCCAGCCGTCCGGCAGCTGGGTTACCCTCGCAATATAATTCGAGTCGGCATAGATAAAGCCATGCTCGCATCCCTCTGTGTGGAATGGGCTCATGGCGATGATCCCTGACCCTTGTAATGGCACGACCCGCGGAATCGACTTGGACGACTTGATGACGAAGCCTGGCGATGCTCCGGGCATGAACACGGTGCTGTATCCATGGATGTTGTTGCACCTGCGCATGGGGAGCAAGCGAGGCTGCAGTGATGCTTCGTCTTCGTTTGCTTGCTCAGGACTCTTGGCGAAAGCCACGTTGGGAAGCTTCTGAAAGTAAAGCGTCTTGGAGAATTCCGATCCGGATCCGGATCCCGCGCTCGCCCTGGTCCGGTAGGGCTGGTAGAGCGTCAGGTCATCGTTTGCGTGGCGAAGCTGCACCGGGTTAGCAGCCTACAAGGAGAAGCAAAGGAAGGGATATACGAACGATGAGATGAGGAGATTTGTGAGTCGTGTCCCCGAGGTCGGCAACCAGGATCTCCGTGAGAACCTGCTTTGCCGTCCCCTTCCTGGCCGCGTAGTCGGCCGAGAGGCCGGGGGGAATATACGACAGTCCTTCCGCGACATAGACTGGTTTTGACAGCTCGGGAAGACGATAGATCTGCCCCTGGTCAGAAACATGCGCGCAGCATGGCCGTGGAATAATACAGGTGTCTTCAACTCACATAAAGGGCGCCGCCGGCGCTCAGGAGGAACATCAGTACGCTCTGAACCGGTTGGCTGCCCTTTTCGGCCGGCTCTTCAGCAAACGTGCCATCAGCGTCGGCATACAAGCAGCCCGTGAGCCATTTGGTGGTGGCAAGCGTCTGATCGTCCTTGGTCAGCTCTTCCAGCTCGTTGCTGCTGTCGATCTGGGCGATAAACGCGCTAGAATCGTCCCGGATGATGAGGAGGAAGGGGTCCGCAATGCTGGCGCTGATGGCTCTGGGCTCCGCGCCCGTCTCTTCATCAAGCATGGGAACAATCTGACTGAGGCCAAAGTCTCCGTCGTAGCAGCGAACTTCCGACTTGAGGACCTGGATGATTCTGCTGCCTCGGCCCATAGTGCCCGCCTCGATGGTGATGCCGGCGGCCGGATCAAACTCGGTGCCGCCGAGTCCCTCAAAGCCCGCGGCGGTGAGAGCATAGACATCCGACTTCTCGTAACCGTCCAGGTCCACCTTGGCCACGATCATGTACTTGTCATACCGGCCCGACGTGTCATAGTCGCTCCCGAGCAGGTTTTCGCCTTTGTCATTTTGGAGTGACTTGGGGATTGGCTTCTTTGCGCACATGGTCCAAAACCCTCTCGCCTCGGGAAACTCGAAGCGGCCGATGACCTTTGGTTGGATCGCCAAGTTCACGATCGCAAGCGACGCCGACTGATCCCTGCCCACGGCGCAGACCAACTGTAGGTCGCTATGGGTACCAGCAGAGTTCCGCTCTTCTTCGCTTCCAGGCAGCCAGACCGGCTGGCTGTAGGTCACGGCTTGGATCGGCGCCATGTTCAGAAGGCGATCGTGGATGCGGAAAGTGACATCGCCGCTCAGGAAGCCGCTCGCTGCCGAGGCGGGCTGTTGACGGGCTGCTGAGGACTCTTCGCCATATAAGTCGTCCTCATCCTCCTCCTCTTCGGCTATGTCCTCGTCCTCCATCTCCAACTCCAGGTCCGCCTCTCTCGTCCGCTGTTTTCTCCGCCCCGCCGAGCTCTGCTTTTTGGCCCACCCGAATAGCACCGAGTCTCCTTCCTCAAGCCCAGCGAACATGGCATTCCGGCCTATCCTCGAGACTGTCGTGACGCGGCTTGGGATGACGGCGCCTCCAGACGGCGCCGCGAGCATCTTCAGCTCCAGACCAGACACTGTGCGGCCGTCGATGCGGAAGGTGACCAAGGCCATGCGGCCATCGTTCAGGATGACGAGGAATTCGCCAAGATCGGCCGTCAACGCTTCGATGACGCAGCCTTCCAGGCGGAGGTTGAGGTCCGACTGATCAACGAGACCGAACGAGGTGCATTGTCTCGTCATGGGGTTGACGGCAACGCCGTTGGCCTTGCCCGACTGGTCGATGTGGATCAGCTCGTTCGATCCCACGAGTAGGGCGCCGCCCACCGGAGCGGGCAAGGGCACCACCCGGAAAAGGTCCTGGGGCAGACCGCCAACGGACAGGATCGTGGTGGAGGCCTTCTGCTGCAGGTCGAGCGTGAAGACCATGTAGGTGTAGTGGTCCTTGCGGCCGAGCGAGTTCGACGCGCTGGCGGTCGAGGCGAGGATGCCAAACGTGGGCTCTCGGTATTCATGCAGAAAGGCGAGGTGCACAGGATGCAGCAGGCTTGGGTCAAGATGGGAGAGTCGGAGGACAAATGACGGTGAATATGGTGTGTCTTCTATGTTGCTAGCTCCATTTACGACGGCGCTTGACGGGTCTTTCGCCGGCCGCGGGCCGTCCAGCTCCTCATCCCAGCCACCCATGTCAATGTCCTCGTCGGCCTGCCTGAAGGGCAGGATAGCCAAGTTCCGGGCGCCGAACTTGAGCGCAGCGCATCTGCTACCCGGGTCTGCTGCCAGGAAGTTGACATAGTGGCTCAGCGGAGCAGCCCACGGGCTCCCCTGGAGCTCTTCTTGCTCGTAATAGTGGATAGACACGGTGGACAGCGCATGCCGTTCTGCGTCCCACTCGACCAGACTGAGCCTTGCGTCTTTGAATGCAATGAGGAGCGAGTCACATCCGTGGCGTGCGCCAGGCGTCTTTATCCTGGCAAGACCATTCACCGTGCCCGAGAGGGAGATCTCAGCAACGAGCACCAGCTTGGTGGTGTTGGCGCGATCCGTCCGTAGGGCAAGGCTATCACCGCCTAGAAAAGATGCTTCGAGGCCCTCGTCATCGTTGACTAACCGGCTGTCATAGCGCGCCGGATTGCGTGTTTTGCGGCGGTTGTTTTCCGGCGTTTCCAGCTCGGTCGAGACAACTTTCGTCCGGAATATTTGGAGGAGCGACGACTTCGCGACGACGAGGTTTGTGCCCTGCCCGGGGATGAACTGCAGCGTCGTGGAATGTGTAACGGCCGTTGGCGGCGTCAGCTCCGTGTAACACTGCATTGCTTACTCGTCGACCGCATATCTTGACTTCCAGTAAGGAGGTAGACGTGGTAGCCAAGTGCGCGTCGAATGGCGGGAACAGGGTCGGTTGCTGCTGTTGAAGCCTTCGAGATGATGAAGATGCAGATGGAAGGGGATTGCCGTGATTGGTTATCAGCAGACGCGACTCGACAAACTGCTCCCCGCGAAAGTTTGAGGTGCTGGGCCCACAACGACGGCCCACTGGCCCAGAACCTCGAACGCAGCGCTCCACAGGACGGAAAGACCCACAGAAGCTCCAGTGACCCACTCGTCAGTTCATCGGTTCATGCGGCATTGCGTCACAGCTTAAACTTGAAACCTCCTCCCTCTCTTACCTGCTTCCTCATAGCCAACTTGAACTTGGTCTTACCTGCAGCAGCATGCCAACTGATCGACGTAAGGGTTAAAGCTGGAAGCAACCGCAGCAGTATCTCAGACTATCTGCTCCCCGCAGTCCGTGCTTCCATTACCAATATCCGCATTCCGGGCGACAGATTCGAGGAAGACGTAACAAAATGGTGCCGGCAGGGCTGCTGCAGACCAGCCTGATCTGGGTCGCATACGGCGTAGCTGTCGTTCTTTGTCTTTTTGTCGCCGTCATCACAACGCTCACATGGCAAACTCGGTACGAACGGTCGGTCGCCGTGAGCATTGTCTCAATTATCAGCCTGACCTCGTTGCTCGCCACTGTTTTCCTGCTCCCCGTCGATATCGCGCTTGTCTCGTCAACCGCGTCGGCACACCTCGGCGCAAAGAAGGATTGGGCAACGCCCGAGCGGATTGACGGTATTCTCTTGACGCTGAAGATAGTGTACTACACGCTTTATACGCTGGACGCCCTACTATGCCTCCTCGTCATACCGTTCACTTACTTCTGGTACGAGGAATACGATGAGGTGGAGCAGCAAGAGCAACCGAGCAGCTGGGGAGCTCGCTTCTGGCACGCTTTCAAGTATACCCTTGGCTTCGTGTTCTTGGTGGTGATTCTCTTCCTCATCGGTTTCTTCGTGCCGGCAGCCGGGAAGGATCGCGGAAGACACATGGACCTGGACTACTTCAAGCGCCTGCTTGCGGCGAACAATGGGGAGAAGGCGCTGACCTTTGGTGTCGGCCTGCTCATGACCCTTGGCACCCTTCTCTACATATTATACACGGGTGCTGGTCTGGCTCTGCTTCCTGTGTCCTTCATCAAGTCCGCTCCGTCCATCTCCGCCCCCCAGCTGTCGGCGTCAACCAGCTCCGCGCTGGAGCGCAACCGCGAGCTCCAGCGGCAGCTGGAGATACGTAACGCCGGTCGCCCGGAAGGGATGTCTCAGAAGGACCGAAGAGAGAGGGACGCACTTCTACGCGAGGAACTCACCCTCGTGCGCCGTGAGAGGTTGGCGGCGGAAGCGCGTGGAGAGGGCCGCAGCAGGATCTACCGCGCCTGGACCAAGGTTCAAGCCGTCTTCCGACCCCTGAAGCTCCTCGGCGGCATCTTCCTCCTACTCCTGGCCATCCTCATCTGGGTATCGATGCTCATCACGGGGATTGACAAGGCCGCCAACTCCATCTGCAAGCAGCGATGTGGCTACATTCTGGGCCATCTCAACGTCTTTCAACCTGTCAACTGGATCTTCGTCCAGTCAGCCAAGGCCTTCCCGGCCGATTACATTCTCATGGCGCTCCTGGTCATTCTCTTCTTCAGCAGCTCCATCACGGGTCTCGCCTCGATCGGCATCCGCTTCCTGTGGGTGCGCATCTTTCAGATAAAGAAAGGTCGCACCGCCCCGCAGGCTCTCCTCATCGCTACCGTACTGCTGGCGCTCATGACGCTCGCCATCAACTACGCCATTGCCATGGTCGTTGCCCCGCAGTACGCCATCTACGGCACCCAGACCTTCTGCGTCAACGCCCCCCGCCACCCGGGCGAGCAGCCCGACTGCCGCGAACACCGGGACATGGTCCGTCCTTGCTCCGAAGTGTTTAGCGAGCCCGCCGCCAAGGACGTGTGCACGCCCACGGTCATGTCGACCTTCCTCAACCGGATCACGCTCAACTGGCCCGTGTTCGGCGCTGTCGATTTCTGGGCCCAGTTTGCATTCTTGGCTGTATTTTTGATTGTCTTCATCACCAGCCTGTTCCGGACACCGAGACTCAACCTTAGCGAGATCGATGAGGAGGCTGAGGTGGATGAGGAGGAGGGCCTACTGGCGAGTACGGGCAGGAGATTCGGTGCCACTTGGCAGGATATTACGGGGCGGACAACGAGGACGGTTCCTGGACAAGGACGGGCTGACGGCTACGGCACAGCTGCGGATAGGAATGGGGTTAGCTCGGGCGCTCGGACTTGAGGTAAACGAATGGATGGATGGGGATTTCGTGATGACATGACGAAAAGGGAACAAAAAGGGACTGGGACGCGAAATGGAATTTGGGCAGCGGGTTACTGGCGCGGTTATGGGATCTCATACACGAAGTTGCACTCCTAGAACTTCTGCGTGTGGGGTGTGGCGGTGTTCGATGGTTTCTTCGGACGGGTACGGCAACTGTTGATACGTGGTTACTAGTTGCTCTCAGAGCGTTGTCTCACTGGTCAAGGATAGGTTGGCTTAGGCTGGAACGGATCGGCCACTATATCTTATTTGTCATTTCGGCGGAACTCGGGCGAGAATGACTGTATCACTCTCGAATCAATAGCGAATAAACTGAAATGTGTCCAAAGCTTCTCTTGAGTGGCGTGACACAGAGACTGGCATTTCTATCCCAGGACTATTGGGAAGTACCTCAGCGAGTATTGACGGCTCTGGGCGCATCAGCGGGCTCATGTATCATGTATGACCGGACCGGTATGTGAGCGGGCAAAAAATGTCACCACTGCATCAACTATGGCTACGCCGCTGAAACTTCAGCCACTTGTGTCCGCGTTCATCGTACCCAGCCGACGGCCCAACATGCATCTCTTTCCAGCATCGCGCGCAATACACGTCGTTATCACAGCCCACACACCGGATCGTCGCGTCCTCAAGACACACGACACACCACGTCGTTTGGTCCTCGTCCGTGTATTTATTCGACCGTAGCAAGCCCTTGCCGGCAATAGTAGAAGATGTGCGACGGTCTTCGGGCCGAAACGTTGGTGCTGACGGGAGCCCGAGCTCGTCGAGGGATCCGAGACCCCTTAGAGAGGCCAGGCGCGCGGAGATGTCCTTCTCGAAGGCGCCTTCCTCTTCGGTAGTAAATACTGGGTCGACGAGCTGTGAGGGAACGGCGGGTAGGGCTAACGGCGATTCGTTACCGCTGGTGGCTGTAAAGCTCTTTTGCTCACCTCCAGTTTCTTCGGATGGCGTGCCTTGCTCGAGCATGCCTGGGGGTGCGGGCAGCGACTTGATCTCGTCACTTATCTGCGAGAGTACCGCCTGGATGGCATGGGTCATTTGCTCTCCGTCCGAGTCATCGTGGTCTTCCAACGATGTGTCCTCCACTCTCTGGGACATGGAACTTCCAGGGTTGTTCTGGAGCGACTCGAGCAGCTCTGCAACCTTTACGTCCCTGCTGGAATCTAGATTACTGGTTGTATCGTCGTCCGCAGCAAGGTCGAAATGCTCTTGCTCGAAGCCTTCAAGCTCAACATAAGCATCTGCATCATCTGCTCCGGCCTCGGGTACCCAGTATGGATCCTGTTTCTGATTGGCAATCTGAGAAGCAATCGGCGATGATACCGAGGATGCCTTACTGACCGCCTTATGCTTGGTGGCCCGACTTAGGTCCCCAGGCGGCGGTTCGACAGGAGCCGAGCCTGCTCTGCCGACTCCTTCATCTCCCGGTGCGCCCGGCGGTTGCGGGAAGCCAGTACTCTGGGAGACGCTCTCATCTCGGCTGATTTTAGCCGGCTGCTGACTCCGAAGCAGTCGTAGGCGTTCCGCTAAGGCATCCTCTCTTGATACCGGTTGAGCTTTGGGGCCAGGGGAAACGGCGCTGTTTCGCGCATACCTCTTAGCTCTCCGCGCTTGCATACAAAGGAGATAGATGCGGAATGTAAAGATTTTCAGGACGGGGCGTTGTTACTTTGCCGACTTTTCCAGACTGATGCCGCCAGCGGCGCCAGGCCTAAGGGCACTTAGCCGATCCAGCAGCGCTTGGTCGTCCGGGGATGGCATGCTGGGTGCCCAGTAACGGGTATAACCGCGAAGGGATACGGACCTCGCAACTAACTCGGGAATTACTGTGAAAGCAGATATGGTGTTGTCAGGACCAGCACTTGGTGTAGCCGGACTTGTCACGACATCCGATGGGGTATGTCGGGGGGTTGACGCCGGCGAGCGGAGCGATTGGTCCTGTGGTAAGGCAGACTCCAAGTCTCAACGCGACCTTGCAGCGCAGGTGCCAGCGGAGAGATGATTCGGCGGGGTTGTGAGGCGTGCTGCAAGAAAGCAATCGCGGATTGGCCAACCAGGCAGTTGGATCCCCAGCAGCCACGGCCGGGTGGACCCATAGCCCTGGCGGTGCCCAGGTGGCAGGTGGTAGGTACCTAGGTGAGCTAGTTAACTTTCGAGTCATTGCAAGTTCACCACTTTGTGGCGCCAGTTTTTGCGGCTTCCATCTGGGGATCTTCGGGATTTGGACGTCATCAAGCGCGCGACAAGGAGCCTACCACTTAAACTTACCTCTACCTGCCTGGTAGTAACCACTCATACTACATAATACCGGTCAGGTTGTACTGTAGTCAACATGCTGCAACTGACGTCAGAAGACTGCAGCAGCAGGCAGTCTGTGTACTAGATGGACGTTTTTTGCGATCTTTCACACGCTGCTAGGCGCACACGGCTCTTTGGCTCGCTGCCCTGGTTGCAAAGATTTTTCGCCATCCGACTTGGATCAACTCTGCGCCAACCTAAAAGGCTGTGACTTCCTGCGACTTGTTTATACTAACAGTACAGTACCTTAGTCTTGGCAGTCGTCTCTCTGATCTCTGGGCTGTGGCTTCGATGCCATCATAGGTTGTCTGCTTGGCATACGCAGCAGGCACAGCCCAACCATCTCCTCGGCAAGGGTCCAACAAAGCCATAAAAGCATTTCTTATATCATCCCGGTCCCCGTGACGTTAGTGCTTGAACCTCGCCGACTTTTTTGCGACTTCCATCACGCTTTTACCCACCTAGTCAATATCAAGCGAAGCCTAATACTGGGCAGTCAAGCCCTTCTTACTCCGTACATAGAGACTATCTGTCTCCTTAGATAACCATCTCGCTTACGTTTTAATTCTCACCATCCGCTGCATAATGCGGTTTACGTTCATCTTCCTCGCATCAACGCTCCTCGGCAATGCGGCGGTAAGCGCTCTCGTCGCGCCGCCTTCTGCAGAGGTCGCAGCACACCAGTCTGCGCAGAATACTCAGCGCGACGCGCCGGACTACGAGGATCTGTGGAAGCGGAAAGGCGGTGGTGGAGGAGGCGGCCGCGGTGGAGGCGGTGGTGGAGGTGGTGGCCGCGGTGGGTCATCGTCGGGTTCAGGGTCGTAAGTACTACTATCTCCATGTTCCTCTTTCCAGCACGAGGGTGCCAGGACGGTCATCGGTCGCATCTCCTTTTTTGTTGCGCCGTGGTAACCGGCGAACCTAGGGGCCGTGGAGGTTCTGGCTCAACAAGCGGGGGATCGAGCGGAACAAGCTCTTCCGGCCGGGGAGGGTGGGTCCTCGCTTCATTCCAGACGTCCAACTTGCTGCACATAGTCACTAACGCAATGATCTCAGAAGCGCCGGTCGGGGCTCTAGTAGCTCAAACACTGGAGGCCGCACCACATCCGGCAGTGGCCCTAGTCCAGCATACGGTGGGGGGAGATATTACGGTGGCGGAGCAGCCGTACCGTACAGGTCTGGCAGTCGTTCTCCAACCGGTCTTCTGCCCGTCTTCTTCTTCGCCGGTGCGCTCGCTTTCTGGCCCGGTCTATGGCTCTATGGCGCCCACCTGTACCACTACAACCACCCGTACAGCTTCTACAACCAGTCCGCCAATCGGAACGAGACGAAGCCCGTGACGTGCGCCTGCGATCCGTACCTCGAGTGCGGCTGCGATGACACCGGCGACAACCAGCACCTGAACGACCTGGTCGGCAACGGCAGCTATGCCGCCCTCAACAAGTCGGTGATCAACGTCGCCGATGTGAATGGCACCAGCACCATCCTGCTCAACGGTACGCTGCCTAACGGCACCACTGCCGCCGGTGGCACTGAGGACCCCAACGCTGGCAACGGCCTGCGGGCCCTGTTGCAGCACGCCGGGTTGTGGCCCGTCATTGCCACCGTTTGCGCCATCGTCTTCACCGCTTAAGGTTGAATATTCTGGCTGTATTTACTGCAACCGCTTTTTGCGAACGTCACTTCCTTTCTTTGGTTTCCCTGGTGTTATACCCATCTGCCGGGACGGCGTTTCGGTGTCGGAGAGGGGCGGCGATTTCTTGATGACGACCTGCTACGAGTGGCTGACCGGCAGAGACTGGCAACGAGCCTTCTAGCCATCCTCAGCTGGCAGCCGTAACTTGGGTAGTACCTAGACAGCGAATGATTCTACGATAGCAAAACATGGTTTCCCTATTCTCAGACCATACCACGGCGTACGGAAGTACTAGTATCAACTGCTGCCTTAGTTCTCACTTCGCTCCCAGGGTTACGGGAATAGCGGCGGCAGTGGCCATCGCCGCGGGAGCTGCAGTCGCTGTTACTGTAATCTGAGCCCTTTCCGCCCTCCGTTTCTCAACCCACTCTCCCAATCCTTTCCAGATATCCTCCTTCTCCTTGGGCTTCAACGTAGCGGCCAAGCCACTCGTACTTGTCGCCACGAATATCCTTGCCCCTTTCCAATCGGCCCCATAGTCCACCCCGTCCACCTTCTCATCCTCCCCCAGCACACCTCCATCCTTCGAGACCCCCATGTTCTCCCCTTCATCCTGCCACCCATAATGGAACTCGCTCGCCTTGATGGCCCTCCCATGCCGCACCCTCCAGAGGCTCTCCCAGATACTCTTCCCCACGACGCAGACTGTCTCGGGCCTCCACCGCCTGACCTTCTGCTCTAGAATCGCGGCGCCCGCGTCCATCTCGGCCTTGCTCAACTCGGCCCCGTTCCTGCTCGGGCGCGCAACGATGTTGGTTAGCCCGAGCGAGTACATAGCCGGCATCTGCCTGTCCTCGGTGGGCGACACGAGGCGCGGGGTGACACCGGATGAGTGCAGCAGCCGCCAGAAAAGGTTCGTTGGGTGTGCGTAAGCATGTCCCGTGCGCGCTGTCTGGATGCCGGGGTTGAGGCCGATGAAGAGAACGAGCAGGTTGGGCGCGATGGCGTCGGGGAGATGGGGGAGGTGGGCGTAGGTTGACGGCGGAGCGTAGGAGGAGCTTTGGCGGGTACGTTTGGCCCGCGGAGTGGTCGATTTCTTGCTCGTGGAGGAGGAGGAGGTCGGAGATGAAACGTCCCCCTCGCCACTGCCTCCGTCCGCAACAGTGAGGGCTTTGCGCTTGGCTGGGGAGGGCGACGTTGGGATGGGAGAGCGCGCGGATGGGACGGCCGTCACTGAGGGCGTCCTGGAAATGCGGGGGCTTCGTCGTGGCCCGGTGGCCGTCACATTGGCGTTGAACCTGAAGCTGTCGAGCTCGAGGCGGCCCTGAAAGGTCGGCGGTGGACGTCCGTCCTCCGCTGTATCCGTTGTCGTTGTCATTTGGCGGACCTGGAACCTTGGGTCCCAGAGCGAGTTCTACCGCGTAATTATCTTGGAATGCCCGGATGGCTTCAGACAAGACCTAGAACTGTCCGCAAAGTCGGTTGGTTCAATCTGGAAGTAAGCGGCATCGCCGGTTGAACGGCTGCTTCGAAGTCATTGCCGTCAGATCGTTTCTGAGGGGGCGAATCGTCCGCCCTGAAATACCCCTGCACGCCCCTGAACGCCACCCGAAGCTGTTAGGCGCCTCATATCAATGCCAGCTAGTATTGATTGATTGTCGTCGAGTGGATGCTTCACAATGCCACAGTCAGTTGTTAGATCTCAGTCTTTTTGGGAGACTTGACTATGCTGACTTCTCTCTTCTAGGTCGTGGTGAATATCGCATCGCGACTTCTTCCGTGCTCCTCGCACTGCGCTGCCCTGCAGCAGAAAAGATGCGAGCCGAGTCCCACTTGCCAGGCTGTCCCGGCACTTCAGACCGCCCCTGCCCTGAAGACCAATGAGAGGCTGCGCTTGAGGCACACGGTGGGGTCATCGTCGCGGTGTCTCGGCTGGGATGCGCAACCACCAGTGGCGCAAGCCGGTAACTGCGGGGCAGTTTTCTAAATGCAGCCGCACGCATTCCTGGCATCTTCTGTCGGGCTGTGGCTGCCGAGGCGGGGCCCGTATCCGAATGGATCTGTCTCGATGGGCGGTGTTGCGGCTGTCGTGTTGTTGGACTTCAAATAGATCGCGCTCGCTCCCGTGTTGGTGTCTCGTGCTCTCTCATTCGAAATAGTCAGTTCAATTTCAATTCCATTCACTTCTCCATACCCAAACTCGATTGCACTATACTTGCTTGTGGTTTTACCACTTCGCATCACTCAAACCTTCGCTATGGCCGCAGTCGAGGCACCGACCCAACAACAGCTCTCAGAGCTCAAGCAGAAGTACACCCTTGCCGGTCAGGGCCAGGTGTTTACATTCTACGACTCCCTGTCCGCTGCAGACAAGGCATCACTGTACCAGCAACTAGCTCTCTTCGACCCCTCCTACATCAACACAATCGCCGCCAAAGCCCTTGCCCCGGCCAAGGCTGAAGATGGCGCCGCCGCCGCCCAACCGTCACTCGAGCCCCTTCCGGACTCGGCCCGCGCCAGTATCATGGACTCCAAGCCCGATGACATTGACCGGTGGTACTCGGAAGGCCTTGATCTGATCGCAGCAAATAAGGTCGGCGTAGTACTCATGGCTGGAGGTCAGGGCACCCGTCTGGGCAGCTCCGCGCCCAAGGGATGCTTCGACATTGGCCTGCCGTCCCACAAGTCCCTGTTCCAGATCCAGGCTGAGCGCATCCGCAAAGTCGAGGAGCTCGCCGCCAAGAAGGCCGGCACGGGCCGCAGTGTCACAGTCCCGTGGTACGTCATGACGTCGGGGCCGACCCGCGGGCCTACCGAGCAATACTTCAAGGAACACAACTATTTCGGGCTGAAGCCCGAGAATGTCATGATCTTTGAGCAGGGCGTGCTCCCCTGCATCTCCAACGACGGGAAGATCCTGCTCGAGAGCAAGAGCAGGGTGGCGGTGGCGCCGGACGGCAACGGCGGTCTCTACAACGCCCTGGTCGAGTCCAAGGTGCTCGATGACATGAAGAGGCGAGGGATTGAGCACATCCATGCCTACTGCGTGGACAACTGCCTCGTCAAGGTGGCCGACCCTGTCTTCATTGGCTTCTCGGCCTCTCTGAATGTCGACATCGCGACCAAGGTTGTGCGCAAGCGCAACGCTACTGAGAGTGTCGGTCTGATTCTCTGCAAGAACGGCCGGCCAGATGTGGTTGAGTACAGCGAGATCGACCCGGCGGTGGCCGCCGAGGAGGACCCCAAGCAGCCTGGCGTGCTCAAGTTCCGCGCTGCCAACATCGTCAACCACTACTACTCGTTCCGCTTCCTGAGCACCATCCCCCAATGGGCGAAGACACTCCCGCACCACGTCGCGCGCAAGAAGATCCCGTATGCCGACCTCGAAACCGGCGAGACGGTCAAGCCCGCCAAACCAAACGGCATCAAGCTGGAGCAGTTCGTCTTCGATGTCTTCCCCATGCTGGAGCTGAACAAGTTTGCCTGCATGGAAGTCCGCCGCGAGGACGAGTTCAGCCCGCTCAAAAATGCTCGCGGCACTGGGGAGGACGACCCCGACACGAGCAAGCACGACATCATGGCCCAGGGCAAGCGCTGGGTGCAGGCCGCGGGTGCGACTGTCGTCGGCGAGGATCCCAAGGCCGGCGTCGAAGTGAGCCCGCTGGTGAGCTATGTAAGTGTTCCCCTGCACCCATCCACATTTAACTGCGCTAACTATCGTTTCAGGGCGGCGAAGGTCTCGAGAAGTTTGCTGGCAAAACCCTCACTGCTCCTACCGCTCTCGAAGCTGAATAGAGCAATGATATGTCAGGACGCGGGTATAAACGTGTCCTAGCATTGCTAATAATGCCCGGTAGGAAAAGGAATCTTGACAAGCGTTCGGAATATAGAAAAAAAGAGTAATACACTTCACAATGATCAAATCCATCTACCAGTCCTAGAACGGAGCCCAACGATGTGATCTTCCCAGAAAGCGCTGAATGTGGGATTGCTTCGAAATCACAGCAAAGCAAAGTAAATAGGGTTCGAGCAATGGCATCCCACTCAGTTCTACCTCTATCCGCATCGAAAGCAACGCCGTTGAGAGGTTAGCACGCAAAAAACGTCCAACCATTTCGCTCAGGCACCAGAACGCCGGCTTTCTATATGTTACCAAACCTCCTGCAATTCACACCAAGCCTTCCTTGCCCTCTTCCTCGCCCCATTCCTCGCGCCGCCGCCGGGCCAAGCCGCCGCTATGGTCCCTCATGCGCTGTTCAAGTAACTCAGATAGCTATTCCACCCGATACTAATAACGTTCACAAACAGCAGCCGGTGCTGCAGCGGCACGAGCTTGAAATTGACCAGCTGCACAAATGGCCACACCATCCAGTTCGTGGTGAGCGCGTCCTTGTAGCTCTTGGCGAGCTTTTCCTTGGGTGACGTGCCCTCCAGCAGGGCCATGCTGCTCAGAAACACGCCGATGAAGGTCGGCGCAAAGACGCCCTGGTCGCAGGCCACGCGTGCCAGAATCGTCGTGTTGGCCGAGCCTAGGTTGACGTGCCGTGCGAGGATCTTGAACCATGTTGCTGCCGCGGGGCCGAAGACCACTGTTTTTCATGCAAGATGGACGACTCTTGTGTCAGCATTGTAGTCTGAAAAAAAAGAAAAGAAAAGAAAAAGGAAAAAAAAAAGAAAAAAAGGAAAAAAAAGAAAAAAGAAAAAAAAGAAAAAAAAAGATTTTGAAGGGAGGCGACGGTGTAGTGCTGGAAGGAACACGTACCGCCGCCGTAAAGGGCCATTCGCCCCGTGCGAGCCATGTCGTGTTTCTCGATGCCCTTCTTATCAACGAGCTGCTGGGCCGTCACGTCGCCAATCGCGAAGAGCACCGAGGTCGTGACGGCCTGTGTGAGAAGGGGCCGCGCCGCTAGGCGGGCTTGATACCTGGGGTCCGGATTGTCAGCCTTCTCATGGAATTCTAGAACGTTTCGTAATCTGCCCTTGGCTATTTGTGATGTCTGGGGGTGCTTCTTACCATCTCAGCATCGTGTGGAAAAACAGGGCACTAAGAGACCACACAGGAAGGCGTATCTATGAGACGAGACTAGGAACCGTGATGGGGTTCACTCAGTGTTCCCATGAAACCGGGTGACTTGTCAACGAATCTGAAGGCGGTTTCACAAAAGCTTCCGGGGTGGTTGATGTGTGGAAAGGAGGTGATTTGATAGTGAAGCTCCTCAGCGCATCGCTTATTGTTCCAGCGATGATTCCTTCTCACTTCAACCCCCACTCAATCCAAAGTCATATATATAGACTATGAGTAGTCATCACACAAGAATTTCCCCGGGTCACTTCTTGATTCATCCATTGATCGACGCCGCCTCGCGGTTACTCAATGTCCATCTCGGGTAGGGCCAGTGTTCACGAGACCTGCTGAATCTGAAAATATGGGTCCTATCTGCGGAGCCACGTTCAGGGGGATCTGGGCAGCTTGGCCTGGCGGTGTAACTTCGGTTCACTTAAACGTGGGGGAGCGATTCATGTTCAACTTCATGAACCCTCGTTTGCCGTCATCAACAAGTGAATTGATTAAGGTACTGTGTATTGAGGGCATCGCTGTTCCGATGTACATGTACATACTACACAATGCGTTAGGTAAACCCCGGGGTCAACAGTATTCGATGCTCGCAAGCACTGATAAATGGGTTTCATTCCACAACCTCAACCCAGTTCATAAGCATGCCCCGCATATCATGGTTCGTCTGTATGCTGTTGAGATTTCATCTCATTATCAACAGCTGATCCCATACAAACACAAATCGCATTGGTCCCAACCATTAAACGCACTCCACTGTCTCGCAGAATCATGGGTTGGAGAGGAGGTATTCGACAGCGCCTTGAACACTGCCGCCGCTGCGACGCAAGGCCGTCACGTTCTTATCGAAATCAAAGAACCCCATGTCGTTAAGCTGGCGGAGTTGCTCGGCATAGCGCTCCTCCGGTGGTCTGTTATCGGGAGGCGCCGGCGCCGCTGCCGCTGCCGGGGCGACTCCCGGGAAACCCCCACCGGGTCCATACAACAGCGAGAGTTGCCGGAGGGCTTCCGGTGGGATGTTTGGTGGCCACCCGAAGGGGTTGTTGGTGTTGGAGCTCTGGGCGCCTGGCTGTCCTGCACCGAGCCCGAGCAGCGCGCTAAAGGGGTTGAGAGGCTGGCCGGCCTGGCCTTGGGTATCCGTGCTGCTGCCAGCGGAACCTTCTCTGTTATCAGACGAAGCGGTTGTTTGGGTTGAAGTTGCGGGTGCCTGGCTCGCCGTGGTTGCTCCGCTGGAGGGGCCTCCCGGTGGAGTGATACCTAGGAGGCTAGCGAAGGGATTCGCAGCCCCCGGGGCAAAAGGATTGCCAGCACCCGGCGGGCCAAAGAGATGTCCGAACAGGTCGTCATTGCCGTTGTTACCCGCCGCTGCGGAACCTCCGGTCGCTGCAGCACCGGCGGGCGTAGTGTCCGTAGCGCCGGGAGCGGGAAACGCCGAGCCCTCTCCTCCACCATGCAATACCCTTCGCATTCGTGCTGCCATGCGGATGGCCTCCGGGTTCGTCATCAGCTCCCTGAATTGTGGGGATTGTAGCATCTCGCGGGCATTGGGCATTGCGGCCAGCGCGGGGTTTGACCGAAGCATATAGTCGATGAAACTGGGATTGTTGAGCGCTTCATTCATTGTCTGCGCCACCACCGGGTTTGACAACATCTCGGCAACCTGGTCTTCATTCGGCGGCGCGCCCATCTAGGTAGGTTACCATGGTTAGGATGGTGGGTAGAGCTGGAATATCTGGGCGGTATGAAACTTACCCCACCATCTGCGCCAAATAAGTCGGCGCTTGGTAAATTGGCATGACCGGCAAACCTCGCGCCCGTCAGTCCTGCGAGAAGGTCGCCGGCACCTGCACCGGAGGCCATGTTCTGGGGAACGGCGGCTGGGGTGGGTGTCGAAGACGAAGCGCTGGAAGGGGCGGCGGGAGGGTTGCTGCGAGCGCTCTTGACCATGTGGATGGTATTCATGTGCTTGATCTTATAGACGCTCAAAGCATCTGAATCCTTCATGATACGCCCAGAGTAGATCAGCCGCTGTCGCTCGACGGGAGTATCCTCAAAGTCGCTTCCCGCCAGCTTTGTCTTGAGATCTAAAACAGTTGCCGACTCGGCCATGGTGATTGTGTGCGCCTTGTCATTGGAACTCTTCACTTTGAAGGTAAGCTGGGCGTCGCCGCCCGTATCGCCGCTGTCTGCCATGACTGCGATAGGAGCAAGCTGAGTTCGGGCTGATGCGATTTCGGCGCGACGTTGAGATTGCTGCGATGTCGTTCGCTGCTCGGTGGACACTTGTCTCCGAGTTAAGATGTCAAAACAAATCCCCTTCCCTGCAAGTTAGCGATTATGTCGGCAAGTAATTATTGTGTTGTTGATGAAGGAGGGCAGGTCCTGGTGGAACAGCAATGATGTGCGTGGAAGCGCCAAGGCAAAGGAGCTCGGTGGGCTGCCTGTGATTGCGATGCGGGGCGGACGAATATTACAGCAGATGGGTAAAATACCAGCTCCGCCACTTTCGGTTTTCATTATCAATACATGTACCTTGAGTAAGATATTCAGGTTGTATCCAAATTTCACAGTGGAAATCATGGCATACTTCCACTTCAGCTGGCTGCCCGGAACAAAGGTTCGTTACTATTAGCTGTCTGGCCGAATGGAATATAACACAGTCCAAGAGGGCCAACAGCTCTGTATGAGTATTGGCATATCGATGAGGCTATCTGTACGAAATTTGCACACTTTCTGACCTCATCTACCAGTTGTAAATCATCTTCTACTAGGTTCCAGGTTGTTATCAAGTGACAAAAGCCCGACTGCTAGCATTAGGGTTAGGGTAGATGACTGAGAAATTCATGAGATCCACAGATCTGATAGCCTGGCTAGTGATACGGCCAATTAGTACAGTAGACACCCTGTTTGAGTTCCAGTTGGACCATAACTATGAGCAGGTAACATCAGCAACCGGTTGATGGAGCAGAGGAAATCGCAACGGAAGAACCCCGGAATTGCCGGCCCCGTATCCCCACTCGGCGTCGAGCCGATCGGCCCCGCCCTCGTAGAGCCGATCTCGGTGCCGACCGGAAAGAAGATCGGTGATGCTACGTCCACTGGGCGTAAGCCACATGCTTCCATGTTTGAAGTTTCGGTAGGACAAAGCCGTGGCTGCGTGCATATCCCCGTATGCCACTCCTTAGGGAATAGTTCAGTTATGACCTATTCACCTAGTACTCTGAGAGCTATAATCTGGAAGACAATACGCTGATGAACTAAACATAGATTATGTACTTTAGGAGTCAGGAATGATGCGCTTGTCTCTGCCAGACAAGTGACAAGCCAAGCCCATGGGCTATGAAGGCCATAAATGTCAAGCAAACTCAACAGTGTCAAAGTGTCAAAGACCAGATCATTACTCACCGGGTTGCGAATAAGGTCACCGACGTGAACCTCCGAGCATCAACGTGAAGATGACAATTTCCGGTATTCGTATGCAGTAGGCACCCTCTGACCCTTGGCCACGTGTAGCGCGAAGACAGGAGGTTAGATGTCATCGTACATACCTACAGCTCCTGGGAGAGCCCGATCGCCTGTAAGGCTGTAAATGCATCGCAGGGCACTCAGGCACTCTATTTCCACAGGTCCGGTTGGTTCAAGCGGAAACAACCTGAAGTGCAGTAAGTCGGTTATACAGATACACAGTATTGCACTCTGAATTGCAGACCGCTAAGGTTAGAAATCTTGCCCGGCCAAACAGGATCGGTGCCCAGCGGTGCCAGGCATTGCATGTGGAGGTACTGGTGTTTATTGTTTATACCGGTTGCGGGAGGTTTCAGAGTCGATACCCACCAGTGACGCCACTTTACAAACCTCCCCTGCTCCAGGACCCCTTGCGGAGCTTAATGGACGGTGTAGTACGTACTGTGTAGGTATGCATGGCTTGCAGAGCCAAGAAATGGAAACTGTGCGCGGGCTGCCGGACCAAGTTGGGTTGGACGAGGAAGTTTTTGTTCTGTCAGGCGATCATCTGCCCTGTTAGACCGTCGGTGAGTTAGCAGATGCAATTCCGGAGCAAATTCTCTACGCCAGCATCCTGGGGTTGCTATTCGGCGTTCGACTTTTTTAAGGAGAGAAGAATCGGCTCAGCCAGCCCTGAACGAGTCTCTCTACGGGTTGATAAGGAGGGGTAGCGGGGTGATAAGCGCGGGGTGAGGTGAGGGGCATACTGCAGACTTCTTCTGGAAGCCGAGATCAAACAAGGAAATCGATCAGGCACTGATGACTAAAAAAGGTCAGACTACGGGGCCATGTGGAAGCCACGACTTAGGTACAGACAAGGATGAGCTGGCATCGGCCATGACCAGTTCATCCCAGCCTTGGGCTCGTTCAGACTTTTTGCGGTCTGTTTCATTTCACTGCTGGCAACGATGTGCTCACCTCAAACACCGAGGCTTGCCAAGCGTTGGGTTTTCGAGCAATCCAGGCACAGCTGATAGAACAACCGGAAGGCGTGTCACTCTCCACAGCATCAAGCCGCAAGGCACCGAATATGCATATCCCTTCTTGCACAGTACAGCTCTATGTCTGTAGACCGTGGTCGGCCAACGCACGCAGGCTATCTCGATATGGCTTCCAAGAGTCAAGACCCGGTATTGCGGAGTTCTGAGTGTGCTTGAAACTGTTGTGTTATCAGCTTTGTGCGTCAGCTCGGATGACGGGCATAGCCCTGCTGCGGAATGCCACAGCAATCTGCTCCACGAAGGTTAATTTTCCGGCATGCTGGTCCGCCGTTGGAGGCTTGTTGGGGTACCCATGACTCCAATGGCAGCCACAAAGTTACAACGGCGAGCGGAGCCCTAGGGTTGGTTCGAACTCCTTCACCGACATGCCTCTCACGTGGGCCGCCTCGACTCCGGACCTGGTCTCCATAACTGCCAAGTCGAAGCTCTTCAAACTTGACAAACTCGGCTTCGCTACGCGGGTCTACCCTCACCGCTGGGTTGGGGGTGGAAAGGCAGATTGGACGGCAATGCTGAGACAGCACCGAAAAGTCAGCATACTGACTGTAGTAGCAAGACGCTAGGGCGATGATGGGGGGCCGTGGAGTGCTTGTTAGTGAAACCCTCAAGATGGCCAGAGACATCAACTAGGCATTGCCGTCTTTGGCTGCCTCGAGTCGCGAGGTGCGGACTTGCCGAGTTGCTGAAGAGGGTGTCTCTATGGCTTCCTTCAGAATGAAAAGCCTGTACCCGAAGACCAATTGTGAGGCAGCAGACTCATTTGTCCGGAGCCCCTGCTTGCAGCCCCTTCCTGACTACTAGGTACCCGGCCATGCAGCGACATATCGGCTTCCGGTAGCCCGTCATTGCCTTGATGCTCTGACCACCCCTGCCCTACCCTCGACTTACCGTCGACCGAGCCTCGACCAGCCCTGCCGCCGGCGCAAATCATGTCTTGCGACAAGTCGTCTGCAGATCGTGAACGCGAGGGGTTTTGCTGCTTCTAAAACCCGCTTCCGGCTCCACCGGCTTGGGCTAGGCTTAATGGGCGTCTTCACCTCTTCGAACACGCTGCCCGAGTGCCAGTGCCCTGGCTGGGTATAAAGGAAGACACGCAAGTGGTGGCACTGGTTGTTCTCTCCCCGTCCTCTTGGTGCCCGACCAGCACTTCGAACACATCAGTCAAACATGCGCTGGCACAAGCCCCTTCTCGAAAAGTGTCGAAACTCTCCCAGACCACCAGGGCCTTAAGAAAGCCGTGAGCCACATATCTGCCGCCCTCTCTTCCCCCCCACATCAAAGACGGCAAAGCAAGTCTGTAGTCTCTTCCTTCATTGACCCCCAAAACACCCCGGCGACTCCTCAATCAACATGACGTCTTCATCACGCAAGTCACGCCTATTAAGTCATGTCATGTACACCAATGCCGTCTACTGGCCCAATTACAGAGTCTACAACGGGGACACACCCGGCCAACTCAACTACGGATGTATCAACCGCGTCTACTACGCCTACGCCAACGTGACGGCGGACGGGGGGTATTTGTACGTCCACTGAGGATCTTCCCCCACCCGTCATTGCCCTGACTGATGCATGTGTCTAGCTCAGTGACGAGTGGGCCGATGCCAGAGCGCCGTGTGACGGCGTTCAGGGTGCGCTGGGCTCCCTGATGCACCTCAAGCAAAGGTATCCTCACTTGCAGGTTGTGCTTTCTATCGGCGGCAGCGGGTCGGCCGAAACACTCCCCATCGTGGCGTCGAACGCTGTCCTTCGGGACAATCTTGGTCGCTCGGCCCGTGGCCTAGTCGAAGCATCAGGACTCGACGGCATCGACAGTACGTCTTTGCCCCCCTCTCCCCTCCCGCGTGCTTTCATCCAGATTAACGGAAGCTCAGTTGTGTGGGAATACCCGTGCACGCCGCAGCAGGGAAATGACTTCCTCGCTCTGGTGGCAGCGATGCGCATTCACCTCCCGGACGACCGCTATCTGGTCACGGCCGCTCTCCCAGCCGCAAAGGCCGTCCTCCAGAATATCGACCTCCGGCAAACAGTCGAGTACCTGGACACGATCAACCTCAACGCATACGACTTCTTCGGGCACTGGACCCACAAGAGCGGCCACCACGCACAGCTCTACTCGGTGCACGGCAAGGACGAGCCGTCCGGTGCCTCGGCCGTGCAGTACCTCATGTCGTCGGGCGTGCCGGGCAAGAAGATCCTGCTGGGGATCCCGCTCTTCGGGCGCAGCTTCCTGCACGTCACGGGGCCGGGCCACAAGAACCGAGGCGCGGGCGGAGACGACGGCAGCGGCTCGTTTGAGTACAACCAGCTGCCCCGGAAGGGCACCAAAGAGCAGGTCGACAAGCGGGCCGTGGCAGCGCAGTGCGTTGGTGGCGATGGTGGCTTCGTCACGTACGACAACCCGGACACGGTCAGGACGAAGGCTGCCTTTTGCAAGCAGAAGGGGCTTGGGGTATGTCTCCATATACGCTACAACTATCATCACCTCTTTTTTTCCTTTTTTTTTCTTTTTTCTTTTTTCTTTTTCTTTTTTCTTTTTTTTTTATTTTTTTTTATGGTTGAACCGTCCCCGGAATATGCTGACCATTGGCACAGGGCCTATTCTACTCAAGTGCGCCGTCGGATGTGAAAGATACTAAGAGGAGCCTCATCACGACAGGGTTCAAGACACTGCACAGCTCCTGATACCTGACTGGCATTTTTATTTTCTTTTCTTTTTTTTTTTCTTTTCTTTTATTTCTTTTCCTTTTTTTCTGTGGGGGGGGGGGGGCGTTCTTTCCATTCTTCCCCATGATTCAGGGGTTCGAACTTGGGCAGGCATGGCGGCTATTCTGCTTGTTTGCCTTACTACCCTGTACAACATCTTCCGGATGGACAATTGGGGTCGGACATGCAAACATGGGACAGGGGCGGACGGGCATGACGGAATGAACTAACGACAGCAATGATGTGTTTTGATAGATGGTACCAAAATGGGTTAAGGATGGATTTATAGAAGTACCTGTTTTATCCCTTTTTTTTCCTTTCTGGGTTGTTTTCCGGCTTCGAGTAGATGGTAGCACAGAGCAAGGGTGCATGTCAGGCACAATGGTACGGCTTCGTTTGACAGGAAAATGGAGATGGCTGGAGTTTACTTTAGACAGGCGGCAGGGCGAGGGTTGGGGAAAACACGGAGTAGACCTTGCTTGGGCTTCAACTAAACTTCATCCTAAACAGATCTCCCCTGATCCCTTCCGACGACGTGTCCCTCTCCTACATGAGTCCCTGACCAAAGCGCATCCGGAGTAGTTTCCCACGGAGTCCCGCTGACCGCCCCGGCAAGCGTGGCCGAGAGTTGGTGGGTGCCCAAGTAGCACAGATCTGTCTTGACCTTTTTTATCTGATTCAGTTTCAGTTTTCTATAATTACCGGGTGACGACATTCGCTTCGCTGCCTTAGGCGGCGGAAGTGAAGCAAGGCAGCGCGGGCTAAGATGTGTTAGTAGTGTGGTATGTACGTGCAGGGCTGCTCGAGAGTGTGGGAGTGTGACATTGAGTCGAGAAGCAAGACCGGGTGTGGGAAAATGCCACGTCGATGCATGATTGCCCAGGGACATGTGATGGAAATCGTTGTGTGACGTGATGATTTTTCCATGTTGTTTCCGGTTAGGCAGATCGTCAGGTACTAGGGCGAAAAAGATGGATGGGCTGAAGTTGGTAAGGAGGTAGAGGTGGAAAAGAAAGGCGCAAGGGGGAGAAAGGGAGGGGGGAGGGGTGGCCGGAGTTGGGGTTGGGCCGGAATGCACCCGGAAAGCAGACCCCAGATCGAGTAGGCGATCTTCCCGGTCCCAGCTGGACGGAATGTCTCGGCTGCCACCCTTGGTTTTGTATGCAGTGTAGCCTTTGGCATCGGATCGACACAATTGAAGTTGACGAGGGCGGAAGGGCAGGGAGGCTCAAATAATCAACAAGGCACTGGTACTCCGATACACCACAGCCACTGCGTAACCCCAACCTGTCAACGGAGAGCCCAATGACCCAATGATGGAAGGGTGCCTGTCATGCAGCAGCCGGTGTGAGTTGGCCTACCCTATCTCGGAAAGCTCGTGGTCTGGGAGGGATGTAATTGTATTCGTACTGTGCATACAATGTCCGCGAAATAAGGAGGCAGAAGGAATACCCGAGTGTGAATGTAAACAAAGGTACAATCCTGACATACATACGAATATAGCGCTACCTAAGTACCAGGTAAGGTACTGTACTACATACAATAACCCCCTTAATCCGTTTCTACCAATGACTCAGGTTAGGGTTTGTGTTATCGCCGTATCTCGGCTCCGAGTCTGCGTTCCTTGTGACGTAAGTTACAGATTCGATGTCCTTCCCATCCCCTGTAAGGAACTGAACTGAAGTCAAAGGACCTGGCGCCCCCTCACACCCCGCAGCAGTTACGGTTATATGTTTATGCTAGGCTCTCCGGCGTTCGAAGGAGATACGAATAGGTCGTGTCTAATAAGCGTGCATGTATTTAAATGATAGTCTAGCTTCTCTGCTTTATATCACAGCCAAGTTCCTGGAGACATCAATCCACAGCATTACCGCTTTTTTTTTTTTTTTTGACCACAGCCCACCATGACCGACACCTCCCGCTACCTGGTCTGCAACACCTGCGGCACGCAGCACCCCACCGCGGACCGCACCGCTCTCACGAGATGCTTCATCTGCGATGATCCCCGCCAATACACACCCCCGTCAGGGCAGAGCTTCACCACGCTCGCCGACCTGCGCTCCTCCTCGGCGGGCGAGGACCAACGCCAACGGCACAACGAATTCCTACCCCTGATCCAAGACGACCCGCGTTTTACTTGCATCGTCACCAAGCCCGCATTCGCCATCGGGCAGCGCGCCATCTTGATCCGCACGCCCAGGGGCAACGTGCTCTGGGACTGTGTCAGCTACATTGACGATGACACCGTGGCCCGGGTCAGCAACGAGATGGGCGGGATCCAGGCGATGGTGATCTCGCATCCGCATTTCTACAGCACGCATCTCGAGTGGGCCGAGCGCTTTGGCTGCCCCGTGTACCTCGCAAGGGAGGACCGGGGATGGCTGGCAAGGAGGGACGAGCAGAGGCAGGTTTTCCTGGACGGCGTCGAGACGAGGGTAGAGATCAACGGGGAGGATACGGGCGTGAGGGTGGTTAAATTGGGAGGGCATTTCCCGGGGAGTTGTGAGTTTTTCTTTCTTTTTTCTTTTTCTTTTTGGCGGCCCCTTCTCCTCCGTGTTACGGGCTAGGTGGTTTCCCGGCTGATGCCACGGGCACTCTACCGTACCTAGTGGTCTTGCTCTATGACGGGCACCTGTTTACGGCTGATACGCTGATGATGACGCCTGCCGGGCGGGCGAACTGGGCTGTGGATGCGCTGGGCAACCCAAGGGAGCGGCCCCAGGGGATCAATACCTTCAGTTTCCTGTGGAGCATCCCCAACATGATACCGCTGAGCGCCGACGAGATCGCGCGCATGTGGGGGATCCTGAGGAACTACGATTTCAAAAGCGCTCACGGTCTGTTTATGGGAGCGGATATTGCGGACGAGAACATCAAGGCGCGGGTGCTGGAAAGCATGCAGATCCAGGTCAGGGCGATGGGGCATGCGGGACACGCCTTGATGAGAGAGACGCTGTAAAAAAAAAGGGGGGGGGGGGGGGGGGGGGGGGGGGAGAAATGAAATGAAGTGAGTGAGTAGTCGTGACAGCGCCGGCGACCTGAGTACCTGGTACCTTATTTACCCCCATTCCAGTCTAAGCACATACATATGTACAATATAATACAAATACTCCAAAATACAGTAAGGTACCTAATCCAAAACCATCCATCTTCGTTCGAAGTGTATATATCTTCCCAGCCGCTATGACAACACAAAGCCGATCTCATCCCGGTTATCGTCGACCACCCGCGCCCATTCCAGCAGGAGGCGGAACAAATACACTTCCCTGTCCTCCCTCCGCAGGGCCTTTTCCGCCCAGCGCTTGCCCTCCTCGGCGATCCACCTCCCGTCTTCTTGCCGGGCCGCCATCTCCACCTCGCGGCCGTTCATCCTGCGGCCGTACTTCTTCGGGAGGCCGACAAAGTACGTCAGGGTGCTGTGCAGTGCGTGGAAGCGCAGGTCGACGGGCACGAAGTGCACCCACGGCATCAGCCGCTCGCTGTACCACTCGGCGAAGATGGACGCGTGGAAGGGGACGCTGCTCGACCGGAGCGTGCGCAGGAACTCGCGCGGCGGCCCGCTGTCCGTGTCGACGACCATGACGTACTGGTGCCGTAGCGGGTCCACATAGTCGGGCTTTTGGGGGAACATGTTGTTGCCGGCATGGTCACAGTTCCTGCCGCCCGCACCGGCATCCTTGTCCTTGTCCTTGTCCGCTGCCTTGCACGCGCTGTAGCTGGCGAAGGCGACGTCCAGGGCCAGGAGATCGTTGAGCTGGCCCGTTGGCACCTGCTCGTACGCCCACCCTTTCCTGCTGGGCAGCAAGAGCGTGGTCCTCTCGGAGCGTGCGGGTGCGCTAAGCAGATGGACGAGCCGCTCCCGGTGACCGCCGCGCACCAGCTCGTGGCTGGATCGGAGGCGGTCGACCTTGCCGCGCCAGAACAGCTTCTTCGATTTCATGTCGAAGGCCTGCTGCGTGCCGGGCTCGGCGGGCTCCATGATGTGCCTCAGCGGGAGGAGGATATCGCGGTAGCTGTCGGTCTTGGCCCGGCTGAAGACGGGGAGCAGCTCCTGCAGCGGCCGCAGCTCCGGCGGGGTCATGTAGAAGCCGTGCTGGCGAAGCAGGTCCGACTGGTGACATATCTCTTGCGCCAGCGTCCAGTTCGTCAGAAACTGGCCCTGCGACTGCGGCTTGGCGCAGCTGCTGCAGAGGTCCCGGATGTCCCAGTGCGTGGCCGCGCGCGCCTTGGTTCCCGGCGGGCAGGTCAGCGCCGTCATCTCGCGCAGTTCCTTCACCGGCGTGAATGTCTTTTGCGCCAGCAGCTTGTCGAGGACGGCCGGTTGGGCGGCGGGCATCTCGTCGAGAGCGGGAGCGAGCCGCGGCAGCAGCTTGCTTGCACGTTTTCGCTGCGCCGCTTTCGTGGTCCGCACGACATCCGCCCACGGCGCAAGCACCCGCGGCCGCTCGTCGAGGTTGATGGCCAGCTCCATGTCGGGAAGGTGGTCCACAAACCCCCCGACAAGGTCGACCAGATCGTCCATGACCGGCTTGTACGGGTTTGCCGGCGGGAGATTGTGCTGCGCCTTGCGGCCTTTGATCTGGAGCATCGCCATGTCGGGCTCCGCGGCGGCGCGACGGACATCCTCTCTGATTTTGGACGGCGGCATCCCCCAGAACGGCAGGAGATCGTTCTCCATCTGCGGGAAGTGATCCAGGATGGCTGAGCGGCGGTCTTTGGCGAAACCATACCAGATGTCGAAGCCTGGGGGCGGGTCTCTCCCGCCGTGGCGCTCTCTGTATTCTTGGACGGCGACGGGCAGCGAGCTGCTGACGGCCGCGTGGCGCAGCCAGCGGTCCGCCTCGATCCTTGCCTCGTAGATGACCTTGGACAGCGGGTGATTGCTACCGACGGGTTTGAGCGCCTTGACCGGGGTGTAGATTGCCGCCACGACGGTGAGGAGGACAAGAAGGAAGACAACAAAGGCGCGGTGCAGGCAGACGACGGACCGGATGTTGTTCGCATAGACAAAGAATGAGAAGCCAACGCAAAGGAACAGCAGCGCAAAGTACGTGACAGCGGGCGAGGTGTTCTCCCAGGTTCCCGACAGCACCGTCTTCTGGACCGCCAGCAAGAGTCCTAGGAGGAAAGTGAGGATGCCCGCGAGCGAGAGAGGGCTTCCGTCCGCTGTGAGGAGGCTGCCGGCAACGAGGAACACCGAGAAGACCAGACCATCGACGACGACATCGAAGATATACAGCGGATCGGGCCCCCCAAGATGAATGGTGGCTGGCCTGGTGGAGAAGCCGAAGCGGGAAGTCCAGTTGAGCAGCCCGACGGCCAGCGACGAGACCGAGAGAATGCCGCTCAGAGTTCGCAGCCGGCTTTTGGTGGTCCTTGGCCAGGCAAGAATACGCCACAACATGATGGCGATGGCTGCGTCGAGGATGGCGCCAGTCCATTGCAAGAAGATGACAAGGGCGCTCCGGTCGTGGCTTGCGCAGAGGAACGTCGACCTGATCTCTTGCGACGATGCGAGATAAGCACCGACTGTGAGCAGCACCACTGCGATGGATAGCGACGCCTTGGAGTCGGTGAACCACCCGCCCACTGCCTCATAGAGCGTCGTCCCCGGATCGTCCGGGTCTTTCTCCTCACCGCCATCGCCACCGCCGGCTCTCGGCCGCATCCTGCGCCCTGGCAGGAGCTCGTAGAGAAGCATCAACAGAGGCAGAAACGCCTGTAAATATATATTAGCATCTCGAACAGAGAACATGAAGCCCTGAACAGTCTTCACCTCGATTCCCGCTTTCGAACACTGCAGGTCAAACGTCACACGGTAGAAAATCTCAAGGCGAGAAACAAGGCAGATGATCAAGCCCGGCAGGAAGTATCGCCGTGGCTTCTTGGGCTGGTTGGGCCGCGTGACCTTCAACGGCCCCAGCTCGTCGTCTGCTGGCGGTTAGTAATGGAGCGCTGAAGGTCTCTCTGATACAATACCTTACTCACCAAATCTTCCATTATTGCCCGGAAGCCATACGGCACAAAAGCTAGCAAGATAGGATGACAAGGCTGCGATGACGAGGACAAGAAAAGATGAGAGCCGTGGTTGTTCTTGTATATTCCCATGCTACCGTCAGCTGGAGTTTCGGCAAAAACAGGTCATGCAGGGACGTCCCCAAGGTATTATACCTATGATTTGATGGTCTTCCAGGTTGTGAGTGAGCCACAAAAAGGAGGCGACGGCACTAGCTGAAGTTAGCAGCGAACTGACACCGAATGCTGCGACACCTCGAGATAATGTCCAGGTTTGCTCGAACGAGTCCTTCACTTACCACAGCGCCGTCAGCTGGTTCGCCATGCTTCAGCAGCCTTCAGGGGCGTCAGGGGCGTGAGGAGCTTTGTTGATGCCGAGGGCTTCCCCGGTCTGCCGCGCAATGCGGGCCTCATCAAACTTCTGATTCCGAATGCGCGGGCTGCGGGAGAATCGGCGTAATAAGTCCAACCCGTGAATTGGCAGGGTTATTATAGAAGTCCTCGAGGTCCGGATATCCATCCCAAGGTGCTCCTGTTGGATTCGGCCTGGAATCCTTGAATGCAGCGCAATCTGTAACGACAGGAACCCTGTCGCCGATTGGTACTAAATTACAGAAGCTCGTACCCTGGGAGCCGGGGTGAGCCCCTAACTTTCATTTTGGCGTAACATTACCTGTTTTGTAAGCAATACGCTGCTCTTGCCGTAAGTTCCTACACCTGGCAGTGTACAATACGTTAGTTACCCGTGCCACTGCTACGAGCCCACGACGCGTCATTCCGAGAAGTTGTCGGACTCAGCAGTCAGCACCCGTCACGGTCTCTCCACATGGAAGTTGGACATTCGAAACGCTGTTTCATGTGACGATCGGGACGCTCAGACGAACGAAAGAACAGCACTGTGCGCTCATTTGTCCTTTTTTTTCCTTTCTCCTTTGGCTGTTATTAGTATCTCACTACCCTCCATGGACACCTAACGACGCCAACGAAATGACCTCGCTAATGGCCGGCCCCTCAACGCCGGGCCTGCACCTCGTCTACATTCCCGCCGTTTGTCTTCTCATCTTCTTCCAGGGCTACTACTCGCAATATCTCTTCAGCCACGACCCGGAACTCGCCCCGGGGCCCCTAACTCGCCGACAAACTGTCAGCTTCAACGTCCTCCTCGCCATCCTCTGGTGGACCTACTACCTCGCCTGCACCGTCGATCCAGGGCGGTACCTGATCCCGCGCCGTCCTACCTCCTCCTCCTCCTCCACCACCTGTGACTCCAGCGCTGAATTCGACCTCGACCCCAAAACCACACTGAATCCGACCCGCCGCTGGTGCAAGAAATGCCGCCGCCCAAAGCCCCTCCGCGCCCACCACTGCCGCCACTGCGGCCGCTGCATCCCCAAGATGGACCACCACTGCCCGTGGACAGGCAATTGCGTGTCGATGCAGACCTTCCCCTACTTCCTGCGCTTCCTGCTGTACACCAACATGGCCTTGCTCTATCTGGCCCGTCTGATCTGGCAGCGTGCAGGCGCCATCTGGGCGTCGCGCCACCTGCCCGCGTACCTGGGCCCGTCGGTGGGGAGCCTGATCGGGCTGACGGTGCTGGCGCTCGTGAACGCGGGCACCGTGCTGGCGCTGGGGATACTGCTCTACACCACGGTCAAGGGCTGGGTGTTCAACTGCACCATGATTGAGGAGTGGGAAATAGAGCGGCACGAGGCCGTCCTGGCGAGGCTGGATGAGGACCACCGGCGCGGCAGCGATGGGTATTTCTGGGGGGACGATGATGAGCCGTTGCGGGAGCGGCTCGAGAGGATCGAGTTCCCCTACGACGTGGGCGTGTTCGCCAACATGGCGCAGGCGATGGGCACGCGGAACGTGCTGCGCTGGTTTCTGCCTGTTTTCGGAGGCGGGCCGCGCATCAACAACGAGACGCCTGGCAAGGGAGCCGGATGGGAGTGGGAGGAGAACGGGTTCAACGATCTGCCTGGCCTCTGGCCGCCGCCTGATCCGGAGAAGATGCGGCAGGCGAAGAGGGGAGGTTGGCCTGGGGCGATGCAGCAGCCGGAAGGACGGCTCGATGAGTATCAGACGCCTGAGGAAGTGAAGGCGGCTTTTGCGAGGCGGCAACAGGAGGACTTTCTGAGAAGGAGGCGAGTCCACGCACGGCAGGCACAGCAGAGGCCCGGGATTATCGCAGAGCTTGAAGAAGTGGACGAACTGCCTGGTACGGCCGAGGGCAACGGGAGCAGGAATTACGAGCGGGCTGGTAAGCCCCTGTGGACCAACTCCGATGGCGACCGCTTGTGGGATTATGGCGTAGATGAGGAGGTCGAAGAGGAAATCGTACCTACGCGCGTTGATGACGACGACGACGTGCCTCTGGCCGAGCTCATCCGGAAGAGAAGGGTTTTGACTAGGGAGGAGGATGGCTGAGCTGCCCCTTCCGCTAGGAAACAAGGCGAGCGACACCACTGACGAAATTGAGCACCTGTGCGTCTCGATGGGTTGGGGCCGGCGTACACCGAGCCAGATCCTCGCATACATCAAGTCTCACAAAACACCATCTAGGTACATACCACTCGAATTGTGTGAGACACTGCTTTCTCTGTCACTAGATGTCCCACATCAAAGACTCGCAGATCGGGAAAAAGACTTCCTCTCATAAAGCACCTCGTGATTCAACAAACACTCGCAGCAGGAGGGGCTGCGTACCTAGCTACCAGTCATCATCGTCATCCTTCTTCGCCATGGCGTTCTTCCTCGCCAACAGCGCATCGGCCAAACTCCCGGCTAAACTCGGTGTTGGAGTGCTACTCCTGCTACTGTCCGACCCGTTCAAGCTCATGCCCGAATCGCGAGCCTGCAGTGCTGCCGGCTTCTTGCCCGCTGCTGGGCGCTTGGCCGGAGGCTGTGGCGCTGCCGGCTTCGCCCTAGCAGCTGAACCGTTCGCCGCCGGCGGAGGCGGCGGTGGCCGCGGTGCCGCAACCGGCGGTGGAGCCGCTTCTTGTTCCTCCACGTACGCCGCCGGAACCCAGGCCTGACTTGCGCCGTTCTTTGCGAGCCACCAGCCTGACACACAGATTGGTCAGCGTGAGAAACCAAGGGTCCATAGTGCTTGGCGTCTGAACTTACCGTTGTTCTCCTTCTGGACAATTTCAATCAGCTGGCCCGCTTTGACCGACAGCTCATTGTCTCTTTGGCCAGCGAAGTCGTACAGCACCTTAGCCATGATTTTCGGCTTCGCAGCGGGCGGTGCAGGGGGCGGGGGCGGAGGTGCGCGAACGGCAGATGAGTTAGATTTCTGTCGGGTGTGCGACGGGATGCTGGCGGATGTTGCCGCCGCCGGTTGGGGTTGTGGCACCGGCCTCGAGGAAGCCGCGGTGCTAGTTGCTGATGGCCGAGGCTGCGACGTGCGGTTGACAGGAACCCGAGATGGCCTGCCGCCCGGTCCACCAGGCTTGATGAGCTTACCCCGGGTGATCGGTCTTGGAGGAACTGGTTTACCCTTGGGCGTGGGTCGGGAGACAGAATTCGGCGGCTCCCCTGGCTGCGTATGCACAGCGCCGCTCTTGTAGAAATCGTGCGGAGTGGGCGAGTCCTTCAGCACCTTCACTGCTTGCATCTTGCCTGGCTTCTTCGCGTACTCGATGGTGTCGCCAATTCTCAAGTCGAACCCGCCAGGCATCACTCTCTTCATCTGAGTGAACATCTCCGTCTTCAACACGCAGTTGAGCAGAGGATCTGCCTCTTGCTGTGACCCCACGCCCAGAGAGAACCAATCATCTCGGCAGGTGGATGTGCCGATGAACTTGATGGCCCCTAGGGGAATTGAGCGCTCAATCATGATCTGAACCTGGTGATTCTGACCCATCACCTGCGCCACAATGTAAAACTTGCTGTTGGTGACGACCAGAATTCTAGGACTAGGCTTGCTTGACCGGCCAAACTTCGCCTCCAGGACCTCGCCGCGGCAGGAGAAGACGGCTTTTTCGTTGCTTCCAAGTTGGATGGCATTCCGTACCTGCGCCCCGGGGCCAGTGCTTGCGTTGAGGCCGAGGTAATCGCCAAGGAACCGTCGAGAGCCAAGAATGCTCATCCTCCTGCGCTCCTTCCGGCCCTGTAGGACCCTATGCCCTTCGTCGCGAAGCTGTAGGTATTCGGCACCGACGCGCTTCTTCCTCCAGAAACGCTGGATCCGCGTGGCGGCTTCTGCCCTGTATGCCAGGTACGCTCGCCACATCCGTTGGATCCGCGTGGCCATGTTATGCCAGTACCGGTCCCGCATGTGCTCGAGGGCGAATAGTGTCTCGGGCGACTTGATGAACGCCTTGGTGACGCCGAGCTGCCATTCTTCCTGGGGAATGCTGGTGTCCTTGAGGATCTGCTTGACAGCCGCTTCATAGGATCCTTGCCACGTGTACTCGCCGGCGTACGAAGTAGCGGGCGAGAGCAAGAAGAACCGATCGACAAACTTCTCGAAGGATTGGCGGTAGGCGAAACCAGCGCGCCGGATACGCACGTTCTCTTGAAGACCCAGGTACTTGATCTGATGAAGCACGTTTGGGACATTGTACTCGGTCGGCGATTTGTTCTCGTTGGGCTTGATGGTCCGGATGTAGGAAGGCTGGCATTTCATCAGTGTATCAACCAGTGCGTTCGCCGAGGCTCTTATCCTGTCGCCTGCCGACGGAGGTTGCTTCCGGTTATCCTGATCCACCTGGTTGGGGAAGAGGGTGTGGATGAACTTGTTCTGGCTGGCCTGGAAGAGGTTAAGGAGCCCCTTCAGGAGCAGATCCTTGTTCTTGTCCGTGATGCCGTCGACTGTATACGAGACGTCGCCGGCATAGTGCTTGATGATGAAGCTCCCTTGCCGCGGGGTCAGGTGAGGGTTCGACATGCCGTTGATGCTCTGCATGAAGGTCCGGTCGCAGGCGGAAGGGTCAGCATGCGCAGTCTTGGTGGCATCCTTCATCGCTGAGAAGATTCCCGGCGGCCGAATCGACTCGATCAGGTCGCACACGATCTTGTTGTCAAAGTAGGAGATAGGGGTCCACTTGATCTGTTCCCGCGCGTACTCTTCCTGCTCCGCTTTCAGAGTCAACTGGATGAAGATCTGCTGAAGCTTCTCGTTGACATAGTTGATGCACAGCTGCTCAAAGCTGTTCTTCTCGAAGATCTCGAATCCGTAAATATCAAGAATGCCGATCGAGTTCGCAGTCGCCTGCCGCGCCCTCAAAGACTGGTTTATCCGCTCCACGATCCAGTCGAACAGGTTGTTGTAGATGGCCTTTGCCAAGGCGTCTCGAGTTGCCGTCGCTTGCGCAACGTTGGCCGGAGACTCGATCACCTCCCCGTTCCTCGGTGTCAGAATACGAATCGTGATGGCATGGATAAGCTGGGCCGGGTCGACTTCGAGGAGATACGCCAAGAAGTCGACGACTGATTGGTCTGACACGGCCGCGTACCCGCTGTCGTCCTCCCGAAACACGAGGTTGCCCGTCCAGAGGATGGCCGCAAGCATTCGGAAGATGTTGTCCTGCTCTGCTTGTGAGAGGCCAATCACCTTCATGGCGTTCAGCGTGTCCTGGAACTCGGCCAGATCGTCAATCCCGTCGACATTGAAACACTTAGATTTGCTGGTATATAAGTACGTCTCGGGCTTCTGCACTCCGAAGGTCTCCCGGTACTGCTGTGACGCTCCTTTGGTAAACTGGTAAAAGATATGAAAGTTACGCTCGTTGGCAATCTGCCCAACCACGCGCGTCTTCTCCAGCAGATAGTTTGTGATGTCGGCGCCAACAGGCTCGCCCTGGGCATTGAAGTGAATCTGCAGATACTTGCCGAAACGCGACGAATTGTTGTTCCGCAGCGTCTTCGCATTGCCAAAGGATTCGAGCAGAGGGTTGGTCGCCAGGACCATGTCCTTGATCTGCTGGATTTCTCCCGTCTCACCTCCCGAGACGTTGGCAATGTACTGCATGATGCGCTTGGCTGCCTCGGTCTTGCCGGCACCGGACTCGCCCGAGATGATAACGCACTGGTTATCCCGGTACGCCTTCATGTTGTAGTACGCAGACTCGGCAATGGCGAAAACGTGCGGCGGCATCTCCAGCCGGTTTTTCCCCCGGTAGCTGTTGAGCACCTGATCGGTGTAGATGCCGAGATCGCGAAAGGGGTTGACGGAAACCAAGACATGGCCGATGTACGTGTAGATCTCAGCGCCCTCGAACCGTTTCTTCAGGTTCTCATTAATGGCCTCATTGGAAACGGTCCTCAGCAACGTCAGGTCGGAGACACCGATCTCTTTCTTCTTTGTCGTGTCGAAGGTGGCCTTCTTGGGCTTGCTGGAGCCGCCTTGCCCGGCTCCGCCGGCAGAGCGGTCGGCCCGCGCCGCCTTGTCCTTCGCACGTCGAGTGATGCCCTACGACACAGCTGGTGTTAGCCATGTTATTTCGCGGGCGGCAGTGGTGCTAGTCAAAGGTAATGCTCACCATCGCGGGTCCGTCATGCGCGTATATGGTCAACCCAGGAAGCGCCCGCAATTACGTGATTAGTGGTATTCAAACCGTTGTCGTATATGCCGCGGTTGACCGCTTGCGAAAGATAGGGCGATGCGGCAGTATGAGACTTCGACTGCAAACCAACAGCGGCAGGTTGGTGGTCTCCAACATCTGGGGGCTCAAAAGGTTCGAGCAGGAGCGCCCCTTTCGAGGTCACGATAAGCCTTCCAGGTTAGAATCAATGGTGCCTGATTGTCTCCTGGCAAGACTGGAGCCCCTTCTGCGCAGTGACGAAAGGCCGCCAAATGTGGTGGGGCGGCTGTATTTGGCGCTGCCTGACCTGTGGCTGGAACTGCCTTTCTTGGCCAGTGCCGTCAAAGTTTCCAGCTAATCATATCCTCCACGGCCCTGAAAGGCCCCGCCAGATCACGCGTCAACCCTGCTCAGCCACGATTGGAAGTGGATCCGATGCCGCGCAAGCCATTTCAGCTTCAAGTTCGCAAGAGGCGACACCCAATCTCGAGCCAATGTTGCGCATTCAACGCCTACCTGGTAGAGCGGCTTTTTGTAAAGTATGTAGGTGGGCATACTACCAAGTGCTGTAGGCTTTACTATTCTCTACGGTCCTTTACTATCGGCAATGCTGAGCTTCAAGGGTCCGATTCCCCCTGCAACCGCTGGCAGCGGCTCTCGCTTCTAGTAACCAAGCTGTATCATCTGGACGTCGGGACGATGGCTCAGGACGGCGAGCAAGTGTTGGAAAACCCCGCCAACAAACGGTTGACAAGCTGAAGAACAGAAGGAGGGGGGCTCTTGTGGATTTTATACCTTTGGGGGCCGGAGTTCTAAGTCGGCTTCGGCGCTTGGAACACCTAACTACTAGTAGGTACGTAAAGTACACTAGGTAGTTATGTAGTATGAGAACTTAGAAATCGTACGATTCCCCACGTGCGGCACGACCCGGATCGCTGTCGGCCAGGAGTGCCAGGATAAGAGATGAGATGGCAGATGCAGATGAAGGTGTGTAACAGACAACCTTATTATTTTTGACCAGCCTTATCTTTCAGATCACCACCCCGGCAAGCAACCACCAGACAGATCCTCACTTAAATATTCCACATACCTCGGTCGCGATATGACGGGATCGCAGCCGTGCCGTCGGCCACGCTCACCTACTACTTCATAGGCTGTCATACTTCGCGCGACCATCATCGCCGTCACGCCAGCTCAGAAAGTCAGAAACAGTAACATGTGATGTGCCCAAATCGCTCGCCAACTAAGCTATATACACATACAGCGCCAGACAATCTTCGTCACTGGCAGTTTGCGCTCCTGTTCCTCTACCATAGTTGCCGTATGCCGCACAGTTCTCGGAGCTTTACGGATAGTCCCCAACTTGTGACTTGCTCGTCTAAGAAATGGCACACGAGGTATTTGCAGTCTGAATAGAACTAGTGGTGTTGCCGCGGCGCTAAGAGTTTGATGAGCAGCTTGCCGAGACATCGCGGATAGTGAGCATTCCGGGCCTCGGTGGGATGTATCGAACCGCCATGGTAATCTCCAAAAGGCTCTCCGTATCGCTTGGGGGAATTCTCCATGGGCTACTAGGTAGCGGCAATGCGGGGGGTGTTTGTTCATCGAGCACACCCGGGCTCCGGGTCTGGTCTTTCACAGCTCAGGGGTTCTCCATTCTTCGCGCTCTAGATGAGTGACACAAAGATAACTATCCCTAATAAGGGGCAAGTAAGGGTCTTGTACACGCACGGGCAGGTGTGTAAGAACCATACAATCAGGTCCGCCTAGTAAGACACCAATTCGGCGAGCCAAAGGAGATAGGACCTGTTGCAGACGTGCAGTGGGTGTTACAGTTCACCAATATAAAGTACACTAGGTGTGCTCGCAACGTCCCAGTTTTGGAAGTTGAGCTTCACGGCACGAGAGCGGGGTTGCAACTTGGAACACGGCATGGCACCATGATATAGACTATCTCCTTATTTGGTGGCTGCAGTGGCACGATTATTCTAGATCATCGGATAGCCGAGACTTGGTAAGCAATGGGTCGAGTGTTTAGGACGGCCAAGTCAGTGAGCATTCGGCCAGCAATTTTAGATCTGGTACTTACCTGACTGTGTAAGAGGCCGATCCGGACATGCGCAGCGGGGTGCTCGCGAAAAGAGGTCCAAGCGCTATTCCACTTCGAGGCTGCAGCCACCTGGGCTTTGATGAGATCCCGGGGATCTGATTTGCTTGCACCCACCTGCACCCCGTGAGCGCCATGCCTCAAAGATGACTAGCGTCTCGGGTTCCGGGAGTTAAGCGCCAGAGGGCTTGGCGGCCAACAACATATGCTCCCATCTGATTCCGAGGTGTCTATTCTTAGTGTAGGCGCCCGCCGCCTTATCAATTGCCCATCGGGCACTTTGCTTTCCTTTCAAGCTTCCTGTCGCATGGGCTCGCTGCGATGTCTACTCTGTAGCGCCTCGACCGGACAAACTTGACAAAATCTGGTTTTGCTATCTGTTCGATTTTTTATCCGCGACTTCGGTTCTCGGGAACTACCCCTAGAAGAGCCCTGCATAGACGAAACACGGCACCAAAAAGGTCGCCTCCAACAACCCCCGGTCAAAGCGTCTCTAACACCCCTCGTCTCAACTTCTCTCTCACCAGCGGTCGCAAAGACCCGGCATGACTGATAGCGACCATTTGCCAAGCCCAGAGACCTGACACGGATCTTGCAAGCCCGAAACGACCTCCAACGTCTGATCTGCCACCTTATTCCCGCTTTCATCGAATCTCGTCGACCCGCCATCGGCTCTCCTGTCTGCCCGGTGCTGCCCGGTGCTACCCGGACCCACACACGCATCCTTGACAGCGCGAACCGCAGTACGTTCGTGGACTTCGTCGTGAAGGGACAAAAAAGAGCTGGGAAGAAAAGACTTGCCCCGGCCAGTCTGGAGGTTTCAGACTCCTCTGCGGGTTCCGGGATTTTGGCTCTACGTGGGCCTTGCAGGGTGGAGCGAGACGATTTGACAGAGGGACAACGACAGGAGAGTGGGCAAGGCTTCGCTGTCGCATCCACCCCCTCCCCCCAGTTTGCTTGTTTTTCGTCCCGTGTGCGCCTTCTGAACGAGAAAGCGTGTTGTTATATTCCCTGATCCCTGGCTCATTGGGCTCGCTGGGGCCGGTCTCTTATGACCAGGCTCCCGCCGGCCGCACATCACCTCGTTGCTTCGCTGGCCTCTCCCTCCCTTTCTCTTCCTGTCGGTCACTTACTTGGCGACGCAAAAGAATCGAGACCTCCTCAGCGAGCCTCTCGTCTTCGTCCCTTCTTTTCCGTTTCAGCTGCTGGCTCAGACTGCTCTTTCCACTTTCGTTTCTAGCAGGTCCCTAGGTTCAACCTCCTGGTTGCCGGCTTGGTTTTCACTAATATAGCGACTTGGTATTTCTAATCCATCGGAACGGACGAGAGAGTGGCTCTGAGATTGGGCCGGGACTCTTGGCAACGCATCACCACGCACCGACCGATCAATACCCGTCTATAGCCATCCTTGCTATCCGGCAACGACGCGAGCCTTGAGGACCCCGACGTCGCCCCCGTCGCAGGTCGACATTGTCATACCGTGTGGTGCCTAGTACGGGGATAGCAGGAGGAGCTGGTCGGCAAAATGGACACCCTCACGCTGCTGAAGAAGCAGTTCACGCCAACGAAGCTATTGTTCCATTTCCTGTTCTGGACTTTCCACTGGGGCATCTTCGCCTATGGATGGTACGGAGTCCCCCGGGTGAAGGCGGGCGGTGTGAAGGGGTGGTGCTGCAGATGGCTAACACGACGGGCGCAGGTGGAAGCAAGCGGCCGATATACGCCTGGCGGGCCTCAACACGCTCCAGTACTCGGTGTGGATCTCACGAGGCGCAGGGTTGGTGCTGAGCGTGGACGGGATGCTCATCTTGCTGCCGGTTTGCAGAACCATCATGCGCTTCGTCCGGCCCAAGATCAGGTTCGTGCCGCTCGACGAGAACCTGTGGATGCACCGGCAGTTAGCCTATGCGATGCTGCTGTTCACCTGCCTCCACACCGGCGCGCATTATGTCAAGTGAGTTGGCCCCGGCCACGATCGGTCAGAGCACCTACACTAACCGTGGGCAGCTTCTACAACGTCGAAAAGACCCAGATCCGCCCAGTAACGGCGGTGCAAATCCACTATGCCCAGCCCGGCGGCATTACGGGCCATGTGATGCTCCTCTGCATGCTCCTGATGTACACCACGGCCCACTACCGTATCCGGCAGCAATCGTTCGAGACGTTCTGGTACACCCACCATCTCTTCATCCCCTTCTTCCTTGCGCTGTACACCCACACGGTCGGCTGCTTCGTCCGCGACACGCCCAATGCCTTCTCGCCATTTGCCGGGGATCAGTATTGGGAGCATTGCATTGGCTACCTGGGATGGAGATGGGAGCTCTGGACGGGCGGCTTCTACCTTCTCGAGCGCTTATATCGCGAGATCCGTGCCATGCGCGAGACCAAGATCACCCGTGTCATTAGGCACCCCTATGGTAAGCAGTGCCGGCCAAGCTGCAGGAAGCTGCAGGAAGCTGCAGGAAGCTGACGCTGTCCAGATGTGGTCGAGATCCAGTTCAGCAAGCCGTCGTTCAAGTACAAGGCCGGGCAGTGGCTGTTCTTGCAGGTGCCTTCGGTTTCCAAGTATCAGTGGCATCCGTTCACAATCACCTCGTGCCCGTTCGACCCGTATGTCTCGGTCCACATTCGGCAGGTCGGCGATTTCACCAGGGCGCTGGGGGACAGAGTGGGCGCCGGTTCCGCGCAGAGCAAGCTGTACGAGGGGGTCGACCCCATGGGAATGTATGAGGTGGCACTCCAGAACGGCCAGAAAATGCCGGCCCTCCGCATCGACGGACCGTATGGTGCGCCTGCTGAGGACGTGTTCGAGAACGAGATCGCGGTGCTGATCGGGACGGGTATTGGCGTCACGCCCTGGGCTTCCATTCTCAAGAACATCTGGCACTTGCGGAACGGCCCGAACCCGCCGACTCGTCTGCGCCGTGTCGAGTTCATTTGGGTATGCAAAGACACCAGTTCGTTCGAATGGTTCCAGACCCTGCTCTCTTCTCTCGAGCAGCAGTCCAGTGAAGCAGCCCGCATCCCCGGCTCGGGAGGCGTGGAGTTCCTCAAGATCCACACATACCTGACGCAGAAGCTCGACATGGATATGACACAGAACATTGTGCTGAACAGTGTTGGCGCTGATCTGGATCCGCTTACCGAGCTGAAGTCCCGCACCAACTTCGGCCGACCAAACTTCAAGCAGCTCTTCACCAGCATGCGCGACGGCATTCTTGACCGGACCTATCTCAACGGTCTGGAGGGCAACATGAGGACCACGGTCGGTGTCTACTTCTGCGGTCCCTCAGCAGCCGGTAAGTAGTATATCCACACTTGGAGGCATACCTCTATGATGCTAACGTACAACTAGCCCGTGATATCAAGAGAGCTGCCAAGGCCGCCACCGTCCGTGAGGTTCGCTTCCGCTTCTGGAAGGAACACTTCTAGTTGTACAGTCCGGTCCTCAAAATTACTACCGGGTATCTACCCTGTGTGGCACCATTACAGTCGACGAAGGTACCACCAGTCCGGGGTTTGGGTCATTCAACAAACAGCCAGGACAACACAAGCCGCTTGCCCCTCTGTTCCTTGCGCCATGTCCCTAGGCTGGGTAGAGAACCGCACCGTCGCGGTTGTATTGCGTCCCACGGAGAAGAGAGAGCTGACGAAACGGTCTGTACCTCTTTTTCTCGCGGGCGAAGCGAAATGAAGCTGTGCTGCGCGAGACTCAGCCGGCCGAATCCCCTGCCGAAGAGGCGAAACTTTTGGGATGATGCATGCATGGGAGGCGGAGGCCCGTTTTCTATTCCCCTGTTATATTTGGATATACCATTTGGAGTATATATACTCTGACTACTACATACGCGCATCTCATGTGCAATATACCAAGACACCAAGATACGGAGTGCCCTGCTCCGAGCCAACCCTGAGGGCGAGTGCTATGAAAATGTTAGTATGTTGCGACAAAAGAAGTAACGAGTACAGCGACAGTTAGGTTCGGACAGGTGTTCTCCTGACCAGCTGGGTCTCTTTTACGACCTTGATTGGCTCATTGACGCGGCCAGTGTTCATCAGATAAGCGACAATGTCTCTGACTCGCTAGATACGCAGGTGTCGCAACGCGAAAGAACCACTCAGAATTTAGATCTGCGGGTGTCCTCTGCTGTGTGCCGGTAGGCTATATGTATACACGATATACCGGGAGCTGTCTGCCCAAGGCGTTGGGCTGTCGATAGCGACCATTAGGGTATTGTATTGTACAACGGATGCTACCTCGCCATGTCCTCTGCCAATTCATCTTCTTCCGCTTCATAATCCTCGGACTCGAAACCGCCCGAGTTGTCCGCCTGGTCTGACGCCACGCTGGGTGTTTGCGGACGAAGGTTCTCTAAACTCATGTCGGCATCATCCTCTACGAGGACCTGTGGAGTGCCCTCGTGTGCGTCGTCTTCCTCGTCTGAAGGGCTTTTCACATCGTCGGCAAACACCACTGTCTTCGGGGCAGGTGGCTTCACTTCAGGCTCCAACACGTCTCCGGCCCAGGGCTTGCACTCCTTGATGAGCTCTCCGCAACGCAGACACGGCCATCCCTCCCCTTCCTCTCTCTCTATCCTCGTCGCGAGGCAAACAAAGCAGTAGATGCACCCGCACGGGATCGCCTCGTACGGATTCGTGACATCTGTCTGTGCCGACCCAACCACTCCGCTCGAGGCGGCGGCCATTAGTTCGTTTTCGTTGGTTGCGGAGTTCTGGTCCTCGTAACAGATGGCGCATGTCCGCTCCGGCAGAAATGCATACTCGCCCTTCTTCTCGTCGGCCGCGCCCTCGGCGCCTGTGCTCATGATCTTCTTCGTCTTGCGCCACGTCCGGGCCAGCCACCGTTTCCAACGATTTATGCCCACCAATGGCAGCACGAAGAGCAGGAATTCCGTAAACGCGTGCCACACAAGCTGCCGGTTGAGGTACTCGAAGGATACTTCCCGGCTGACCTGGCTCGTTGGCGGAGCCAAGCGCATGCGCAGGATCCTGTCCAGGAGAGTCCGGTATCTCCCGTGCAGCAGAAAGACCAAAAAAGAGGCAAAGGCCGCAGCGGCGTGCATCGTCGACAGCGTCGACGTCCATCTCGACAGTCGTTGTACGCCCGGACTCGGTCCCTCATATCCGTCGTCCTGCTCCAGCAACCAATCCTCCCACTTTGCCCACAGGTACCTTCCTCCCACCGTCACCAATCCATACAGCGACTTCTGCCACCTAGTCGGCGGCACCAGCGTGGGCCCATCGCGCCGCGCGTCCGTGTACGTGAGGTTCTGCAGAGCCGCGCCATACGTTGCATCGTGGTCCCACACAGTCAGCTTGAAAAGCACGGCCCGCAGGGCAAGCGATATCTCAGCCTCCCAGTCGTGCAGGAGCGGGTGGCTGCTCCCGGCCCCGCCGCCTCCAACCCGGCCGCCTATATACTTCAGCGCGTCGCCCACCTGTCCGCGCAGCAACTCGACCAGCTCCTCGTCGAGCAGTTCCGCATCGACCTGTCCCACGCGGAAGGCCGGGCGCGTGCCCTCGCGGCTGGAGATGGTGTCCCAGAGGGACAGTGTGGATGTTCCTATTCTGCGGAGGAGCGGGGATTGCGTGGCGGCGATCCGTGTGCGCAGTTGCGAAGCGGATTGCTGGGTCGCGAGGCGGGCGGCGACCTCGGCCTCGCGTGCTTGCCGGCGGGCGGCCAGACGCTGCTGGGCGTCGGCGAAGGAATTGCGGTGGGCGGGACTGCCGTTGCTGTCCCGATTATTTGAGTCGCTCATCGCATTGGAGTCGTGGAGTTTCGTCTGGAGCCTGGTAGAACCGCTCCTGGGGGATGGACAGGCATTATTATTTATTGCCCGACTTGTTTTGGTGACCGGGATGTAACACGGCTGATGATGGCGGAAGGGAACCGGCCTCGCAACGAGAAGCCGAGGTTGGCGTGCAGCTGAGAGCCGTCATTTGTCTAGGCGCCGCCTGTGTTTGTGGGGACATGACCCACTTGCCGAAAAGGTCCTTCAAGGATTCAACTACGTGGCTCCTCCATGTCAGAAAAGGCGGACCCCTCATGATGTATTGAAAGATGAAGTCTTAAGTTAAATCCCTTCGAAAAAGAAACAGAAAGGGAAAAAGAAAAAAGGAAGAAGAGACAAGAAAGTAAGGTAAAGAGAATAGAGATAGGAACGAAGAAAAGAATGGTAGGAAAGAAGTAAATAACACAATAAAGAGAAGAGGTTAGTTGTGTCTATCCAGCTAATAGAGAAGCTTGGTGTACGGCTTATTTAGGCTGTCAAGAGCCAGGCTTGTGGCAAGTACTTACCATACATGACATGGTATTTTACGATTCACTTGCACCCGTCTCGTCGAGCAGCTTGCAAGGCAAGAAGCCTGTACACAGTTCTGCTATAAATGCATCTCTTGGTAATAAGTTTGCGAAGGGCCTAGTGGAGACCCGACCCTATGCTCCATTGCGGATTCGAGTCATCACTTACATGGCAACTCTTCGATAACGTCATTAGCACCTAGGAACTTATCCCTTAGGTACCGTAGGTATGTTTACCTGATTGAATGTGTTATGTAGTGTGCAACACCTACTACCCACGGGTTGTTTCGGCAGCCGGCTTCTTTGTGGAACAGCGAGAACCGCGGTGGTTTGTGCCGCGTGTTGTGAGTCGTGACCCCTTCCGTTGACACCGTCTAACAATGGAAACACCGTGCAGTTTTACTGTGAGAAAGACCAAAAGCTCCCTACCTAGGTACCAGGTAGTCATCAATCGGAACAGCCTTGCTCGGTGAAGCTCACCCGGCACGAGTTGGAGGGTGGTTAACATTAGGTTGGATGTGGGGCACTCACCCCGCTACCGTATCTGCCCAGACCATGCACATAAACCCCACCAAAGGCGGCCAGCAACTTGAAGGTCTCAACACCAGCCCATCTTTTACCTACCTTGCCTACCTGTTACCTAGATATGCAAACCTCGAAAGCCGTGAGGATCTTGAAAAACTCACGCTGCAATCTTGAAGTGCTAACTAGCCATCCTAGATTCCACTTTCGCTCATTGCACCAGGGCACTACGTGAAGTCGTAAACACCGGCGGCGGGCATGAGCTTCGCAATCGAAGTTGCGGGCGAAGCTGCCCCGTTGAATCAGTGGGAGCTGGTGAAGGCGCTCAGTGCTGCTGGGACTTCGACCAACCATGCCCAGAGGCAGTCGGCAAGCCAACAGCTCCAGACATGGGAAACTCACCCGGATTACTACACCTATCTGCAGGTAATACCGCCTTTTCCTCCTTGGTCTTCCCTAGTCCTTTTGCCTTACTGATCGCCGGTATGTCGCACACAGACGATCTACCTTGACACATCCCAGGACAAGCAGGTCCGCTTCCTCGCCATTATCCTCTTCAAGAATGGCATCGATAAGTACTGGAGGCACATAGCGAAAAACGCCATCAAGCCTGAGAAGAAACAAGTGATACGATCGAGGCTGTTGCAGGGCTCGCTCAACGAGGAGGACAGGACCTTGGCGCTGCACAACGCTCTCGCAGCGGCCAAGATCATCAGGATAGACTATCCGGACCACTGGCCCGAAGCCTTCTCCACGCTTATTGAGCTGACAAGAGCCTCAAGTGTCCAGAGTCCGTTGCATCTGCGCGGCGCCTTGCTGGTAATGCTCCGCGTCGTCAAGGAGCTGGCCACCGCTCGCCTGCGTAGATCCCAAACTGCTCTGAAGGCCATCACGCCCGAGCTCATGCAACTACTAGGCACGATCTACACCGAGAAAACCGCGTATTGGCAGGAACTGTTCACAGGAGGGCGCGGCGATGAGGCCAGCGCCGACTTCGCCATAGAGAACAGCCTTCTGGCCCTCAAAATCCTACGGAGGCTGGTGACCATCGGCTATGACCTGCCCCATGATGACGCCCTGGTTTGCGGCTTCTGGTCCCTGTCCCAGTCGCAGTTCGACCAGTTCCTCAGCGGTGTCAGCCAAAACTCATGGATCCCGGTTCCCTACCAAGACATGGTCGGCAAGCATCTGATCCAGTTCACCAAACTCCACATAGACATGTCCGAGATGCACCCGGCCAGCTTCCCGGCCCTGCCTAATTCGATCCCGCTGGTGAAGGCTTACTGGAACCTGGTCAAGGGCTTCTCGGAAGTGTTTGAGAAGTCCGGCGGCATCAAGCAGACCTCGAGCGAGACGGCGGGCGGCAATCCCAAGCACGAAGGGCCGCTCTACGAGAAGCTCGCCCTCAAGGGCCTTCTGCTTCTGAGGAGCTGTGTAGCTATCGCACACCATCCGGTGCAGACCTTCAAGTACAAGACCTTGGAGGTCAAGAATCTGGAGAAGCAGGCTGTACATACTATCAAGACCGAGCTCCTGACCAGAGAGATGCTTTTCGACATGGTGCAGGTCATAATCAGCAAGCTGTTCATTTTCCGCAAGTCTGACCTTGACGCCTGGGAAGAGGATCCGGAAGGCTGGGAGTCCCAGGAGCGGAGCGAAGGCCAGGCATACGAATGGGCGGTCCGACCCTGTGCAGAGAGACTGCTGCTCGATCTTCTCATCCACTACAAGGAACTCGGTGAGCCGCTCCTGGCTCACTGCGACCTAGTCAGGAAGGTCGACATGGACATCGTTACCAAGGAGGCTGCGTATTGCGCCCTTGGCTGCGCGGCCGCTGTCATTCACGAATCCTTTGACTTTGACAGTTTCCTAACGGCGTCACTAGTCAAGGATGTGCAGATCCAAGACCCCCTGGCCAAACTGCTTCGGCGCCGGATAGCCATTCTGCTGAGCCAGTGGATCTCGATCAAGATATCCCAGGCGAACAGGCCCTTTGTGTACGACATCTTCCGCCACCTGATGAACCCTGAGGACCAGCACAACGACGAGGTCGTCCGCATAACAGCCGCACGCCAGCTCAAGTACATAGCCGAGGATTTCGAGTTCATGGGAGAGAGCTTCTACCCCTTTGCTGCCGACATCTTCAACCTCCTGGTCAATCTGCTCCAGGAGCTAGAGAGCGATGAAACCAAGCTGGCGGTACTCGAGACACTCCGGCTCATCGTCAGCCGTATGGAGACACACATATCCCAATTCGGAGACGCCATCATGCTGATGCTCCCCAGACTCTGGGAGTCTGCGGCCAGCGAGGAATACATGATCAAGCAGTCGATCCTCGCCATCATGTCGGCCCTGGTCTCGTCCATGCGTGCCGAGTCCCAGCGGTACCAGAGCCTCATCATCCCGCTGCTGCGAGAAGCGATGAATCCCGAGTCACCGCTCCACCTCCATCTCATTGAAGAGTCGGTCGATCTCTGGAAGGCGGTTCTAGTACAGAGCTCGTCTCCCCTGAACCCGGACCTCACACAGATGGTGCAGCTGGCTCTGCCACTTGTCGAGTACGACACGGAAGTGGCGATCCAGTGTCTGGAGATCGTCAAGTACTACATTATTTTGGCACCACAAGACATCCTAACCGACTCTCTTCGCCGCCCTACCCTGGCCGCGCTGGCCAAGACATTGGACTCGAATAAGCGGGACCAGTCACAGCTCGGTGCGAAGTCGATGGAGCTTGTCATTCGCCTGGCGGAGGATCTCGGCGGTGCACAGGGCGTTTCGGTCGTGGTCCAAGATTTACTTGAACTCGACGTGCTCCGGGCCATTCTCGAAGGGCTGCACAGCGCCTGGGAGGCTGGCCAGAGCACAGGACCCAACCGGAAGCAGAGCAAAATCAACACAATCAAAGAAACAGATTACTTCGCGCTGCTCGCGCGCATCGCCCTCGCGGACCCGGGGGTCCTCGTCACGATGCTTACCAGCTTCGGCAGCCCCATCGACCGGGTTTGGTCGTGGCTCAGCAGCCAATGGTTCGCTAACTTTGATTGTATGGGCGACATCGAGCGGGAGAAGCTCTCGTGCCTGGCGCTGACGCGGCTCTGGGAACTGCCCAACCCCATGCAGGATCTGGTGCTTGGCCGCCTGCAGGATTACCTGTCCATGTGGACGAGTGTCGTCACGGAGCTGGCCGACGGGACCAGCGGGAAGCCGGCGGGGGAACAGGACAGTCTCGTGTGGACCGAAATAGGGAGCTACGAGTACGACACGCCGCTAGATGTGCACGAGCGCCAGTGTGCCTTCAAGGACCCCGTGCATCGGGTCGTGACGTACGAGTTTGCTCGCGCTAGACTGGAGGCTATGATGCAGCGGGTTGGCGGGGAGCAGGTGTTTGAGGCGGAATGGGCGGTAAACGTGGATAGGGAGGTGTTGACGGGGTTTCAGAGGTTGAGTCAGCCTGGCGGGCAGGGTAATGGGTTGTCATAGGATGAGTGCCTTATTCTGCGCTCTGGCGAGACAAGCATGCAGGAGGGATGATGGAGAAGTGCCATCTACTCACGGAAGCGAACTTGGCATGTACGCAACGTTTTGATTTTAGGAAGCCGAGTACCCCAGTGAGGGGATATTTATCAAAACGAGTTCGTCAGCAGCTAAGTTGGGGAAGGCGGTTTGTGTGAGATATGGGATATGGGATATGGGATATCGGCTTTTCAAGTCTAGTTCGATGCTGAGAAACCTCAGTGTCTCCTGAGGGACATGGAGACGGTTTTCAGGCGTGCTCGAACCCATCGGCTGCCTCATAAGTTAGCTTCGCCTGAAGACGTTAACAGGCTGAGGCGTGCCTAATAAGCCATGTGACATGGATTAATCAGGTAGGCCCAGACATGCATAAGGTAATAAGGTAAAGGTATCTAGAGTCGGAGCTTGGTAGCATTCCATAAATTCCGTAGGTAACTGCGTCGAAGTGCAGGAGCTCGGTTGCTCAGCGAGATGGAAATACTTAACGTAAAGATTGGATTCTCTTGTCAGATTACAGCAGGTGGTACGGTACGTACGTACAATACATACGAGAACTCGAGCGTAAGCCGTCCGTAGTCTTGGGAATGACACTGACCTTTCCGAAACTTATACCTCTCGAGTCTTGACGTACGTTCCTCGAGCTACCTTACGGGTATGGATCGCCAATCTTCCATGGAATATTCCGTAGTCGCTGAAAAGCTATGGTACATTGTACAATACAGCTCGTCTCACCATGTATGTACTTGTATGCGCAGTACAATACAGTACTGTAATGGAGCATGATGTTCGGCACGATAAAGGGTCCTGCGGACGGCGGGCCGCGATAAGCTGCCGGCCACCTCGCGTGACACGCCCAAACCAACAAACTCGAAACTCGGAGAATCCTCCAACCGCTCATCATCCAATGACGGACAGAAATTCGCTTCTCACCTTGGAATGGCTCGACGAGATGCCGGAGTTTTAGAACCACAACGATCACCAGGCGAGACGATCTGCGGCATTTCGGCATGCCAGTACTAGTTACACGCACGTACGGTGACCGACCCGGCGAACTGATCTGGACGAAGCTGGAACCGAACCATCGGCATGCATTCATGACCCTTGTAGTGCACGCCAACCGAAGCCGCCCGGACTGGACGAAAGAACGACCCATCATCCCGACGGTGTGAAGTTCTGCGTGCCGCCACCGCACACCAAGATATCTAGATGGGCCACGCGCAAAGCAAACACGACGGGAACACCCATGGCCACGGCCACGGGCTCGGGCAGCAGTGGGAGCCCTACCGCCCTCGCTCCCGGTCCCAATCCCGCTCCCGGTCCTGGCAGACACAACGCCGCAAAACCTCCCTATCTACTACTCTACCACCCGTACCGTCGTCGCCAACCCGCGCGCTGGCAGCAGCGTCAGCGCCAACAATGCCACCACCAGGACCGCCGCCACCACCAACCTCCTCCTTCTTCTCCTTCCAACAGGGTTCCGAACGCGCCCAGAATGTCCGATTCCTGTCCGAAGCCTCCCCTTTACTAGGCCGGTACCGTGCCATGCCGAGGCCGGCTGGTATGGGCTCATCCGTATTGTCCTCCTCCCGCACTGCTGCTCGTGGTGGTGATGGCGGGAAGCAGCGGCACATGGGTACGATGGGGCTGCTTTCTTTCGCTTCTGCTTCTGCCTCGTCTGCAGACGATCCTGGGTGGAGGGGTAGCGTGCATGTTGGGTATGGCTATGGGGCGCTTGCTGCTGCTGCTGCTGCTGCTGCGGACGGGGTAGGCGAGGAGCAGGAGGAGCACGATGATGAGGGTGAGGACGAGGGGCCGGAGGGGGAGGCTGGGTGCGGTTGTTGTTGTAGGGGCAGGCGATGGAAGGGGAGGATGAAGAGAGTGTGGAGATGGTTGGGGGATACGTGGGTCGATCCCAAGGCCAGTGTCGTTCAGAGGGTGGTGGATGCGTGGTGGAGTCGGTGGGCGACTCTGGTTGTGCTGCCGGCGCTGCTGGTTAGAACACCCCCTTCTCGCTTTCGTTGTGGACCGAGGTCGCTAATCCGGCTGTGTGTGCAGGCTGTGGCATGGTGCGCGGTCCCCTTTCCACAGTATCCCCTTGCCGGCGACGATGAAGGCGCGTCCCGTCCTGGCAAGCGAGCGCCGGGACACGGAGCTGCCAGGGTGCAGGTCAACTTCTGGTTCTTCCTCTTCGTCTACTACAGCCTCTACAACCTAACCGCCCTGATATGGATCACCAAGGTCTTCAACCTGTACAGTCTAAACTGGTGGCCGCAGTCCCTGGGTTTCCCTCTCACCATGTCCGCCATTGCCATCCTTTCCATTGCCGCGCCGATTCCCGTCTACCTCGTCCCCGAGACCAGGTTCCTGACCGTCCACAACACGGCCTGGATTTCGTGGACGTTTGTCATCATGGCGATGCCCGTTGCCATTGCGTTCTGCATCCTCATGAACCATGAGCGGCACCTTGGCCTCCGGCACCCGCTCTCTGAGACGCAGCGCATTTTCACGTCGTCGTGGTGGGCCGGCGAGCCAGACGAAACCATGTCGCGGCGTGAGGGGAGGCGGCACCGCACCGGGCTGGGCGCAGACGCCTGCGATCCCACATTCAATGCCTCCTCCGCGGTTGGCTTCGTGGACAGCCGCTATCAGCGCCCCAGGATGCCCGTCAGCTTGCGGCGACGGTGGCTGCCGGCTAGCTTCGTGCGCTTCGTGTGGTTCTGTCTTGCCTTGTTCATAGGCTTGCTCGCGTACGTCATAGGGGAGGCGTATGCCGAGATCTACCTGCGCACGCTGCCGCATAACAACTGGGAGACCATCGTGTATGTCTACGGGTGGATATCAACCGTGTATCTCCTTGACGGCTTGACGGGGTGGATCCTGGGTGGCAGCGAAGGTGAGCGGGTCGGGAGCTATCCTCTGAGCTGGATCTTCAAGCTGTAAGTGCTCCTGTCCCGGACTTCCGGTCTTGCTCCGGCCGGCTACCGCTCGCTCCGTCTCAGCTGACGCCAGAGATCAGATATTTCATGCTCACCTACCAGACCTACGTTCGCGCCTTGTATGCCCGCCTGCGCAGTCCGTCGCAGTTCATCCTGCTGCAGGTCCTCTCCTCGACGGGCCTCATCATCGTTACGCCCATCCTGATGTCGGCTCCGTTCCACTGGTTCCTGTCCGTGCTTGGCATCAACGGCCAGAGCTACGGCTCCTACCAAAAGATGTGCATCCGCAATGTCTTTATCCGCTTCCTCGCCGAGAACGCGTCGATGCTGGCGTTCCTCGGCAGCGTGGTGGTCTTGCACTTTGGTGCCAACAAGGACGTCTACCCTTACTTCGCCTTCGACGGCTCCGACGAGAACGAGGGCTACGATTTCGGGCTGACCTTCTACGCCTCGAGCATAACCTGGGGGTGCGAGCTGGTGGCGAGCTTGACCGTGGCCGGGCTGATCCGCTGCATCTACAAAGTCAGCGTTGTCACCGAGGGCAAGCTCGACTTCGTGGTCTGGCCCGAGCTGCTGCCTACCTGTGTGGTTGTTATGTTGCATGTGCTGCAGAACATGCTGTTCTCCATTGTCCGCCTGCAGTTCCGATGACTGCAACGTGTTGCTGGAGAGGCCAAGCATTGGCGGGCGGGCGGACAGGCACAAAGCTCCCATTGCGTCAGCATCAGGCATCATCCTTCCCGTGGTGGACCACTCCGGCAGCCTCTCAGCCTTCGGCTCCCGCTCCCGTGCCCGAGGCCAGGCGGCAGCAGGGTTTCGGCTCCTAGCTGCGGATAGAGCGACTCAATTCATCAAGGTCCTCCGCATTCACCACCCTTTTCTCGGCTTTTGTTTCCTGCATAAGCTTCCTTTCTTTTGGTGCATCAGTGGGTGCTGTGTATGGGCGGCGGAGTGGGAGCATTTGCATAAGGTAGCGTTGGATGACTGCACGATACCCCACTGTTCTTCGCGTTGCATAGCGTTTCCTTTGTTCTACGTACGACGGGGATGGGAGGCGCCAACAGGGATATCATAATCAACAATGTCTGTTTGGAGGAGATAACGAGCCTTTTCTTCACAAGTGAACATGGCAGAGCATTTTCTCCTCGCTGTCCCCGGTTGGCATCGGTCTACCGTTCCGTGGGAGAAGTGAGACAATCTTTGAGATGCCCGGCAACCCGGTCGCTCGAGCAGATAACGGGGTTCCCACCGAACCTGGCTTGTATCTTCCCGGACGCGGGTCTCCCTGGCACTGATGGGGTCTGATATGACTTCTCCGGAAGCACAGCACAGCACATTGTTGCTTCGCTACCGAACCAATATGAGCGCCGATGCTAAATAAATGTCCCATCGAGCTTCTAGGCACATCAATGTCAACGGGAGAGCTGTTTTTCTTCGGCCATGGCGCTTAGCAAGGGTCCACTACCTCCACTGCCTGCTTACGCAGTACTGCGGTGAGCACACTTCAGTTCTGGAATGGAACCATCGACAAGGCAATGACCGCAAGAGACAGCCTTACTGATACACAGTGGTCGACGCCGTGCTACCCTCCCCCTCGGAACCTAGAGTCCGGACCTAGACTCAATTTCGGATTACCGAGAAGTTTGGGTTCCAGGTTGTTCTGTCCAGACTCGCCTTGGGACAACATCCATGGATGGCCGTCCCAGCGCTGGCCACCCTACAGAAGCGGTGAGACACCACTCTGTTCATTAACCGGGAACAGGCAACAAATACCGGGAAATGCACTAGCCGAGATGCTACTGCAGGCTGCTTTCAACATGCAGTGTGCTTGCGCTGGACTAGAGAGGGCACACGCGGGGCTTTTGACCTTGATTTGACAGAGGGAGGTAGCCTTGTCCTGGGCCCACACCCAGTTTTCTGTCTCTTGAGCCTCTGCAATGTATTGTATGTATATGTATGTACTACTAAAATGCATTCAACCCGTAGACTGTATGATGCCAGAAAGAGAACGTTGCATGAGGATAAGGCGGCAGATATGTGGTACTAGCCTGTGTACCTTATATTGGTGCCTAATCGGAAGCTGACGATCGGAAGCTGATCCGGAGCGGCGCCGGTAAGACCCCTCTGTCGCAAGTAGACATAGTATTTTTCAATAAAGTAGTATGATCCAGTCGTCTATTGACCAGATTTGCATCTTTCGACCAGGTTAGGGTTGGACGGGTTATAGTCGTTCATGACCGTAAACTTCGTGATTATCAAGCTGAACGGTCTCATGAATATTAGTACCGACCATTGTATTCTAGTCGATCAACTATGGGCTCTCCTTCCGGGCCGTTTCACCCTGGATCTTTTGGTTTCAGCCAGGTAGTTAGTAACAGAGTAGGCTGGAAACAACAAAGGCATCTGGAGCACCCAAGTCTTAGGTACGAAGGTGGATGTTAGCGGTCCTTTTGTTGCCGAGTATGGAAGCCATTCTCTCAGTGAGAACCGTCTTTGGTTATCTCTGTCCATTGTCCAACTGAATTTCATCTGTGCCAAAAAGAGGCATATGGGCACTGCGCTTTCGAGACAAAAACAGGATTGCCTTACGGTCAAAAAATGCCGACACATGCCGAGCGTAGACAGTGAGACAGCCGAGAGCTCAAACCAAGGTAGGTAGGTAGGTTCCGGAAGCTTGTGCAATCGCATGGCGGTCAAGCTCCGTCCACAACATCTGAGGATCTCATTGGATCTGACTCACACGGACGGGCCGGGGCTGTCGCAGACTCACAGTAACTACCTGCTGTCTTCAAGTTAGTACCAGGAATTCAAGCACTGCACCCCATGCACCGTTGTCTTGACCGGTGTCTTATTCACTTACTCTCACAAGGACAAAACGCGGAAATCAGTTGTTCGCGAACCACAGGTTTGATATTGCGAATCGTGGGGGCGTGAGGCAGTTATTGTCCAAGTTGATGTGCCAGTTGTCGGTTGTGTTGCACTAGCACTGGCATAATGGGCAGCCGGGGGTGGGTGGGTGTGTCGAGGATGCAGTGTCAGTGATCTTTCGGGCATGTAGTAAGTTCTTTCAGTTTATGTACCTTAGGTATGTACTTGTATTGTACATACGTACTACTCTGCGTAGAGGTAGGTAGACATCAAAAATATACCTCCACGATCGAGAGTGACACGATTGTTCCGTTCCAACACGAAGAAAACATCGAGAAGTTCTAGATTTCTCATGTCAGCCCGAATGTAAATGACGCATATCAGAACGCCAATTTCATTGAAAGTTTCATCTTCATGGAAGGGCTGTTACCGGTACCTACACTGTGACCTTGACTGAAAACTAGGGCCTGAGCTGGAGCCCCGCAACACAAGCGTGTCAAGCAGGGGATAGCCGGTTGTATGCACCTTTATGTATGTACAATACATCCAATACTATAAGGTACAATACATATTTCTGTTAGTGAGATGAATTCTCCCTACTAACTAGTACCTAGGTAGGTAGTGCCAAATTCATCCTCTCTACTACCGCTTCTAACAGCAGGTTCAAGGGCGCACTGAGGTCTGTGCTGTATTGAACCCTCAAGTGGTGAAACTTGAAATGGGCGCGTAACTAATCTGATAAGCACCAGTTCTCACTACGGCCCTGATAGTTTACCAGCCGGCTCCGAAAATGCTGATTCGTGAGCAGCCGTATCTAGCTCGGGGAAATCACCTCAGCAGATAAGAACACCTTGAGTTCGTTCGCATCTCTAGACCATTGGGAGAAACAATATAAGGACCTGCGGACTGGGATACGTGCAGCACATGTATTGTACTGTACAATACATCCAAGCAGTATCTCATAACAACTCGCGGTTCTGGTACTGCATATTGAGAAGAATAGAAAGTTAGGTTGAATTGCTTTAATTACTCTGGAGAGATGGGACCTTTCACATAGTGCTGCACGGAAGTTCACACACTGCGACTTAATAAACTCGGTGCGGCAGAGGGGCTCGTCGTCCACTCACGTCAAGCCTACGGGAGGTAATCTGTGCAGTACTAGTATCTTACTGTATGTAGGGAGTACGGTTATTAGTACGGATCCGTACTGCACCTTCACTTCACCCACCACCTCCACAGATCGATTTTTGGCTTGAGTGCGCTGCTACTGTGTCTTTCAGTTTTCCGATCTGCACTTCGTCGTACTACCTAGTATACTAATATGATATCCTTGGTAAGCTGAACCCCTCCAGTTCTCATTTAGTAGGCTACTAGTAGCCACCTCAGAGATAAGGGATGGAAGGATGAACGAATGTTACCTACCATTCTGATTCTAGAAGGCAAGCCCGGTACCTACTGTACGGATTCGTATGTACAATACAATACATACAAGTACAGCGGAGTAAGTAAGGCAACAGGACTAGCCGTGTTCCAGTGAAGGCTCTCACCTCATTTGCACACATTGCAGCGCACACAAGCCGGGTCTGTTTTCACCGGATCTTTCCTCACCGACTCCACCGGGGGCTAGGTCCGGTCCCCTCCCACTCTCTGTCTCGGCCCCTCGGGAGGGTCGCCTGAGTGCAGGTTTGCAGTTTCTCTGTTTGCGCGCTCTGGGCCTCTGGCAGATCGATGGCAGGGTGTCTAATTCGCTCCTTCCATTGCTGACGCCCAAGCATTCCGTGCTGCACACCCTGTCGGCCGCAATTTTTATCGCTCGCTCGACACGAGGATTGCACCTGCTTTCCCCTTCCCCTCCCTCCCCTCTCTTCTTTTCCCTTTCCTCCTGCAACATGAGCGCCCCTGCCGACGCCGCCCAATCTCTGGCGCAGACAAGCAAAGACCAGACTCCCGCCCTGACCTCTGCTGCCCTGGCTAGCAGCACCGTTAGCAACGCCAACAGCCCCGCCGCACTCTCCAGCGACGATGCCTCGCGAGGACAGTCCGCCGCCGCCGCCCCCGGTGCCTCCGAACTCGCCAGTACAAAGATAAAACTACTGGGTGCGCTGAAGCACTTCCCGGACTTCCCCATCCCCGGCATCAAGTTCATCGATATTCTGCCCCTGTTCCAAGATCCGGTCATCCACGCAGCCCTACTGCGCGCCCTCGAACTTCAGGTCCTCGAGTTCGGCGGCCAGGCCAAGCCTGATGTGATAGTGGGGTTGGATGCGAGGGGCTTCCTCTTTGGGCCCTCGCTCGCGCTGCGTCTCGATGCGAGCTTTGTGCCCGTCCGCAAGAAGGGCAAGATGCCGGGGCCCTGCGTGACCGCCGCCTACGAGAAGGAATATGGAACCGATTTCTTCCAGATGCAGGAGGATGCGGTGAAGCCCGGCCAGAAGGTGCTGGTCGTTGATGATATTATTGCTACCGGTGAGTCAATTCAGCGCAATACCCCCTGACCGTTTTTACCCCTCCAATCGGTTCCAATGTCAGCTCGCCTGCCAAAACCGATGTCGGCTCGTCCCACTTGAACACGCTCAAGTTGTGAAACTTCCCTTTATCAACACATTCTCATAAGCAAACTCTTTGATGCAAATCCCGCTAACGTTTACGTCCACAGGCGGCTCCGCTGCTGCAGCTGGCACTCTTGTCAAGCAATTGGGAGGCGAACTAATCGGATATCTCTTCATTCTCGAGATTCCTGTTCTGAATGGCCGCTCGAAACTTGGCGGTGTCCCGACTGTCACTCTTCTCGAGACGAACGAGTGAAGTCTGACCTCGCCACTCCTGCCCGCGACTTATCGAATCACCTCTCTCAGCCCCTCCATATCACCTAATACTCCGATACGACATTCACGCAGTATACTTAGGAGGACTATGAACCGGAGCCTGGTTAATGATGGTGGACGGGAGAAGCCCAGGATGGCGGGATTGCCTTTTGGTGCGTTTCAGTTTTCGCAACAGCACAGTTTGGGAGAGAGACAGTCCCCTAATGGACACAGGGGGGTTTGCGAAAGGGGGTGGTGGTTTGGCAGTACCTGGCGTTAGAGGTCTTCAAAAGGTCCGAGGGTGAATGAATACCCGTAATCTTTTTGGGGTGGAATCGTGTCGTTGAATGAGTACCCCACTGGAGTCGTGGTCATAGAGTCGGTACTGTACCTACGTTGCTATGAAGATCCGTGCTGTTAATCGTCACGGTGGTCCTACGCTGAGTGCCTGGTAAAGTCGCAATCGGGCATATTGCCAGTTGAGCAAAAGCACCTCGAGGTCTGAGCAGCGGAAGGGACTTGGCGGTAGCTATGCTTCTACATGCAGCCCGCAGCATGAACCTTGACGTCCTCTATTCGACTAGCGTACCTAGGCACAGCGTAGCCCCTACGTAACCTACCTACCTTACCAAGGTGAGGTAAGCTACCTAGATAGGTAATAAGCAAGCTACCATTGTCAAGCACCCCGAGGGACAATGGAACCCTACCTACCTACCGAGTAAATCTGTAAACCAACAGGCAAAGTAAAGCACCTGTGATAACAGGTACGTAAGATACTCACACGAGCTTACACTTAAACGCTAAATTTAAGGTCGTTTCTTGATGATATGTACTGTACTTCTAACCATGCAGTATCTATCATACGCTCTTCCACCGCTTCAACGAGATATGTAGGTATGTACATACAAGCACATGCTTCAAGTTCATGCTTTCACAAGTTCACACCCGCATCTCCCTCATCAACAATGATATTCCTTATCCTCAAGCCCTGGCTCTCGACAAAATACCGCCGAGCTAGCCCGACTCGCGCCGCCATCCTCAGTCGCTGATAGGCCACCTCGCCGCCACCAACCATGACCATGGCGATCGGATTCCGCCGCGGCATCCCGCCCGGCGTGCGCTGCACCTCGTCCAGCAACGGCCGCACCAGCCCGGCCCCGGCTTGGGAGCGCGCGTAGGCGCGGTACTCGGCCCCGTCGTCCTCCTCGTCCGATACCACGACCACGAGCTGCAGGGAGGACGGGGACGGCGGGTGCGCGGGGATGTTGGCAAGTTTGGCGGAGAAGTTGCACCCGCCGCGGCGGATGAGGATGATTTGGTGGTCGCGGGGCGCCGAGTCTGGGAGCGGGCCGGCGCACGCGTCGCCCGCTGCGTAGATGGTTGTCCAGGGCAGGAGACGCTCCGGCACCGGGCCAAAGGCGGAGATGCGCGCCCCTCCGGGAGCGGCCGTGGGGGGGAGCGGTGCGGCGCCGACGCCGGCGGCGGTGATGGCGGTTTGGTTGATGACGAGGTTGAGGGGGAGCAAGGCCGTGGCTGTGGATGGGAGGGAGGTGGGCAGTTGGATGTCGAGGGTTGCGGCCATGCGGGTGAAGAGGGATTTCACGAGGGAGCCGAGCTCCGCGAGGACGGGGGAACGGTCGGGGTCCTCCAGCGGTTGGAACGGTAGTTCCTCGTCGGCATCCTGCGTGTGCGCCTGGTCGTCGCTGGCGGTGGCATTGTCGAGGAGATCGATCTGGTGCAGGTGCTGGAGTTTTGCGATGACGGGGTCTCGAACCAGGCTGAACCGGGGATCAGAAAGCTCGCCGAGTATGGCCCGGTCGAAGACGGCAAATTCATCGCGTCCCAAGGGGACGCCGTTGAGCTTAGTGACTCGCCATACACGTTCCACGTCCTCCTCGAGATGCATGGTGATCTTCAGACCGGACAGACTAGAGACACGGATGCGATCTGCAGTCAAACGTTCCATGTTTTGGCTGCCTAGCATGAAGTTGAATGCGCTCGCGCCGACCATCTGTCCGGCATCCGACGCAAACTCTAGGGTGAGCTCCTCCGGGTGGTGGACCTTGGCGCAGGTGCCGTTGCTGGGCAGCATTTCCGAGGGAAGCGTCCACGGGAAGAGGGTGAAGTTTGATCGAGCCATGTGCTGGCCCGACATCTGCCCTCCATCGATACTGAGGCGTGGCGAAGTGGACAGCTGATGCAAATCCAGCATACGAGCAGCGTGGTAAATGTCGTCCCTGGCAGCTATGACGGAGCCGGTGAGCGGGGTGGTGGCGGGGCGCGGCGGGCAGGAGTCGATGAATGTTCCGTCGCGTTGAATGGCTAGATCTGTTGTGTCAGAACGCGAAAGAGGTCGGGATCGCTCCTTTGATGCGGCCTTGGGGATGACAAGGGGGTGGCCCTCGGTAGTGAAGACGAAAGCAGCATCGAGCGAATTGAGAGGGTGTTGCTCGTCGAAAAGCAGGTACAGGTACTTGGCGGTCTCCCCAAGGAAGAAGCTCTCCATGCGATCGCTCTTCTCGCCGTTCAAGACGTTCTGTAGTCCCGCCCAGCCGCAGGGAGTCCAGCACCTCCTCGAGATATCCCGCAGCACCATCTCTCCGACATAGAGATACCACGGGTCTCTCGTGGCGCGGTATAAGTGGTAGGTTGACTCGATGAACTCGGGCCTCAGCGGCCACCAGCCAAGGCCGCCCTCGACCGTCTTGTCCCGAATGGACCATCGTTCAGGGAGCGCGGCGTAGCGTGTCCAAATGGCAGCGTAGAGTAGATTCGTCTCGATGGCCTCGTCCAGCTCACCGGCAAGGACGAGCAGGCCTGAGTAATACGCCCCGAGGCTGTCGACCCAGCTGGACGCCAGGGAGCCCGTCCACAGATTGACATTTTCGTAATGGGGATGATCACGCTCGCTGTAGAGGTGCCGCTTGATGGCAGCATGTGCGTGATGCCAGGCATCGAGGAATGCGTCGGGCGAATTCTCGTCATCACTCAGCGGAGGGAACAGCGCGTTGGGATCCAGCCACTCGCCACCGGTATTGGGTGGTACGGCCGTCCGGTTGGGAAGCGCATGGCCCGAGAGCAGGATGTGGGATTTGAGGGCATACTCGAAGAAGCTATCGGCGCCTGCGCCGATCACAGAGTAGGAGCCTATCCAATGACCTTGCTCCGCGTCGACCCCGGCGCCAATCAACCCTATCTGGCTCTTTCTGCTCCAAACAGCCCAGAATGCCCGCTTCGCCAGCTGCTCGAACCGGGGGTCGCCGGTGAGGCGGCTGAGCACGGTAAATTCGAGAACAAGGGAGCCGGCGCCGGCACTGCACGTCTCGGTAATCTCAGGCGGTCCCTCGGCCGCGCCCGCTGGTGCATGTTCGTCGTGCAGGGGTGAGTTGGTGTAGAACGGAATGCCGTGGCGGAGGTTGACCCGCGGATACGGCATGCCCGTCTTGGTGTAGAACGCAGGTAGAAGCCTCTGGGCAAGATCGAGAGCGAGCCTCAGCAGCTGGCCATCATACTTAAACCCGCTTGGCCAGACGACAGGAACGGGGTTCAGGAGATCATCGCCGGGACGGCGAGGGCTGTACCCGGTGATGGGTAGGGCGCCGATGGCGAACAGGTGGGCGCTCAGCAGTCCCCCGACGCCGCGTATCACCGTCTCAAACACCTGCACCTTGCTGTCGACGTCGAACCCACGCCCACGCAGGCCCACTCCCGAGGGGCCAGGGCGGCCGTCCCCATACTGTTCGACCAAGGCAGCCACCCCATTCTGGAAGTCTCTCAGCGCCCTCGGTCCGGTACCGCGATCGTCGGCAGGGGCAGACGCGAGGATGGCCAAGGTCGAGAGGCTGTCGATCAGCGTGAGCGAGTAGTTGCCCAAGACATCGTTGAGCTCGACGTTGCGCGGGTTCTTGGCGTCTCGAGAGAGCGGAGTGCAAGACACTGGACGCAGCTGCAGGGACGAGGATTGGAGTTAGCACTGAAAGAGCAGACAAGATGCCGTTCGACTATAGCCATACCTCGTCCTCGGGGAACGCGATCCGCATGTAATTGTCGAAGCCATGGTAGAACATGTCAACGGTTTCCCGGCGAAGGGCCCTCACGTGGTCCGCTCGCATGGCTGCAGCTGCGGGCCATTGGCCGAGAAGGAGCGCGAGGGCCATGCACCCCAGCACCAGACGCCAACCGGACCAGCCAAGCCATGTGCGCCGTTGACGGGCCACCGGTGGCGGTCGAATACCAGTGGTGGCCGGGCCGGCGGAGGGGGAGCCATCGGCAACCAACGAGCGGCACTCCATGCCGGCAGGGCATCACCTGGGAAGAGAAATCGGACGCCGCATGTGTGGATTTGCGACGACGAGAGCGCCTGGAAAAGGAAGTGCGGAGGCGTTGGAGGGGAGTGGGCGAAGCGACTTCCAACTGTGCCGACGATGCTGTTGTTGCAAGATCATCTTGACCAATGTGTCAGCTGTCACCGTGTCAGCAGTGAAGCTGTCCTTTAGTGTAGTGGGGACGGCCCCACCTTCCCCGGATGGTTGCTTGGCGCGGCCGGTGGACGGGCGAGGATCTACAATGGTACGGAGTACAACAGCGGGCGCCGTGTGTGAGGCTTCCCTGCCGGGTACCCCATTCCCGCATTTTCCGTGTGATGCAGGCACCCGGCACTCGACCAGCTCCCGAATCTGTCAATTGCAGCGTTACCTACCTACCTGGATAGTTGATCTCGCGCTTGTCGGCCAGCTACTGCAGGGTTGGGGGTTGTGCGCGCTTGCTCAACCAGTCGTGGCTCAGAACTTCAGTGCACATGTGTAGTAGCCGCGGGCGCTCAAGGCTACTAGGAGTTAGAGACTCGGCGCTGTCGCTGATGCATGGCCCAACGGAGCCAACAATCATCTTGTTCAATGGGATTGCTGTCCTTCATTCAGGTCATTGGTGTAATCCTATATTTCGTACCTAGCGCCTAATTCTGTCTCCGTTATCCATCAGTCTAATATCATTAATGAAGCTCTCGCGGCATGCATCACGTTGGCAATCGGATCGCGGGGAGGGCCTTCGAGCCGATCTCCAGAACCAACTGGCTTTTGTCCGTCCGACTCCTCTCTTAGAATTTAATTCGCATACCCAACAATCTGACTGCCAACCAATCTACCTAGACGGTATGGGCATAGCTCCTCGGTTTGTTGATCGTTGGTACGGCCGGGTATACATAAGTTCCATAACAGGGAATTTAAGAAGACACCTTCCGGGCCCAGTACCCCAACATGCTTTTCCATGGCAGAAGAATATCAGAGCACGACAAGCAGCAGCCAACATGCACGGGGCCGTGGGCGGGAACAACGGTCCAAGATCTGAGGCCCGTTACGCTGTATCCGTTTGGCACCATATGCCGAATACAGTGTATGTCAGTTGTTTCCAGCTCTATCCAGAACGGATGCGTATGGTTTAACCCTCGTCCAGCGACTAGGAACTACTAGTATTGCCAATTTGTACTCACTTGACTGATCGTCACATGTCGCCAAACTCCCTGAAACTGTCAAAGTGTGTGATGTATGTACGAGTGTACTGTACAGCACACCCGTGCATTGGACAGCCTCGACTCGGAATCGCATAAGCGAGCACTGTCCACGTGCATGTGCGCAAGAGCACAAAGGATCCCATTCCGATGATCCAGGAAGTTAAAACTGGAGCCCACCAGCTGTAGTGGTTCGAGGCTCCTGATATCTTGCCGCTGCGGCAGCGTTGGCTCTAGAGTCCCTCAGTACTAGTAGTGTCGTGGTTGCCATCAACCACCGTGACTACCAAGATAAAGAGACACCGACTATCACGCTCACGGGCGACCACCCCGTGGCCTGAGCCAATCCAAAACATCCGGGAAAATGGCAAAAAAGACCAAGGTCCTTCCGCGCCCCCATCTCGGCGCCTAGCATGCATACTGTGCAAGCGAGCGAGCTTTGTCGCGGAGGGGATTACCTACCGGTGCGCCTCTGGAATTCGTGGCGTTGGGCGGAGCGCGCTTCCACGGATTTGCATGATGTAGCGGTACGGAGTATAAATCGGGTGTTGTTTTCGGTCCGGGCCAGACCATGCATTGCATTGCCCACAGGGTCGCCCGCATGGGGAGCATGGTCGAGTGACTTGACACGTGACTTCTTGCTGACTAGGCAACCACAACCGATGTGTGTATTTTGTAGGTAACAATTACCTGGCTCGAGCATGGTAAACAATTGTAAATTCCGTCATCTCGGCCCGCTATTTTCCCACCCTTCGGCCAGCTGTCTCAAACCTAGGTAACGAAATAAACTCGAGCCCTCAAGCCCTAGTTGACGGACGGGGGCGGGATCGCTGGCTTCACATTGCTAAATTTGTAACTGATCGACTGGGAACGGGAAGGGCGGGGTGATCAAACCCCGTAACGTCGTACAGAAATTCGAGGGCTCGAGGTTTCAGAATCGACGCTCTCGGAAGATTCACCTCGCACCCACCACGCCTTCGCGAAAAAAGACACTGAAACAGCGATTTTGTCGGAAATGGAAGAGACGTTAGCTTTCAGGTTGTGTAGACCGTCATTGGCTTATCACTTATTCCAGTTTGCCGTGGAATCTGCGCCACATCACTGGGAGAGATCATCCGGCTCAAAATCCAGTTCGAAAACACGCCGGGGTCCATGGCGACAGGTGGACTGCTACCTATTCCGTCCCTTTTATTAGGTGAGCACTCATTAGGAGCAGTTCGCTGACCTCATCCGGTCATCTTAGCGTGGTTCTTGTGAAAAGACACGGACTGCGAAGTACTCTCTATGGGAATCGAGTTTCCCGTTCGGGTTCTGCGCCGCTCTCATGCTCTGTCGCCATGGAGATCCGCGATCCGCGATCTGGGATCTGGGATCTCGGAGGATTCCTCGTGTCGGCGTGGCTTGCCCCGGCTCAGGCACCCTTTTTCCATCGACTCCATTCCGAGAGAGAACTTGATGATCAAGGTACGGATTACCTGAATAAGATAGAGACTGTATCCAGTATAATCAATGCCAAAAACAGAGGTTGATCCATATCACCACCTCAAGTTCGAGCCGTGCCCCCTGCATAGGTACAGTTTATGTGACACTAAGGTATCTAACGGTACGTACGTTGATGTGGGCTTGTCCAGGAACAGCTGATGTCTTGCTTCGTGCTTCGCCGCACCGCAACATTGACACTGGCATTGTACCTAAGATGGATGCTGATTGCTGTGCCTGTCATCAGGGCGGCGTACGCCGGACGGCCCCCAACCCGAAACGATTACGCCCCACACATGGACGGTTTCCTGTGTAGAACTTGAATCCACCTGACTGCTTGTTGCACTCGAGCAAGGAAAAGAAGCGTTGAGAGCGTTGAAAAAAAAAAGAAAAGAAAAGAAAAAATCCCTCCTGTATAGCGGCGAGGCCCTTCGCTCCCCTCCTAACTCACATCAAGAGCTGCATGTGTGTGCGTGAGAAGCCAACGAATGGAGACGTGTAAACAGAAGCTGAAAGATAAACAAAAAAACAAAACAACGATACGATGAGTATGCTTGTAAAATACAAGACCGCCTGCCCCAATGATCGACCGCAACTTCGCGGAACAGAAAGCCCAGGTTGCCCGTGATTATATCTCGTCATTCTTTTTTGCTTGTGGCCCTTCCCCTGGTGGCTGCGTCATCCCCCGACCTATTATTCTCTTTATTGCTGGCCGTATGAACTGCTAACCATCTGCTGACACGCATCCCGTGCCACATGATCGGCGTCATGGTGATTGAGTTCGTGTGGCGCTGCTGCCGAAAGGCGCCTTGAGCCGGGGTTATTGGTGTGGTTGTTGCTGCTGCTGCTGTTGTTGTCGAACGAAATCCCGTCCATGCTCTCGTCCGGGCTGAGGCTTCTTTCCGACTTGACGTTGTTGAAGACCTCGTTGACGAGCTGCTCCTCCTGCGCCGGCGTCAGGCTGGGTGGAGGGGCGAAGTGGTCGCCCATCGGGACATCGACCGGGCCGCCGTGACGCGCCGCGGCTTGGGCGGCAACGTACTGTGCGTGGCCGTGGAAGGCAGAGTGCTGCAGCCCGAGGCCGTGACCCCACTCTCCCATGGCCGCCTGGGCGCCGTGCGGCGGACTCGCGTTCCTCCGTGCTGCCGCTTTCCTCCGCCGTCTCGCCCCTGTCTTCTCATCCTTGGTCGGCTCTTCCAGGCCGAGCTTGACAAGCATCAACTCGATGTGCCCTGGCTTCCAATCCCACACGCGACACCCGCCGTTCTCCTTCATGTGCGAGATGATTAACTGGTACCGCATCTCCTCGATGTAGCGGTAGGCTTCTTTTAGCCGCTCGAGCTGTGCGGTGTGGCCCGTCAGTCATACGTTGGTTGCAAGGGTGAGGGGGGAGGGGGAGTCTTACCTCTTTCTCTGGCCATACGCCATACTTGGCGACCGCACGCGTGACCTTCATCTGAAGCGCGGCTTTTTCCCAATTGCCCTGAACGAGCTTTTGGTACTCGGTCTTCATATCTTCCCACATGCCCTTGCCCTTTTCCGACAGGTACTTTTTCCGCAGCTGGAAAAGCAGTTTGTCGTCCTCTGGCGCATCGTCCCTCAAGGTGAGCTCCTCCACCTCGCCATCCTGCTTGAACTGGCCATTGGCCTCCGAAGCGATGTGCGGTGTCGTCTTGGCTGTCCGCGAAGCTTTCCTTGCCGGCGACGGTCTCTTTCGGGGTGGCGGTCTCCGGCCGGGGCTGAGAGTTCCGTGAGGCGCGTAGCCTCCGAGGAGAATGGAGGGATCCCGCAGATCCTCGATGGTTGAGTGCGGCCTGAATTGCGGCGGATGCGACTGAGCTAGCACGGTTGCTGCTCCCCCGTTTGAGGGCATGCGGTGGTGCATGTGCGGTGTGCCAACCGGGACGTGCTGCTGCTGCTGCTGCTGGGCAAGGTATTGCCCTGGTGAAGTGACATTAACGCTGTAGGGATGGTACTCGTGGAGAGTGTGTTGTGTTGCTTCACCGTCGTTGGCGCCCGAGACAGTGAAATGGCCGAGATACGGGTCGATCGGGGGCGGGATGTCACTCCTGGGAGAAGACGGGTGGTGGCTGAGTGGGGGAGAGTGAGCCATGTACGGCGCCACGTCAAATGGCCCGGCTTCGGTGGCTGCCGGGTTCACCGTCATGGGAGAGGGACTTTGGCGGCCAGAGCTGATTCCGTAACCGTCGTAGTACATCTTGGACGAGTTGGGCGGCGTCGGTGCTTGCGAGGCCGAGGGATAGCTCCGCTTTGCCGCTTGCCTCTGCTGCAGAGGCGGGCTTGGTGCGCTGGACACTGGCGTAAGGAGACTCGGATCAGCAGCTGCTGGGTAGTTGAATGACGAAACTCCAGACACCTGTAATGCGGGATGCTAAGTCAGCACGGAATAGCCCTTGTTTTGGAATGATAGCAACATACTGCGCTGTAGGGGTCGAGGTCCGTGGAGGAGAAGGCAACCGTCTGTGGGCCGCTGGAGCAGATGGGCAAGCCGTCAATCTGGGCTTGCTCGGAATGGTGCGCCGCAGGCGCGAGATACTGGGTGCTGGCCATGTCGACGTGGATCTGTAGGCGTTGGAGTGCCCTCCTGGGGGAGGCTGCGCTGCTGGAGCTGTCGCCTTCCGAGTCTGAGACCAACTGGTCGCAGTCGAGGAAGTCCTCGATCGAAGGCGATTCGATTTCTTCCTGCCTGTCTGTACCCATGTCTTAGTTTCGCTGCTTCGTATCCACCGTCTGCTGGTGTAGGGTGAGACGAGTAGCGAGGGGACAAGCGGAAAGCGGAAAGCGGAACGCAAGGCTCGACTCAGATACCGAGATGCGTCTTCTTTTCTCTTTTTCTTCTTGCAGCTCCTCGACTTTTTCTTTGCTCTGTCTTTTTCTTTTTTGTTCCTTCTCCTAAATGCTCGGACGTGACAAGATGTACAAGCAGAAAAGGATGTCTGACCTTATAAACCTGGGTCGAGTGTGGCCCAGCCGGTGGGGCAGGATGCGGCGTCGAAGGAAATGGGGAAGATTTGAGACAGAGGAGGCTGACCTGACGAGCGAGGTCCCGGAGCCTACCTGTATCGGTGGGGAGGAGGAAGAAGCGATTTCCGAGGTGGAATCGGAGGATAATAAGGGAAGGCAACAGTTAGAGGAGCAGAAGTAAGGAACGCGTCTGTCCTTCTGTCCAGAATATAAGGCAGAAAAAAAAACCCATGTGTAACAGCAACCAACCGGGGCCGTCAAGCCTCTTTTAGCTTGACTTTGATCAAAACCAGCAAAGGTGCCGCACTCCGAGGTCCCCTGCCGGATGTATATCTTTGGGGTGCGTGGGCGAGGCGAGGGGTCCCAGGTTGCACTTGAACCTGACATGCACACTCCCCTTCGTACCCCGGTACTTCGCCATGGCCCATGGAGCCCTCGCCGTAACTGGCGTATTAGGCGCCGACCGTTCAAAAACCGTGCGCATCATACACCCGTGGACACATACATCATACAGACAATGGCAGGATACCGATGCCATAACAGGGCTGGGATCTGAGCTGGAACCTGCCACTCTCGGTCAGATGGACCCCGGGTGCTGCGGAAAGTTGGATAACAGCTCGTCGGCCGGCTATGAGAAGGCTTATACCGTCTGCGGCCTTTGACGCGACCCGGCTTCTCGTCCCAAGTCTCATAGACGACGGCGTTGAGACCCGAACCCGGGCCATGCGTTTTTCTTTTCTCTTTCGAGCTCTCTGATCCAGTGGGCAGTGTAAGTCTAAGATGCCGGGCGAGGCATCCCGCATTCTGGCAGCCGCGGCCACCGGCACTCGGATCAGCTTCTCCTTGGCCCGCCACGAGCACATCAGAGTGGAAGGTACATTACCAAGCTGCTTGTGGGGTTTGGGGTAAAGAAGTGGACATTATGCTCGCTGGACGTTCCAGGCAAGAAGAGGGAACCCAGACCATTAGCTTTGCATTCATGGATAAATGGATCAAGCCGAGAGAGGTTGCAGTGTGCTCGATCGGGCAAGCTCCGGCAGTGCGTATACATGTATTGTACGCAATTGTACGTGCTTTGTACATAGGTAGGTACATACCTACCTTACCTTACATACCTTATGCTCAGGACCCGGGCGGCGACGTCGACATAGCTAGAGTAGCTATCGCCTGGTGCTGCGCGCCTGCGGCAGAATTGGGGGCTTTCTTGCTGAAGGTGGACGACGGAGTGCACACCTTCGCCGGGATCGTTGTCGGTAGGTAGGTTGGTGGGGAAGGGTCCCCCCATCTTCCTGGCACTTCCTAGCAGGGCGTACAAGAAGTACGCTACTGGTAGGTACATACCGTACCTTATGTACATACCTTATGTACTCAGGCTGCCCAGACATACACTTCATTCTGTGGCGCTCGGTATGCGCTGCGACGATCACAACGACCCCACGCGGCCCACGGTTAGCGTAGCGTAGACGAAAGCCCTGTCGCGCCACCATGCGGGAGCTCCCCTGCGAGATAGCCGCCGCTACTTCATTCTTGTTGGTCCGGTCCGGAGCAGTTGTTGGTCTCTGGAGCGCGGGTAGACGCCCCAAGGGCTTCTGGGCATCGCTCGATCGTCAACCGTTTTGCGGCTGTCACTTAATGGCATGCGTGTAATCCGCGTCACACCAATCCCTGGTGTGATATGAGTGTAATTGCGGGAGAAGTTGAACCATCCAACACTGGATCGGCTTCTGTAATGGATGGGGCCTCGTAGCGGTCAATTATCCGGCATCCGGCCACGGCAATGCCAGCTTGCACGGTCTCTGATTAGCGCAGCGGAAACGGAGCTGGCAGCCGGTCACTGAGTCTGGGGGATGCGCCATGTGCGGAACGGACGCAGTCCGCCTGGGGAGGCCTGGGGCAGAGAGAATAGCCACCGTCTCACTTCACAGTCGAGTAGGTACTATCTTCCATGGGTGCGAAGCGGCCAGAAAAACAGGCCAGGCAGAATCGATGTGCTGATGCATCTTAGGGTGAGTGCGAGTGGTTGAAACAGCTGTGCCGGCGGAGCAGCGTCGTCCTAAACCTGCAGGAATACACTTAACGTGAGGGAAAAATCGGGGCTGTGCTACCCGAAGGCAGTAAGTGGGTGGGACCCAGGGCTGCCCAACTGGAGAGTCCATCGGAATTGCGGAGACGGACGGGCAACCAGAAAGTTCAATTCCTGGCAACTGACGGACAACGAAGCTAAAACACGCCCACACAGCCATGATCGAATCATCTCATTATTTACTTACGCAAACGGCATCTCGTCTAGGTTACGGGATGCGTCTTATGGATGGGCCATGCGGCTTTAGGTCGGCATTAAATCCGGGCAGCCCATCGCACATCCCTAAGGTAGGTAGGTAAGGTACCTTAGTTAGCCAATCTAACTGAATCTAATGAGCGCGCTTCCAGGATGGGGAGATCTTCGGAAATGGTTCTAGTCAGGCCGCGCCACGACTGCAACATTAGATGAAGTCCTGGTCAAGACTGCCCGTCGGTTCGCGACTTCTGTCATGCGATATCTTCCCTTGAGTCACCATTGCTACCGTACCTGCATCCTGTGCAGCCTGCAGCGCACACCTGGCAGGATGATTGCGATAAAGAGGGCTCTGGTTCGGGAAATCTCGCGCAAGGTGGAGAACTGTCCCACAACCTGGAATGCCGTCCCGTCGCTCACTTCATTCGGGCCGCTGAGCCTTCATGGGACGGCGTGTACGCTAGTCAGTGGCCGCTTGTTCCGATCTCATCATAGGTTACCGCAGCTGCCCTGCGTGTTCACGCTCTGGTCAGGTCTCTGAAAACTGACCTGAGGGTTTCGAAACGTCAACGCCGGTGCGGCACAGGAGGGCCGCTTTGGGGGCAGTGACGAGCGACACAGGCGGTCTGCGCCGGGCTTGGCGTCGCGGGTTCTGCGCGATATGATTGGTGTAGGAAGTGAAAGCGAGCGCGGATAGAGCCAATCGTAGAGGTTACCATTCTGTCGGGACGAGCTAGTCCCATTTTGATCTCAACCTACGTGTTGAGAGGAGAGTGAGGGGAGAGAGGACAGATGCTGCATCATTTGGTCTGCAATATCGACGCTGATCACCCGAGGCACCCTACTTGGCCTTAGTATAGCACAGGCGCGCTTACTGTGCCTGGTGATTGGATATGAAGACGACTAGCATGCACCTTTGACACTCAACACCACACTGTCAGCACAACGGCCAGCATGACCCGATACGCAACTTTTAGATAGGCTAAGAAGCTCAACGTCTCTGCCGGCACAGAATCTACTTCGAACCCGTTGTAGTGTATGTACATCTGTATGGTGTGGTTTCCACGGAGCATTGCGGACAAGGGCTCGGGGTGCAGAAAATGGAGCCCGAACACATTTCGCCATTCCGCCAATCACACCGTAACGAACGTTACCTGCACAATCATTTTTGACACCGACAGCCGACCACTTAACCCTTGATGCTGATCTGTGAGCAGCCCTCGTCAAGCGCATACAGGTGGTGATGCAGCCTCAAACATTGAATCATGCCGAGAGAAAAAAACGCACGCAAAAGGGCGAAGGGCGACAATGCTGTGCCTTGAACAGCATATGATCTAAAGACACGAGTATTTTACCCAATAGTCAATAGCATAGCTAACGCTGTAGTGGAAGCACAGGGTAGGTGCGTGCCTGAGTCAAGATATTCCCATATTTTCAATGAGTGACCTTGCGGAGTCTCATTCGGCCTGCGCAAAGCGTCTGCCGACTGTTACAGGACTGCGAATTTCAACCGGCGCCCAGATTTCTCTGCTGACCGGCCTGCCAATCCGAGCACCCGAAGATAGGAGGCCCTGACTCGGTCTCCCTTTCCACCTACTACTAGTACCTACTGTTGCAGTGTACCAAGAGTCCTTCAGGCACACCGTGAGTCGGTTCTCCAATGTCTGCACAGCATCACTATCCAGCCGCCGTCACGGTCCCAGCAGGACGGAACCACTATCGCTTTGTCGACTTATTGCTCGCGAGCCAACGAATAGTCTGCATCCCGTTGCGCCATGCCGCCAGAATGCGACTGGTCCCGCACAGCATCTCATCGCAGGTCGCCGAGGGATGCGACGGGAGCGTTCAGTACTCTCTCAGCGCTTCCCTGCTCAGGCCCCGCGTCGGCCCGTCTTTGGCGTATTGATGATTGTCATGCGATCGGCCTTTAGCTTCAAAAGGGTGTACCCTTGCTGGCGAACGTGATCTCCGCACGTCCGTTCATTAATAGCAAAGCTTAATCAATAGTGGAGGAAGGCGGTGGATCCGGCGGTTTCCTGGTCAGGCTGGAGCCCCGATCGAGGTGAGCGGGCATCATGACGGCCGGGGAAGTCGGACCCCGGCATCCGCGTCCTCTTTCGTGGGCCAAGCCCCAGCCGTAGCTCCACTACGGAATGGCTGCCGTCGCGATCTGTCGGCGGACGCCTTTGGCGTCCACCTATCCAACTTGGTGCTGCTAGCGTAGCGTAATATTACAGCCTGTTCTGATGCTGTTGTGTATCCAGACGCAAGCTCTTAGGCCTCATACACAAGCGGCGAGCGCTTGTAGCTGTGCTGAGTAACAGACCAAACTCTAGGCTTGTGTCTTCACACCCTGGGCACTCGCAGGGCACGACAAGCTGCAAGCAAGATCCCATGTCTTGCCTTACTGTCTTGTGTAACCAAGGCCCGAGTCGTGCCTGTCTCGCCATTGATCAAGCTT